ATTAATTATATTATTTTATCAAAAAAATATTTTTAATTTGTATAGTCGAATGTGTAATTAGCCATATAATTATTATAAAATTAAACACAAATCGGTTATGCAATGATTTCAATCGTTTAAAATAATTTTTGTATTAATTAACGCTATTAAAACTTTTCTATAGCAAGCTATTATTGTTATTATTAAGATTAAACATTCAGGTTATAATATTAATTCCATTTAAAGTATTAAAGTATCTATAGCATGAAACTTTTTTTTCAAGAACGAAATTTTTTAACATTCATATCAAATATATTTTTTAAAAACCCTTAATGAGAAATAAACAAACATATAAAAGTCAAATACTATACATAATATTATTGTGTAAAAATATAAATCAACATATATATGTATATATATATAGGTTCTAGGAAAGATGGAGTAAACCTAGAATTGAATGCTGGTACTTAAAAGTTAACTCGTCATGCGTTCTCAAGTTAAACAGATATGCTATTTATTTTATACAAAATGTGCCTGATTTGGCTTAGCTATCTTTCGGTGCACTTAGGCGGGCTAGCTTGATCAATGGCGTATTTTGGAATAAAACAAACGTTGAGGTATAAGTAAAAGACGTGTTCGACAATATTATTGTCTAAGTCACTTGTAGATATGTGATTAATTAATTTTTTTCGAACTTCATATTATTTCCTTGTATAATTTTAAGGTCTACCATAATAGTATTATCAAGCGAATAACATTTATTCCTAATAACATTACACGAATGACAGGTAGGTAAGTCCAGAGATCAATAACTAATAATACTGACATATAGCATAAATTACCTTTAGTTATAAATTATCGATTTACAGGAAAAAAGAATCTACATATTGATATGTCAATGTCTTGTGTCCAATAATGTCAATAATAAATATAAGCAATGAAATTGTTAAGATTAATATATACAGGGTGATTAGTGTAGTGTCTTTGTGTAACTGTATATTTTTTGTTTTTAAAAAAGATTTTGTTTATATTACATGTTGACTGACGTATAACTAGTTTTGAATAATTATTTTTTGAAACGTTGGTATAAAATAAAAAATAAAACAAAAAAAGTAATAATAACAATAATAGTAAATTAATAAGTCAATAAAAAAATACATTAGTAAAAAAAAAAAAAAAGTAATGTTTAACAAATAAAAACAAATGCTAACAATAATAAAAGTCCAAATAATTCAAGAATAAAAATTGTAATGAATAATTCCTAATGTGTCTTTCATTATATCAATACATACCCTCGTAAGAATTGTTTTCCATAGGTTGTACCTATTGAAGAACTCCACTAAAGCAGGAGACACCGTACATTTTGCCCAAACCATAAATCGATGACATCCCAGTTTTTGATGTACACAATTTAGATATATATCCCGTTGTTCCTGGTTAACTTACACAGTGTTTATTGACTGACTGTTTTTTATTATATGCATTTATGGTTGTTATTTAAGGCGTTATCTATAATCCCTACTGACCGATTATTATTGGAGTGCAGTTATTTTAATAGCGGCACTTTTAGTGCTGTCTTCATTTTTACTCACAAGTTCACCGAGTGCAATAAGAACTCATTGACAGCCGACAGGTAATTTACTTAAGTTATACCATACAGTAATAATTACAGTATTATTGTGTATAATGTGGAATAGGATAAATGTGCCAGTTTTAAACACTGTGTACAATAGACAATAGTGGTCCCTTCAATATTTTTATTGATAAACTTGTAAAAGGTGGAATTGTTTTAGAAAACATGACATATGTAACAGAAAAGATTAGGTTAGGTTAGGGTATATATTTTTATTCTTCTGATGAATGATGAAATATAAAAAAAACTGTATGGGTCATTTCACGTGAAATCACCAGCTAATGTGTGTGCGTCTAGGGTTCAAAAATTATTAAATTATTATCATATATTCTTTATAGGTCCTTAATGAGAAAAAAAAATTCCAAAATCACCTCATGTTCTCGACTCTGTAATTTAACCGCCGATAGTGGTATAGACATGAAACCTGCACGTAGGGTGGTCGTTAATTTCGATTTTGTGGAGCAAAGTATAGAAATAGGTTTGAAATGTCGAAAAAAAATGTCCTAATTTTTTCAGATTTTTCACTTAAGAAAAACAGGTGCCGCACGGGGCCTCAAGATTTGTATTGAAATAACATTGTTATTATTTATTTTCCAATAATTGTTTTATTACAACGGCTAATTAACTGCAAACAAATTTTCAACTATGCAGAATTGTCGGGAATTGGCGCTGGTACAGACGAGAGTGTAGATAAAAGACAATCAAAGTAATTTCCAATTTATACAAGCCACCTATATAACATTTTTTGTTATATATGTATTTTTTTATATTGTATATTAATTATATATTTTAATAGAAATAAGCTAATATCAATGGTAGGGTTTTTGTTTTATTTTTAATTTTTAGTGAAATTTTTGTTTAGCTCTAATATATACACTGCTCTTTAGAGTTGAGTCGTATGAATTATATACAATAATATGTAAACACGAGGCATAATGTAAATATCACTGTAACAGTCTGGATTTGGAAGTATTCATTATTAATATTGATTAAGCAAAAAATGTTATGATTGAAAATTTGCTTGCAGTTAGTTAGCCGTTGTAATAAAACAATTATTGGAAAATAAATAATAACAATGTTATTTCAATACAAATCTTGAGGCCCCGTGCGGCACCTGTTTTTCTTAAGTGAAAAATCTGAAAAAATTAGGACATTTTTTTTTTCGACATTTCAAACCTATTTCTACTGACTTACAAGTAAGTATTACATAGATAGATTAGGGAAATTTTCGTTCTGGCACATATGTGTTGTGGGTCATTAAAATAGGCACTTTTCATCAAACCGCTCATATTGGAAACCGTAAATTAATAGTAAAAAAACGTAATAGGTTCAAAGATGGTATGGGTCATAAGAACATAACTTAAATTGTATATTAGCAAAATATTTTTTCAATATTTTGTATTTTTTGACTCCAAAAAAAGTTTTTGAAAAATTAAAAAATTTCCAGCGTTAAAAAAAATATATTTTTTTTAATTATGGTTAAAGTACACTTAGTTAGAATGTTAACTGTACAGGTTTCATGTATATACCACTATAAACGTTTGATCCGAGACGAGAGCATGAAGTGTTTTTTTTTTTTAATGTTTGTCCTTAAGGACCTATACAAAATGTATGATAACAATTTCAAAAAAATGTTAACTATAGTAGCGCACACATTAGGTGATTTCACGTGGAATTACTCGTATATGATGGCACTTAATTATCTACTATTTTTTTTTACAACCGTTTTAAAGCAAATATTCTTTTTCATTTTTTTTTTTAATAAGGACGACTATTTATAAAGCATATTTGTTTATATTTATATTTTGTAGTTTTTTTTTAATTAAGTCATAAAGGAAATGGCACACTCAAATGTAAAACTCTAATTCCGCCTGTGAAAATAACATTATTTGGAGACATTTTAGGTCTCCAAAAAGAAATACAAAAAAATTATTATTTGCAGAAAAGTGTAGTGTGTAACGTTAAATTAATCGCCCTGTATACTGTCGATATATTTTACAGATATTCACAGTATACATTCCTAATAGTAATTTAATTGACTTTCTCTAGTCCGCCATTAATCGTTTCAAAATAAAATCTTCACTAAGAACGGTTAGAATTTCAGTAAATATTTTATTAATTAATTTATCACATGGTCAACAAAGACATGTAAAATATTATGTCTAATTTTAAGACTCAAAATAATTTTAGCTTGGACACGAAGCTGAAAAGGTTTATTTAAAAAAATTAACTCTTACACAACCAGTTTATATTATCTTATCAAAATTATTGTTTTTTTTATATCAAAACAATTATCTTTAATTATATTTTTAAAAGATAGTAAGTGACACACTTAATGGATATCATTCTAATATAATTGTAATACGGGAAAATTGGTATAACGAAATGTTTTCCATTTGTAATCATGTGCGATGACGTATATAGCATAACATTTTTAGTAGAGTTGTCGCTAGTCAAAAACTACAATTCATACAAATCCGTTGTTCACGCGAGTATTAACTTTCAAAAACGACCCAATTTTAGGTAGTAAATCTAGAACACATGTTCAAAAGTGTTAAGAAATATACACAGTTTTTTTTTTTTTGGTAAAGATTTCAAAGGTTTCAAGTGTAATTATATATTTGAACGGTTTTCTCCAAAAAATCAGTTGCTAATTTATTTAAATATATTTACTAGTTAATTATTCATACATATTGTGTGGTGATAAATCATTAAAAAAATCGCAACGATTTGCATTTTTTTAATAACGCAGATGTAGATCGAGAACAAGTTATTTTATTTTCTTAGAAAAGTAATAGGATTATCATTCTAAAAAATCATTATATAGTCGTAAACCCGATCTGTAGTCGGAAATAAGAGGTCAGGCGAAAATACTATAGCATAATATTACTACACTTTCGTATTATTATAACGACACGCCTTATGTGAAAATTGTCGAAGACAGTTTAATACAATGATAAAAAAAAAACAAACAAAATACCTATTCGGGAAATCCTATCCGTCGACCGCCAATACAAATCGGTTGATCTAAATATACTAAAAGTCCACGAGTCGGCGATAATAAGTAAAACGACAACTTTCTTAAGTAAATGAATTTCTCAACGAATAATGAAGAAAATTTACAACAACCGCGGGGTTGGATTTATACTCTAGTCTAAAAAAAAAACAACAATCTCGAAACTAACATTATCGTTTTACCGTTAAGTGGATCAGATTGGTCGGTTCAGAGATACGACGGAGATGCCCGCTGATCACAGCTATTTCATATTATGTTGATAACATTAATAATGTCTCAGCTTGGATTATATAACAATCCGGTTTGAATGTAGTAAAGAGGGTTGAGGGGCATCCACACACACACACACACACGCGCGCGCACGCAATACTGGCCAATAGCGCAGACTGCAGTTGTGAACGTTTGGTACTACTCCAGTCGTGACGGTCAGAGAAGGCTGTACTTGTTAATGACAAATCACATGGACATCTTACTCAGAGTACGCGTGAGATAATAAATTTCGAAAAAGAAAAAAAAAACATTTTAATTGTGTAGATAAATAAAAACAATAAATATACGTGTTACAGGTTTTTTTTACCCAACCGTTACTGGGTTAAGTGGAAAAAAGTTTTTTTTTCTTTTTGAGAATCCATGTTGTAACCGGCCAGTGATATTTGAACAAAAAAAAAAACCGTTGATCGAGTAAGTACAGTCAACATATTGTTATAATAATAAAAACTAGGGGTGGAACCACGAAAATTTGAAAATGTTCACAAAAAACCGTTATTCTAGCCTTGTAAAAGTCTTATATCATTCTCGCTACAAGTACAATAATAATAATAATTATACTAATAGTTTTAGACACGTGACAGTATATATCTAAACTAAAAACTTGTTGATTAAAAAACGATTGAAAAACATTTAAAATTTAAAATCGTCGAACAATTTAAGTGACTTTAAACTCAAGCTAAAGCACGTGGTGTTCTTACAGCTTTATAGGAAAACAAAATAAAAATTACAAGTGCCTGTGTAAAAAGTTACCATCGGAAAATAATGTTTGTATATTGTAAATTGTAAAAATGTGTAGGTATACATTAATTGTGTAAACTATAGTAGGCTGTAGGATCTATCTTGCTTTTTGTTAATATGAATTTTGAATGAAAACACGTACAATATTTTATATTATTATGTCGAATTCCGACAAATATTTATAAATAAACAAAGTACACTTATTGTAATATCAAAACGAACTAATATATATGTTTGATGAAACAAATAACAACTGTACAAAATGTATGTAATTCCATGTTAAATCTGTAATTATAAATTAAATAAATAATACCAAATCCGTAAACCAACCGTTGTGTTTATACAACAATTCGAACATTTATGGTTGGACGACATTGTTTTGAATTATTTTTTAGTACATTTAGGCAGTTGGGTTATTCTAACTTCAAGATGAAGTAACTATATCAGTTTGTTTTTTTGAATAACCTTTTTAACTATATCAAAGTTCAAAAAATATTATCATAGGAACGTCATAATAATGAAATATTAGTTTTGTTTTTATGTAAAACTAATATAGGCGCAGATATCACATTAACACATACATAATAATAATTATTATTATTAGTTGCATGGTATAAACATTAGGTAACCCTGACCTAAAGTTTGGAATTCAGGTATACACTTCACCATAGTCCATGACGATGCAATGCATAAGTGAAACCGGTTCGGTTTTCAATTGTAGCTATACAAATCAAAACAAACAAAAATACTGGTATTGCCTATTTTAATCATTACAATTTAGGAGACAAAATAATTAAAAACAATACCACATAAATCACGAGCACAAGTAATTGTATTTCAGACAATGTCACAATAACATGACAATAACTACTCCAGAAAAAAACTTGTCAATCCTGTCTTTTTGGCAGACAGCAAGAAGGTCGCTTGCAGTCTGTTATTAGATACGTGACATTATAGATAACTTTCGTTTATTACACTTCTTCTGGTCTACCTTCTAAATTCCGTCAACTCTTGTTCAACTATTGCATCAAAATCGTCGTTTAATTTTAAATAGGTCAAGTTCGAATTTAAAAATAAACTACCCTGGCCAGTTTATTTCAAAATCTGTAATTATCCTTTTTCCTGTTTGATATACATCAAAGCAATTACGCCTCTAACTAAGACAAGTAAATCAAATATCACAATAGGTAATGCATCATCAAGTAAGGGTAGGTACATATTGCCTTGAACCCGTAACAGGTACAGTGTGGTGTCACATACCGCTGCATTTTTTTTATCATACAAATATCTCTCTATGGAGGTATTATTCATAAGATAAGATAGGTTTTTGGTTTTTGAAGTTATGTTCATTATCATAACTTGTTATTATTAATTTAATATATTCAGCGGTATTTCACATCGTACATGAATTTATTTATCCTGGCGGGTTGAATTGTTTTGTTACTAAAAGTTGTTATCGGCTAGTGTAGTTATCAATAAATTGGTCGAAACGGTGCAAATGAATATTATTATAGTTTATAACACACGCTTTATAATAACAGCCAGACATACACCTAAAAATCCCAATGATAACAAACAAAAATAATACATACACAGGTCTGTCGATAATGGATCCGAATTTAATACTTATCGTTAGATTACTGACGGGTGGACCACCACACCCATTAACCAACTACAGACTGTAACACTGACTCAATCTAGTTGGACGTCGGACAACGGTTCACATGAGATGTGATAAATATCAATTAAAACATGATCGCATCGGTAAACGCATATATAATATAAAAAAAAAACTGTATATTTCTGGGGGAGGGGGAGGTTGCCCTGTTGCCACTATAAAATATGCCACTGCATCCGGTATGGAAAATATGGGACAATTGCTAGGGGAGGTCGGAAGGTCTTGTTTTACCCCCGTCTCCTTGAAAAATAAGAAACTTTTATGTATGATTAATGACCAACGTAAATTATTATAATTTTTTTTTAATTACTACACTTGACTTTATTATTTAAGGGGATTGCATGCGGCCTGTTTTCAAGGAGTTTTGTATAGGCAATATTAAAGAAATATGAGATTTTAATAAATTTCGATCATGCCAATTTACCGGTTAATTTGTATAAGTTTTAAAGGCATTGCATGTGGTCTGTTTTTTGACATTTCAGACTAAAGATCCAGACGAAATGTCGACTACTTAGGATGGTCCGATTTAAATTCTGTAAAGAGATTCGATTTCATTGGACACTTTACTATGTTATACAGGAAGCCGATTTTTGTTTTTTTTATTATTATATTTTACTCGAAGAAAAAATGAATTAAATTTTTAAAAAACACCGTGAAGCTTACAAATGTTAACTGGTTAATTAATTGACAAGGTCGAAATTCATTAAAACCTCTTTTTTTCTTAAATATAGCCTATACAAAACTCTTTAAAAACAGACCGAATGCAATCCCCTTAAATCCACAAATTATTTTTTGATTGCTAATAAATAAAATATATATAATAAAATTGGAGTATTATAAAAAAAATTAAACATACCTAGATGGACGTAAACCATAAAATATATTTTTAGGTACCTAACCTAACCATACTGTGTTGCATGGAGTAAGAACGTCTGGTCTATTCTTAAGTATTTATTCCTATGGTAAGGAGGACGTCAACCCTTGAAAAATATTCGTAAAAACGTGTAGGCCAAAGCGAAATAGTCATAGCAAAAAAAAAGTTACTGTCTACTTAATGCCTAACGGCTAAAATTATAAAACATAAGAACATGCTTTAGCTTGCTGGCACCCGAATAGTGATTTTATTTCCGATCTATAATCTCCTTGCGATTTATGATGATAGTACAGTCTTAATTATATGTTCTGGTCAAATAAACAATTATCTTGTTGCTCAGTTATAAAGCTACTTTCGTATCGCAATTTAGTGTCGTGTCCATATAAAAATAAATGTTGATACCGTTGCAAGGAGAAGAACTTTTAACTAGGTTTTCTCGTATTTTTTTTTTTAGAAAACTTGAATTTAACCTTAAGGGACCTCTACACCCGCGGGTTTTTGGTCAAAAACACTCATTCTACTTCAAAACGTACTGTTCCTAAGAATACTTTGATTTAAGTTTTAAAAAATCATTCTAATTCTTCGTAAAATTTTAAAGGCATCGATCGTGGCATAATTTTAAAATTATTTTTTGTCATTTAATTATTTTAGTTTAAAGAAGTTTAAAATTGCAGTTTTTTTCATTGAATTGACTAAAAATAATTTTAAAACTGTGCCACGATCGATGCCTTGAACATTTTATGTAGAATTCGAATGATTTTTCGAAACTTAATAAAAACAAAGTACCTATTCTAAGAGACAGTACTTTTACGGTTTTGAAGTAGAAACATATGTTTTTTTACAAAAATAGATCCTACATGCGTTACAAAAATTGACAACATATTAAATATGAAAATATATCCTTTTTCCTATGGTAATATATTTGTTTAAAAATGTTAGCTTAATATTAAGTTTTAGTGAAAAAATTGCCTACACAACGCGCCTTAATAAATGCTAGTGTAAATGCCCCTTAAATTTATTATACACGGACTAAAAGTAAAAAGAATGTTTGAATTAAAATATAAATTGTAAATGTAGGGTAATAATATTAAAAAAAAGCCGACGAGAAAACCTAGGTAAAGTTATTATTATTTTAAATATGTAATAAAAAATGTCTACGATTATTATATAGTCAATATTAGAGAATATGCGTAGCTATGTTTAGATGAAAACAATTTTTTAAATCGCTGTCAAGGATGTTGTGATAGTCTAAAAATAGATTAACTACCAATAAAGATTCCTAATAATTACACTGGGATGTGTAAACCTTCAAATTAAGATTTCGCAATAAATTCCCTGTACTATACTCCTTAATAAATGGGGATATAACGTCCTTATAAAAAAATTAAACAAATATTCAACATTGTACATATTATAATGGGTTAAGTAACTGTTTCAAATATTATGTTATTAATTAGTTTGTTTTGAATAAAACCCTGTATAGTATTCATGTGCCCCTAAACAATTTAATACATCATATAAATTATGACCATGGAAAAGTGAAACTATTGTATGTTTAATTGTTTATTCCAAGTAGTTGATAAATAATATTACCTATAATATAGATATTGAGTAATAAAGTCAATTACAATAAATTATTCAAAAATATGTTAACCGTAAAATAATTGTCTTTAATATATATAATAATATACTTAAATATTTATTTATATGTATACATTATTGATAAGATAACGAATAAATATGCATCATATTATAATGTGTGAACAAATGAGGTGAAGAAAATCAGCATTATAATGTTGTGTAATAAAAATGTATTATTAACTTGAAAAAAAAACTTATAAATCTTTAATGAAACCAGAAATGCTGTGAAAAGTTATTGTTATATTAAAAAAAAATTACAATAAGTAAATGGAAGTTAACGAAAATTTAAACATAATATGATACTTTAAATTTCAGTACTATTGTAACTTACAATTTGTAAGTACTAATACTGTACCTATAAACTATAAATAACTAAAACGTTAATTTTAAACGAAATAATTTTGTAGGGTTAACTATTAGAAATGTTTTAGCACTTGTCACTGAATGAACTGAATAAAGAACAATGATTTTAGAAAGGTTGTTGATTTGGGTTAAAGCAAACCAAGACCCTAATTTAATACAAATTACTATAAAAAATAAAAATGTATATTATTACTATAAATTATTGATGGGAATCCGAAAATTCGGATTTTCACCAAAAAAAGTGTTAAATAATTTTACAACATAAAGCTGTGTAAGCTCTAAGTAAAAATGTTTTGATAATTATGTAAAAATAAAATAAAAAACCAAGAAGATAAACTGCTTTTGGATTTCGGATTTGTTGAAATCCGAAAGCATTTTATAGACAAAGTTTAGAGTTTTTTTTTATAATTTTTATCAACAAATTTTACTTAGATACACATCTTTATAATGTAATAGTTTTTAATATTTATAAGATTTTCAAGTGGCTTAAATAGTGTTTTTTTTTAAAAATCCAGATTTTCGGATTCCCATCACTACTTTAAATACAAATTAATTTAAATAAAAACTAATATAACAAATAAAATAGTACTTAAAAAAAAATTCAAATAATAATTTTAAATATATTTTTATTTGTACGAATTTAATCGTCAATATATATATATATATATATATATATAGATATTTAAGTAGAATGTTAATTTTTTAACTCAAATTTGTTTGCATATAAATCAGTTAAAAATCTAGCCACAGTACCAACCACAGATTCGCATCAAAGTGGAGTTTTTTTTTTTTTTGTAAAAACAAAAATCACATAAAAATCGTACAGTTATACGGAGTTATTTGCGTGTGTAATCTCATTACGAACGGTTTTATTGTTTGTTACAGGCGGTCGTTAATCAGGATATATAAATATATATATATATATATATACATATATATATTATATATTACAGACCGGTTGCGTTGACTTTTCCGAAATGAACAAAAAAGAAAGGATATCCGGCCAAATGGAGAACGGCAATCCAAAGGAAACGGACAAAGATTCGCCGAAAACGAATTTTGGCTCGAAAATAGCGTACACTTTGCAAAACGTCACTGTCGAACCGCTGTTGGGCATCTTTCAAATGGCCTCCATCCTGTCGAACTTGACCACGCAGAATCTGAACTTCCAAAAGGCATGCCGGGTGAACCTGCAGCTCAACGACACCGTGTGCAACGCCCTGCAGCTGAAGAACGGCTCGGCGCAGTACAAGAACGGCTCGGAGCTGTACAAAGACGCGGAGACCATGGTCCAAGTGTTGTCGGTCAACATGATGATATGGCAGAACGTCATACAGAACCTGATACCCTGCATACTGGTCGTGTTCATTGGGTCGTGGAGCGACCGTAACCAAAAACGTAAGCCGTTCATGCTGTTGCCAATACTCGGCGAGGTCATACGCAACGCTGGCCTGTTGGTGTGCGTTTACTTCTTCTACGAACTGCCCATGGAAGTCGCGGGCATTATCGAGTCGGTGCCGTCTTCGATCACGGGCAGTTTGCCCGTACTGTTCATGGCCGTGTTCGCCTACGTCGGCGACATAAGTACGGTGAGTACTTATATATAAATTTGGGTAGAATTTGGTTTTGATAACTCACCACCCCCTTCACGTGCCGCAAGGGGGTTGAAAAACGACCAAATGGGGAAGTTTTATAGTTTTTTGAGTTAAAATAAAAAATTATTGCATTTAGCATAAAATTACAAATTAACTTTATGATAGATCATTAAATTCTCTATAAAAAAGGTGTTCACAAATTTTTCCAAAAATGCATTATTATCCAAGAAAAAAAATAAAACATAATTTTTTTCATTTATTTGGAAAACATTTTTTATAGGAAAAAATATGATTATTTTATTTCGTTCCCGGGTCGATTTCTATACTTTTTTTTCTAACGATAATTTTCGTTTTTCACAATATATTTGTTTAAACGATTTTTAAATACATAATGGTTGATCGTATGAAATTTTTCCTAATAATCTATTTTGTAGACAATTTAATTTTGTATAAAATGCATTAAAAGCGTTTTACTCGATTTCCAATCGTTCATCGTAAATGAAAAAAATTATGTTTTATTTTTTTTCTTGGATAATAATGCATTTTTGGAAAAATTTGTGAACACCTTTTTTATAGAGAATTTAATGATCTATCATAAAGTTAATATGTAATTTTATACTAAATGCAATAATTTTTTATTTAAACTCAAAAAACTATAAAACTACCCCATTTGGTCATTTTTCAACCCCCTTGCGGCACGTGAAGGGGGTGAGTTATCAAAACCAAATTCTACCCAAATTTTTTTTTCATAATAATGAACAAAATGGCGGGGTAGCCCATTAAAGTTTTAAAAGTTCATAAATAAGAACCACCCTAGTGTACATTGTCACAACATCAACGGGACGCTACACTCTGCTTCTTTGTTTGTTAAGGCGAACCGTACAGGCAATTTTTCGCATAAAATCAACTTAAAATTAGAACGTATAATTTACTACAACCGTCGATGGACTGTGTTGACGGACACACAAAATATACACGGATATTTTTTTTAAGCGGATTACAAGTGGGTGGGTTTTAAGGAGTTTTATATGGGTACATAATACTTTATGTTGTACAAATTTAAGCTTGGATCTGTTGATATTTATAGTCTAGGATTTCGGATTTAGTTTAAGGCTTAACGGAACGTTTTGCAGTAACGTGCAAAGTATAACTGGAAATATTTTCGAAAAATACCCTATACAAATGTTTTTAAAAATAAACTTGAGCAATGACAACATTTTGTGGCTATATTGATATCTTAGAGGTGTTTTAACAACAGCTAATGCGTTTGTTTCTACACGATGAGTCTATAGCTATTAAATAAAGATATTAAAATTATTATTAATATGAGCAATAGTTCATTTACTTATATTATATAGACATTATTTGTATGTGTATTTCAGATAGAAAACAGAACGTTCCGAGTGGGAATGGTGTCTTTGTTTGCTTCTGTAAGTGTGCCGGTCGGAGCAGCGCTGTCCGGCATCTTATACAAGCAATTAGGATTTTATGGAGTGTACAATATTACCTTGGCCTTGTACCTGTTTACCTTTGTATATGGAATATTAGTGATCAAAGAGGAAAAGCAAATTGTTAAAAAAGAAAATGACGGTGTTTCCACGCAAATACACGGGAAAAAATCGTACTTGCTCAAAATTTACGAGTTCTTTGATCTAAAACACATTCAAGATGCATTCTACACCACGTTTAAAGCCGAGAAAAACAACAGGAGACTTAAGATTTCGTTGATTATGTTGGTTATAGTCTTCGTCTTGGGACCACTAACCGGTTTGTGATTATTAAATAATCGTTGTAAGTGTTTGTAATGTAAAATTTCAATTTTAACGCCTATATAGACGAAATCAATTTTGTTTCAATTTACGGTAGTAGGTAATTTTCAAGCCTAAATTCCTAAAAACTTAGCTTAAAAAAGTTATGTAAAAAAAGAAATTCACCCCTTCTAGAAGAAAAGGGTTTCTAATTTGTTTTTCGGTTTGTCAATGCGTATCAGTATTACTATGTTTAAAGAATATTCCTTACAAATTTGGAACTAATAGTCGAATAATTTTAAAAAAGTTATAGAGCACCGTAATTTTAAGTTGAAAAATATGTACATTTTTTGGGTGTTTTTCTCGATTTTGATGGAAAAGGGGTGACTTTTTAAAGCTTTTGGCCCAATAACGTATCTTTCAGGAACAATCTCTGATAAATAGAGCTGCTACACGAAGAAATCGGTTCAGCGGTTTAAAAGATATCGTGGGTTTAGTCACAAAAATAAAAACACATCATATGCTATATTAAATGTTTTAGTTATTATTTCTATAATTTTACATCATTATTATATTGATGATATCATCGATTAAGTGCTGATTATAAATTATTAAAGCATATACCTAACTGTCAAATAGTTAAATGATAAGTACTTTATTTTTATTTAAGCTTTTAGCAAGTGTATAATGGAACCAATCTTGTATATTTTTTTAGCCGAACAACAGTTGACATATATGTTGACAAGAATCAAATATCAGTGGAATGAAGTACACTATAGTTTATATTCCACGTATTACTTCATCTGTAATCTCATAGGTTTGTAACTGATTATTTATTCGAATAGAATTCATTAAAGATTCTATAATAAGTATTAAAAAATATTTAATATTGTATTTTAGGTATTGGATTCACTCTAACTGTTTTAGTCAATTGGTTAAAAATCGACGATAGGTTAATAGGAGCAATGGGATGTCTGAGTAAAGTCTTAGGTGCTTTCGTTTACGGTCTTGCGCCAAACCAGTATATATTTTATTTAGGTGCGTATTCAGTGGCTAGAGAATAATTTTTGCCGTCCTTATATTTAATATTTTGGGTTTATTTTTGTTGCAGCTCCGCTTGTTGATATTTTCCACGGAACGTCCTTGATAGCGATAAGATCGATTCTATCAAAATTAGTACCAGCCAACGAACTTGGTAATTAATAATTTGTACAGTCTATTATTAAGTTAGGTTAGTTTAGTTTATAAGACATTTTGTTTGAAATTACAGAGATAAGAGATTTATTTGAGATAAGAGTTTAAAGATGGTCCAGCTAGATGCTGGTGGTTATCAGTGGGGGGGGGGAGATTAGAGTTAAGAGATAGTTTAGCTAGATGCTGAGATGGTCCGGCTGGATACTGGAGGTGATATAAGAGATTAGAGATAAAACATTCGATATCAAAAAGTACCAGGGTCCTATACTTGTATATTAAGACATATCCATGTTCATATGTACTTCCGCGCTAACCTCCCTTTACCTAAACCAAACGAAACCTAACCAACGTTCGTGATTTGTTACACTAACCCATGCATAAACATACATGTAAAGTTTAAAAAATCATACAAAGCTAATATGTAAATGTCAAACATTTTATTTTGCAGGTAAAGTTTTAGCAATAGTGTCACTAGTCGAAACCATAGTTCCAGCAATCTTCAGACCTATGTTTAGTTTAATCTATAGTTCTACATTGCATACGTTACCAGGCACTTTCTATATTGTCGGAGGAATAATAGTTACGCCGAGTATTTTCATTTTCTTGTAAGTCTATTATGCAATATTATTTTGAAGCACGATATTTTTTGTAATTCTAAGTTTAACAGTTAAAAAGGTTGGAAAGGGTCTATTTTTTAAGCAATTACGTTTAGGCAATACTTTAATCGCATGCGAGCAAGCTGTAATCAAGTGTTAATGATCATGGCGTTATTTTGGCAGTAAATAATTTACTAAAATTGGAACGATATTGAGAAGATAATGTGTGTGAGTTCCGTTGGATCGCATGGGACGAGCTTATCTTATAGCGCGCATGCATAAATCATGTCGACGATAGATATTGACGATAGAAAGTAAGGTTAGACTTAAGGTAAGGTCAGCCAACTTTAACATTAAGATTGAAAAAAAACGGTGAAAACATATTCCCCCCTATACAAGAGACGGATATGATATTAAATTCGTTTTCAGATTCCTTTTTCCTATCAAAAAATCTGTGTATTTCCAATTCTCCTAAACTAATACTAAACTATACTATACAAAAAAAAAAAAAACGCGTTTTGGTTTCTGCACACTCTGTCGCTTTTATATGGGATAGAGCATATCTTGGTCAGGCTTTATTATAAATACATTTTGCGTTCTTGCCAGTTCTCGTCCAATAGGTGAATCTTAATTAAAATGATTACTTCGAGTAATAATAGAACAATTTAAACACGATTAATACAAGGCCGTCTAAATGTTAACTACATTTTTTTTTTTAAATAATAACTTAGATTATTAGAGAAAATAATAAACATTATCGCGGACTGGACTATTAGTTTGGTGATTTTCGGATCTATCCGTGTTGTTATTAGTTACGTGAAAGTGGCTTTTTAAACACATTGATGATCCATCTTCAGAGATCTCTCACCGTTGAACTTTCGTGACTATACTGCGTGCATCACTTGTTTCCTACCGGTAATTATTATGTCTGTGGTTGCAACAGTGTTTTCTCGGCGAAGTTATGATGGATCAACAGCTGTTTCTGCTGTTAATTGGTAGTGGTCAGTTGGTTTGATTTGTTTCTTTTTTCTTTCAAATAACTTCATAATATGAGCCATGTACTTCTTTTCTTTAGGATTTTTTTAATTGCTATTGCTTCTTTGAACGCTTTTTCCAAGATAAGTTTCTTTGTTTAATATTTTTATTTTGTCGAACTTGATGTTAAATATTTTCGGTTATGAAAAACAGCGAACAGTTCGACAAAGTAAACACAATATACAAATTAATTAATTTTGGAAAAAGGACGTTCAACGAAAGAGTAGAAATTGCAAATGCCCGGAAAGTTCTATAAGACGGTTGGAAAGTTAGTAACTTGCCATGAACCATACATCTGGTGATCATGGTAAATCTGAAAATTACCAAGCTTTAACGATAACCATAACAATTTTGCTGATAAAATTACCTGATCAATAACAAGTACTTAATAGCCTTATTAGACAAATAATTGAATACTAATGAGTTTTAATTAAGTGTACATAAGTATTTCGTAATAAAAAGAAAATTAAGGACAAAGTAGTTTTATAAAACTATTTTCCTTGACATTAAGTATAACTACTTAAATAAAGATATTTAAGAGAACTTAGCCAATCATTCAAACCATTTAAAATTATTTTGCTTATCTATTAATATTGTTTATTCAATTTATATTTATAATAATCATATTTTAGAATTTAGATTAAAAAAAATACATGATTGTTAACTTTCAAAGTTTAATACACGGTTGTGATAGCCTTGGTCTAATGCATCAAGTATATGATCGCTACAAAAAATAAATGTCAAATAAGTATGATCTGAGAACATTTTAAGTCGCCAACATAGTAAAACAAAGTAGCACGTACTATATTAGCAATATTTTACATAAAAATATTCCACGCTTTTTAATCTTATGAATTTTGTTTACATTGGTTTTTGTAAGCTTAAGGGTACCTATAGTTTTAAAGTAGATAATAAGTTTTATATCAAGAATAACCATTTTAATGTTTGAAAAATGACTACGGCAAAAATCGGAATCAGTTTTTGACAATTTATGTATCCTAAATAAAGATAAATATTATTATTTAATGTTATTATTATTATTGAAATCCGACTATTGAACGAAGTCATCGTGTTTTAATAAAAAAAACTTATCTGGTTGGCGGATAACGCAGCTTTACATTGTAATTTTAAGTTAGTTTAATTGTAAACATTCTTTGCAACATTTTCTTTTTTACATACCTTTTGAGGTTATTTAAGATAGTGTTGTTCTGTTGTAGGTAGAATTTATACCAAAAAAACTGCTTGTTCTATAAAAACGAATAAAACATTTTAAATAATAAAAACAAAACATAACTTATATACAGATAATAAATGATGTTGACAACCGTCTGCATGTCTAACAACAAATTTATCTACGCTTAAATATTAATTTGAAAATGGCCACAAGACCCGAAAATTACAGAACGGGGCATTTTAGCACGTAGTATTTGTTTTCAATAATAAACGGTTGTGTAATAATGTCTTCCTGGTTTTGTACTCAGATGGTTGTACAGATTACAAGATAAGGAGGATGATAATGAAAGACCAAATTCTGAAACCCAACAAGTACAAAACTGATATAGCTATCAGTGTATTGGTACCTATCCAACCTAATCGTCGGCTGGACTTCGGCTGGGTGCTTTTTTTATGACTTTGTAATCGTTTAGATTTTGTTGCATTTTATAATTTTATACTACACAAGTTTTGTATACCAAATCATCATTAATATTTTTTTAATAAAACCAGTTAAAACAAATACCTATTACAAACAAATATTTATTTTATCATAATTTAAATCAAGATAATAATGTCATAATCTTGACATCAGAAAACATAATTAGAATTTCATTAGAGATAATACACACAAATAAATAGTATATAACAAAAAAACAGTACTAATATAAAAAGAAACGATTTTGAATTTATGTCATTTTTGTTTCAACATTACTATGTTATTATATTATACACATATAAATAAATAATTTTGGTAAGGCTTTTTGGTATAAATACTTTGTTCCGCGTGTGACGGACCGAGATGTACAATTACAAAGTTAAAAAGGTACTTAGTATATTTTGTATTAATAACCAAACAAACGTAACATTTACCCTCTTAGTTATGTTGAATCTAAAGTTAAATATATTTTAAAATAGTTCAATAATTTTACGAAATTGTTTATTATTATAATTTATAATAATAATAACAAAACTTAAGTATTTGATTATTTTGTATTTTTAAACCGCTAAAAAGTTTTGTCTTTAAAAATGCAAAACAACAGTGTACAAAATAAAAATACTCATATTTAAGCTACCACGGGCGGCCAACTGGTTACATGATTGTTCTTTTCTCGTTGTACAGGAAATAAGCTTGAAAATTTGATTAGTGTAAATTTAGCTGCGTAAAATGATATTATGTTATTACGATTTAGGAACAAAACGAAATCGCTTACCAAACATTCATTAATAATTAAAAACCACGATATTTTCTAGATGGATGTATGGAGAACATCTAAGAGAAGAACGGGAAAAAAATGAGTTTTTAGAAGAGAAAGAGGCACTGAAGAAATCGTAAAAAAAAAAACACTCGAGTATTTTACCTATACAGCTGTCATAAAGCTGTACTGCTTGCACACGCACGTTACTACTATGTTTAAAATATATTATTTTAACTATAATTCTTATATACATTTATTTATTTTCGTTACTGAATTTTTTCGCAACGAATATGTGATTATTTTTGTTACTTTTGTAACTAATTGCAATGTTATTTAATTAAACTGATTAATTATTTAACTAATACCTATACAAATTGTATTTTATTTATAATTATTTATTAGCAAAAATGTTTACATTATATTTTAAGAACACGGATGTCTTATATTATATAGTATGTAACTTGAGTTCAAAGCGTTTGTAAAAAAAAAAAAAAAGAAGAATTTTATATAAAACATTTTTTTTTTTATAACGAATGTTTTGTGCCTTTTATTAGTATTATATCCCCATCCTACACAAGTATGAATCAAACATCTGAGTAAACCTCGACAGCTATAATTCTAAACATAGTTGTTCTAAATTCCAGTTTTATTTATTAATTGAGTTGTTTGATCACAACAGTCAATTTTGTGGTTTTTAGGCGTAAATAAATTGTTTAAATTCATATTGACTAAATTTATAAACTTTTTGGTTGTAATAAAATCAGTATGAGTAAAACATAAAAAAATCTAAAATAGTGCCGATCTTAGTAGATTATATACTTTAATAACTCATTATCTTTCTCGTTTGCCTTGTAATTTTAAAGAGCCTTAGAACACATCATACTACACTTAATATTGTAATATATTTAACTGTTGAGACTGTGATTAACAACTTTATTTACAACAAATTCGACATAAATAAATAATTTAAAAAAATACCTGTTTAAAGTATAAATGAATCGGCAATTTCGAGAAGTTGTCCTCGTCTTAACATAGGACATGTCCCGTTTTCGTAGCTAATAATATTCAATAGTGAGAAAATACGACACATATTTTCGACACCTTTTTTAAATTAACTATTTAAACATTGTTAAAAGTTGTTTTGACGGACCAGTTTGATGCGGTATTGAGAAACATAAGGCTTAGCTAAACATTTTAATAGAGCAATCGCCGTCAATTATTTTATGGTAAAGCGGCCACTATAAAATATGTCCATTGATTGTGTGGATACATTTGAAACGATCTTAGTCGGCAGAATGAGTTATCACATTACGAATCAACAATTATAATAATTTGTTTTTACGTTTAGGTCGCATATAATGATACGGCAATGAACTTCTAAAGTGTAAAAACTAATAACAATTATGATTATCGGATTGAAATAAAACGTACAAAACATGAACACTTCGTATTTTTTTAATGTTTAAATACTAAATTATAACACGACAACTTTGAATTGAAAAAGTGATTGACAAATGCGTTGCGTGTATGTGGCAAATTATTTGTCTGGGAGACAGATATACGGTTGACTGCTCGCGTTTATAACTGATACATATATTATGTTTATTGGAGTACTGATTTCTTATGGCAACAAACTGAAATCTTACTCTTGTTTTCCAAGTCAAGGCTTCCGAGTAAGATTACAGCTTCGTCGAATCCATACAACAGAGTTCGATGTACGTGTGGCTTTCAAGATGGAATTACATTTTACTTAATCAAGTACTGCTATAAATTCATACTGTGTATATATATATGTATATTAACGCAATTGGTATCAGTTTTTGTAATAGCGCAACATGTTGCGTGTGTACTGTAAATAAATAATTACTATAACAAGTACACATTTTCACTACAACCAATAACTAATCTCATTAGTGAAGACGTGTGAAGTTCTGACTCTTTAATTAATAGTATTGTTCGACAAAAATTATTTGTACGGGCAATTGGTAAGTATACTAAGTACACATTAAGACCCAAATAGCAAGAAAACATGTTTAAAACGTTACAAACAAAATTAAATTGACGATCTGCCTTACATTTAGAAGTTATATATGTCCACATAGCTTACTAATTACTAATCAGTGCAGTATAAGTAAATTCAATAGAGATGCATCATAAAATACAAATCTAATTAAATCGTACGTTGAAAAAAAAATATGATTATAAAAAAACAAAATCACTTATAGTGTTAAAATATATTAAAAAATTAAATAAAATTTATTTTAATTAAGAGGTTTAAATAAAAGTTTTATAGTGACTTTATACCTGATGTGTCACTAAGAACAGTGAGACACATACCCATTAACTTCTTCTTGGATAAGCCATTATCTAAAAAAATTTAAAGAGAAAAGACAATACAGACTTCGAGCACCAGAACACATCTTAACTGGCCACGCATAGCGTTGTGGTGGGCTGATCGGATTTATATACAAGAAGGAATATTAATAAATATATATATATATATATATATATATCATATATGTATAATATACAAGACATATGTTTTAATACTTTTTTTGAACTATAATCAAAAACATAATATGTAAAACAATTAAAATGTATTTCATAAATTTAATTTAATACATTTACAAATGTAGCGTAAACAAAATATTTCTTATGTATATTATAAAAAATGTTCAACCTATTCTATAAAATAATTATATAATATTACTTAAATATTTTAATAATAGAATCCAGTATTATCATAAATGTTTTAGGCAGGAAATCAAACATTATGCAACATGAATATTTCATCAATATAAATTTAAAATGTATACATTCGTTGAAATCTTTAAATAAATGTTATATTTATAACATTTTATAACAAACCCAAAAAACATGTATAAAATATTAACACTTCTTAATTGCTGCGTGGAACAGTTTAAAAAATATCGATATAAAAGTATTTTATTTCCCATACCGTAGAAATAATATTTATAAACATTATATACATAACAAATATTGTCGTTACTTAAAAATTGTATTTACTACTACTACATTGTTTTGTCTTACTTACACTTGAAAATAATTTCTTTGCTACTTGGGATGTGTAACAATGATATTTTTTTTCTAAGATCCGGAATCAATTTAATGTGTTCACGTTTAAATAATATGAAAGGCTCGAGATTTTGCGTCCTTAAAATGTAAAGTAGAAACATAAAGTGAGTAATACTTCATAATAATTTTATTACAAGTGATGAAACTCAAAAGGATACTAGTGAAATTTTGTTCAAAAACAAGTGTTTGATCCTGCAATATGTTTCAATACGATATTTTCATCTTTGCGTTTGTTTTATAACTTTTTGTTTATTATTGAAAAAGATATTGAATATAACCCACAAGATCATCACGAACAAGGGTGCCCTCAGATGAAAATTCAAGGGGAGGGAACCGTCTATGATTTTTTTATGGGTTTTGCGTATTTGGGATATTGGATATATTTTTATAGCTTACAAAAAAAGCTAGGGGGGAGCTGTCCCTCCCTGTCGGTACCCTCAATCATAAATACATTGAAAAAAAAAATTTCTCTCTTGAAATTTCGTAACAGTAACTTATACCCTTTTGGTTTCCACCATTTTATATTAGTAATCAAGTCACCAAATCGTTCTGTACAATTTAAACCTTTTCTTGTATGACTTTAAGTATTATAACTGTACACATGATGCTTATTAAAAATATAACAATCATGTACAGACGGTTCTTTTTTTTGTATTTATTTATCCAAAAATAGTACATAATAATATAAAACCTTATCTTTTTTTTTACACGTGTCGACCTGGAGAAATGTTTAATGAATTGGTTATGTAATAGTTTGGTCAGCCGACATTCTTACAGAGGTTAAACACCCTCTTCGGTACTTTCCACGTGTACTTAGATATATTTTAATGAAACGCAGCAGCTGATGTTACCTTCTCATCAATGATAATAATATGTTATAGCAATGAACTATTGTAATCCGATACCCAGTGATATATAACACTTTCTTTAAGTCACTCACACGGTTGTAAGTTGGCAGTAAAACCGGCCTCATTTAAAAAAAAACGGCCAAGGCCCAGGTAGTATTGTATATCATAATGTGATACATAATAACTAATCAACTTTCAGCTCTGGTTTAATCTTATTAATAAAAAATATATAAATAAATATAAGTCTAACACTAATAGACTTCTTAAATAAATTTATAATTTAGTGTTCATCACACAGCAAAAATTATAATATTTTATACTTTTGCTATATTAAAAAATATATTTGCAAATATATTATATTGATGAAAATGTTTGAATACTTTATACTCCCTATTTTACGTATACAAGATATAGTGTTGTATCAATGTACGGAGGTCATTTTTTATTGCCATCAGAGCTATTATTGTTTAATGGGCCATTATATTTATACAATACAAATTATAATTTTCGTATTATGTAATACAATAACAATTAAGTGATTATTACACTATTATGTAATATCAAAATTTTTTTTACAAACCAGTTGAGATTTACTAGGAATGGCAAAATAATGTCATTATCTTCGTTATAACATCATCACAGTATTTTAAGTTAATTTTAATTTTAATTAAATAACCATTACATTTTTTGATTAATTAAATTAAATTGAATGAACTGAATTTTGAATCATAAACATGTGTCATTTATCAGAACGTAAAATACTGGCAATACTACTTGGAAAAATATGATCTAAAACAGGTATTCGTTATGTGAATTGTTATAAACATAAATTATAAAATAAAACTTTAAGTAATAATATGATGTATTATTGCTTCTCTATTCTCATCTCACTTAATTCTCCCCTTACTGTTTTACACGACGAACTTACTATAGTATGTAATTTTTCCCCTCTTCTTTTTCATTGTCCTACTCTTCTAACAGAAATAAGCTTTTTAACATTTTTTCAACTGAGGGTAAAAACAATTCCAACCCATCCCTAATACCCTTAATTATTTAATTACCTAGGAACAATTGCAAGTGATAATTATTATTTATTTGTTGTTGTGCTTATTCATATTTTAAGTTAATCCCACATAATACTTTATAAAGTACTGTAACTGTTAAGTCATAATTTTGACTAACAAAAATAAATAAAATTTACAAAAAACTCTTCAAAGTACTCGTATAATAAATAATCACTATCTATAGCCAATAAACTTTTACAACCGTTCAATAAATTCACGTGTTGTATTATAAACTTTAATGGGTTTTTTAATTCGATTTTGACAATTTCATAGTATTTAATCCAGTAACTCGTTAATATTTTAATCTACTTTTACACCACAGCCTTGCGTAGCCTACACTAGAATTATAATTGACCGTTGACTTTTATTCTATTGACAGTCGGATTAGGGACTATATCTAGTTATAAAAAAAACACTAGATTAGTGGCTACATCTGAGTGTAACACTTCAGAGCTCAGGGTCTATAATCCAGAATGACAAGTTAAAGTTGTCCCACTGGTTATTAAACACTTTCAATTATTTTTGACACTATTATTGCCAGCACTTGTAAAAATAAAGTTGCGCACAAAAATGGTCGCAATACTTTTGAAATATAACAATGTCAAAACAAACTTTAAATCATTTTTGACTGCACGTTTGTAATTTATATCAATACATCTATGCAACGAAATTTTATTACCCATCATTTACAAGGTTACCAAAACTATCAAACCGATTACTTTGGTTTTTTGAGATTACGTTTTCATTATTTTCAATTAAATTACAGTTGCAATTATCTTTCTGTCACAGCTGGCGCTTACACATCTTTGTATAGCTATAAAAATAAAGTCATACATTCCCAAGTATTTATCTAGTGTATTATATTATTGTTTCGGCGGTTCATCATAATCTGATAGGTCATCGAATCAAATCAAAAGTGCGTATGGAAAAATCAACCAACTCGTGTTCGTGTCGAAACGTTCTATTTATTATCAAGTTGTGGGTTGTAAAACTAATGGGCTTACCAATGAATTATCAATAACTCGAATAAGTTGGCGAACCGTCTTGTCTTCCGTTTCAAAATATGTTTTTTTGGACACATACATGTGAAATTGGATATTATAAAGAAAATTCAATTCAGATTCGTTTAACTACTTAAGAGGACGTGATACGCCGTAATTAAAGAGTAAAGTAAAGAGACAATTTTTCGTAAAATTGTAATTTAGGTGAGGATTCTTTAATAGTTGTCTTTTTTTTAAACTATCACATTCATTTCTACAGGATTCTGGATTGCAATAATTGTTTTCCCATCAAAAATGCTTTGCAGGAGACAAACTTATGAAGTCACTATTCACAGTAAAATTACCAAACGTTCACAATACAATCCCCTGCAATGAGTGTTTCAGCCAAAACCCGGGTGGGTGACGTCCTCTTAAGGTCAATAATGTATATTCAATAATACCATGCCAGTACATTGGGTTATGATTTAAATAAAAATAGAACTGCCCATGATTTTATCAAAAACATTTTAGTCATGACACTTAAGTCGGATTCCGAACTATATTACCAGAAGTGAAGGTGTCAACTAGAAATGAAGGACAAGGGTGGGTTGCCGACTCCAAATAGTCGGGATAAAGGCGAAGGAGATGAAGAAGTATACATAGAAGTATATACCTTGATATTACAGTTGTTGTAATATCAAGGATAGAGGAATAGATAATTCTTTGTCTAGATGAAAATGTGACAGATTTTTCACGAAGTAACAGTAATTTTGTGTTTTTCCCCGATTTTATGAATAAAAACAGGGGACTTTTTTAATTTTTATTCCTCTCCCCTCCTTTAAAGTACCACCTAGATACTAGACTAGTAAATCTATAGATTTGCTAGTCAAAATAATTGTATTTTATCTACGCGTTAATTATTTAGCCTTGGATATTTATATTAAAAAAAAAATTTGTTTTTATTATATTATTATTATTTTATTTAAACTTCGCAATTACAACTAGTTTAATATTATTCAATGTCATATCCATATACAAATGTACCTACAAACAAAACCTTTTACAAATAACGTAATTCGTTTGTCTTCTTTTGTAAAATATCCAACACTGCGCAAATCAAATTAACATAAACAGATTGATTTTAGCACAGTTTTTTTATTGTATTATATTTGATATGACGCGCAGTGCAAGGATAGCATTTATGAAAAACTCTGAACTGTTAATTAATAATTTATAATTGTAATTTAATGGTTGTATTATATAACAACTCGTCAGATATAATGTTTTGTAACGGTTGATTATCCAAAATAACCATTATGTTATATTGAGATAAAAACGGTCAATGGGACGTATTTATGAAAACTTATTAATATTCTAAAAGAGTATTTACTAAATGAGTGCAAACTGTTATTTAGGCGGTTCGCTGCACAGCAGTACGAAAATTTAAGTTTAGCCTTAAAAAATTGAATACTTCGTCTAAGTAATTTATAAAAAGAAATAGACCAAAATATTATGTTTTGTTAATGACGATTCGACTTTAAATTATCTTCATTAGTAAGGTTACCAATTCAATTTTAATTTGTCATAGATTTGTGTTGGTACTTATTTTTAAAATACCATTCATAATGCACAAAATGAAAAGTTCATATTGATTTTTTTTTAAGTATGATATTTTTCCTAAAAATTCAGGTCATCATAACAAAATAATTCGTGAAAACTAAATCTTTCTAAGTTATATTGAATACGTTTTTTTTTTTTTAATACTGCCAAGCCGTTGTATCTACGTCAATCGTTATGTTTATGAGCCTAATAATTTTGAACCGGTCGATCAAAACAATTTGTTTTCGCTCGAACATGAAAAGATACAAGGTCGGAAAAATTGCTGTGTAATAATAAAATAACTAATATTAAACAATAGACTATTGTTTTCAGGTACATGATTAGAAATCGGTCATTACTCGATTAAGTAAACAGTAGCCTATTAAAAAATAGCAATAATATGAATAATTAAAACGCGGTACTCTTTGATTCCAACTATATTTGTTATAATTAGATTAGATAGTATGCACCTGTTAATTGTATGTACGTATTATATGATATATCATAATACGATATTGTCTAATTATGGATGATCGTAATTTGTTAATAGATTGTAAAATGTTTAGATTAGTCGCATGGAATATCATGATGTTGATTATCTGTGTTTAGAAAAAAATTTAATTTAAATTGTTCGTTCAAATATCGTGTATACTTTTGTTACATAATAATTAACGCATAGCAGTTGTTAGTTACGGTGGGAGTGGGAGGCTGACTGTTCGAAAATGGTAGTACATATGGAAATGACATCAAATGCGTGCCTAACGGTAGATGGTGCATCACATAATATATATCCTTTGACTTATGCGTTATTCATTATTCCTTGTCCAGCGAACCTACGGCTAAGTTGTGTATTCCGTTATTGAACTGCGTTTTCTTGAATACTTTCCATACCGTCATGGTAAACATCGCCAAGCCGAGCGATGTGTTATCTGAAATCGAGTAAGTACTGAACAGTTTGTATTTTACCATTCACTCGTCAGAACGATAATTTCAAAAACATATTATACTGTGATAGATTTCCTACCTACTAAAGTATTGTTTTTTGACGCAATTTCAAGCGGACAAGTTAAAAAAAAACCAAAATGTTAAGATTTATTTTTTGTAGCGGGAGACTCAATATTATTACAACCAACTTAATGTTACTAATTCAAAGTTGCAAAATTTGAGTGCAGAGTGATTTGATAAGGATAAGATACTGATTTTCTCCAAAAACAATTGCAATCGTAATGCCGGAGTTTTTTTTTGAATTTTTTTTTTTTTATTAGTTGGTGTCTTGGGTGCTTGTTTCTTATTATATTTTGAAAAAAAAATTGTATACTTAGATTTTGAAAAAAAAAATTGATGTTTCCATATAGCAACGTTATAGGCGCTAATGGGTTAACTTTTTGAAAATAGAATAATTTGTTGAAAGTTTAAACCAATCGATAATTTTGGATAATAATTACTCTGAAAGTTATTAAAGTTTAAAATTAACGACGGAAGGTGGAGTGCTAACACCAAAGTGTCAAATCTTTGAGGGACATGTATATATATATATATATATATTTTTTTTTTTTATTTCATTAAATATTTGTTTTAAAATTTGATGGTCGTTTTAAAATGTGTTACCCGCAGCGGAGATATGGCGAAAATCGTAGGAAAGTTGTTTCTCTAAAATCCTTAACGGGTTGTTACCAAGACAAACAGTTAAAACTAAAATACTTAATAGACATCATAATTTATTAATTTTTCACCATACACCAGAAAGCTAAATTAACTAAAATAGAGAAAATAAGGCTAATTATATTTTTGCTAAGTAGACCACGTTTTATGTCGAATCTAATATTGAATACATTATTTTTATTTAATAAATACCTATTGAAAATAATACAAATTTTCCCTGTTAAAACACTATTCAAATTAAAACATTTTCCTATCTTTTATCTTTTATCTATTGTTGTATTAATTAAATAACAAGTAAACATAATAAAAATTATCTCAAATAAAAATAGTAAAAGTCATAATTATTTCGGAAGTAATATATTTTATTTAAGTATAAATCAGCAGGGAAATTTTGTATAAGTCAGCTAATTGGCAGTTTCTTAGACAAATAGCGGATATGAAGATTTTAGATATAGAAATAATATTGAAAATAGTAGAGGTTTGACATTCATTGAGCTTGGTGTCAGGTGTGCGTATAGACTATAAAAAGAGTCTAGAGAGTTGTCTTATAAAATAACCGGTTAGGTAGTCTTTGTTTTACCATTTTAATATCATTAAATCGTTACAGTTGGTTGTGTAACAATATTATGCCATATGTTGTAATAAGAATATTTTAATTATTGAATTAGCTAGAATCTGAACTCATATGACCCGAAATCACATTTTTCAAAAAACGCAAAAAGAAATTTAACTTTATAGCTGTTTTCATACTAACGGAAACTTTCTATATTACACCATATTACTTAATACAACGCAAGACACTCATTTTCTCGGGAAATAATATTATAGCATAATATGATTTACTATATGTTATATATATAATTTAGTTCAGAGGTGTAATGAGGGCCTAATATAAAACGGCTAATATAAAATGAATACTCTCTACCAAATTATTATTGTAATTTGTTCGAATCATTAGATAAGCGAAACAAATTTGATTATACGTTATACGTTTATCGCCCGTTGCGATTATCTATTTTTTGTGTTTAACTCTCTGGCGTGTGCTTTAAATACATATATTTTAAAAACTAATTACAATTTTTGTTATATTATGTAATACAAATGATTAGTAAGTACCTAAATTGAAGCACACAGAATGCTATTTAAAAAAACAATGTTTATCTGATTATTATATTTTACTCAGAATTTATAAAAAAAATTGTTTCTTAAACATTCAAATTTTTATGAATTATTATTATAGCTTTTATTAAAACCATCATTTTTTTTTCTATTATTTTGGTCGTAAATAGTATTATTAGTTTTTTCTTGACACTTATTTTTTATAATTTTTTTTTAAGTGTCTTCGGTCGTCAAAAAAATTATTTTAAATCAGTTTCTTATGTAAAATAATCTCAACTTTTTGAAAAAAATATTGAATAATTTGTTGAGTAACAGAGTCATTTAATTTAAGTTCATAAAAAACTTGATTTTTTCGTGTTGTACAAAATATTTTTCTAATATTTTTTTTTAGAAAGCTGAGATAATTTTACATAAGGTGTGTACATTTTAAACTGGTTTCGCCATAAAAACGCCTAAAATTACAAAAAAAAAAAAGGTAAAATTTCATAGAAAAGTAAAAAAATTATCTTATTTTTACAAGTCATAATTATTTAAACTATTCTGATTATTATGTTCGTTTTTCCATGTTTTTCTTTACATTTCTATAAAAATCTCAACTCTTTTTTGTTTTTCTAAGCGTTTTTGTATCAAACATTTTTTTTTTATTTCCCTTAAGTGATTAAAACAATTGTGCCTATTCAATAACATAAAAGTAAACACAGGTCCGTTTACAAAATAAACAAAATTGTTAATTTAAATTTCCCTTTTTTGTAGTAAAAAAAAGTACCGTTAAGGTGTTAGATAAATTTAAAATGTTGACTTATATGTGAGTATATTGTAGTGTATAAAGTACTTACAAACGAAAAAAAAAAATATTTTATAGTAAATTGTAGGAAAATGTGAATTGATGAGTTTGAGTAGAGCGAGGACATGTAAACGCGTTCATGTGAAATTCGAGCGGAGGGAGAAAAATTTTTTTTCTACTTATTTTTGTTAAAAAAAGGGCGTATATCCACGAATTTATTTACTAATGCCCCACTGTGTAATCCATCAAATTGCATTACAGATATATAAACAACTTCTAGCACAAACTATTTATACACACATTGCCTTGTTAAAATATCGGTTACTCCGTTATGGGTAAATAAAGGCGTGGTCGATAAAGTTGTTTTATAATATAAAATAGTTCTATAAACTGGTCTGAACTCTTTAGTCTAGACATTTTTTCCGATGTAGCTTGTATTCTAGTACATGTCGAGCCGTAGCTAGTGTTTGTTTAATTTATTGTTTCCGAAACTATGGAAGAAATACGGTGAGAATTAATATCAATTATCATATTAATCATTTATAGACTATAGATTATAATATCAAGGTTTTATTAGATAATCCCGTGTATGATGAATACACGGATAAATACAAACAAACAGACATGCAAATAATTGCAAGACATTGCTTAACAATTTTTCAATGTTAAGAAAATATTTTTGTAATCTTTCTTTGTCGGCTTTAGCATTTGTGTAAATTAAATATATGACCCGTCAGATGATTAAAAACTCATATTTACACCACAAAAAAGTTATACAGAATTTATAATGAAGAATTGTCAATAAAAATATCTTTATTTTCAACATTAGCGTTGAATTTTATTGTTGCGAATAATTTTATCAAATACAAAATCAATATCATTAAATCGTTTTACACTAACAGCTAACTATTGATTTTTTACAAGATACAACCATAAGCTTCATGTACCATATAATAAGGAAAATCTCGGTAAATAACGACTCTCGATTGAACCAGTTATTGACCGCATTTCGTTTTGTTTAGTGGTTGTGTACTAATATTATATACTAATTTTGTTATGTTTTTTTTTCAGCCCTCTTCTTAGACCTAGAAAAAAATTATCATTTAAGAAGAAATCGGCAATCGTTTTGTTTATCGTGTTTATGATATTGGCCACAGTTTTTATAATATCGTGTATCATATTCAAACCCCCACTAATAAAAGTAAGATTATCACTTGCTATTTATTTATTCTTTTTTTAATCACCAAAGGGCATTTTTATTAAACGATAAGCAACTATTTTTATAAATCTATATTAAAGCTATTTATTTATAATTATTAAATTATTCTCATTGTGGTGCGATATTTATAAGTGTTCACCGGTTAATTATTAATTTCGGTCGCCAAGTGCAATCTTAAAAAAATATGTTTTACCTCAAGTTTCACGTTGAACGTTCGGCAAGACCCGTGATCGTTTTTAAAATGTCCTACTACCTCCTAACTAGTGATAGCCTCGATTGTTGTAGAGTTAACTGTTTCTATTTAATTTTATTTGTTATCCGTAAAATAATATCAAATACGTCTTGTTATTGATTTAGAAAAAACCGCATGTTGTTAGTTTGGCTACTACCAACGACGATTTCTTCGTCAAATGTGCGCCGCTGGTGTCGTGTGATCCGTCTTCGGTGTACAGAAGTATAAACGGATCGTGTAATAACTTGCAAAATCCAGCTTGGGGCGCGTCGTTCACGCCATTTTATCGATTAATCGATGCTGAATTCGACGACGGTAAGAACCTAGGCGCAGCGGCGTTTGGCGACTTTTAGTAAATTAAAATAAACATGTAATATCGAGTTCGATTTCGGTGCCCCGAAGTCAATAATATATTTTCAAATTAATTAAAAAAAATAAATTTGTAGTTTCACGATGAATTTACACTTGACTTTACGCAGGCCATAAGTCTTTTCGACTACAATCAAACGGCGAACCGTTGCCGAATGCAAGAATACTTACAATCACGTTATTCGCCGACAAATACCGACAATGCAGTCATAAGAACAATGAGCTATTAGTGCCGTGGGGTCAGTTCATAACTCATGACATAGCGTACTCGCCTGTCAACAGCGTCGACTCGTCCTTTCCAGGTAAAACAGCTAATACTTATGAGTTAAAAAAAAAAAAAACAAATAATAACGATTTACACCAAAGAGCCTGACAAAATTTCGACTACTTAGGGCGGTCTGATTACGATTCTGTTAAGATATTAGAGTTCTTTGGCTATTTCACTAGGTTATGTAGAAAACGGATTTTTTTTTTTTTGTTTTTTTATTGTAAATATATTATTTTTAATATTGAAAAATTTTCAAATTTAATTTTTCTAACTACATTAAACTGAATTGTTTGAATGAAAATCGGTTACGGTACAGTACCAGTACGATTTACCTATTAAAGTAGTAGTCAAGGAACAAGAATTTTTTTACTGAATTTAAATCGGACTATTTTAAGTAGGCATATTTTTGTCAGGTTTTTAGGTCTGATAAAGCACCAAAATTGCGTTTACTCTTTGAACAATTTCAATAAGTTAAAAATAATACTTTGAGCTTCTACAAATAATTAGATATAATTATTTGACATGGTCGAAGTTTATTAAAACCCATTTTTCTTAAATATTGATTTTAAAAAACTCCTTGAAACCCGTCCGCTTTCAATCCCCTTAATTAAATTATTAAATTTTCGCAATTGCTTACATTTTTTTTTTTAATTAAATTTAGATTACTGTACACTGTAAGCTTATGGCATATAATCACTTTGAAAAATCTGTTTGTGGAAACTATTAAAAGTATAAATTATATAATATTATGCAAACTTGGATAGATTTTTCAAGATGATATTTTAATGTATTTTAGTATAATCATAGTCTAATGATATGAGATAGGGCTGTTGATAATTCATACTACGATATCTATCATTTGTGGACTAAATAATGAATAATATAATTATTTTTGAAAAGTACAAGGCGTTCCTAGTATTATAGTAAAACGTGTTATTCCCACACATCATAAAAATTATACTTACATTTATTTTACTGTATTTTTTAAATATTGTAAACACTTTAGACGGCCTCTACACCTGCGTATTTTTGGTCGAAAACAACTCATTCTACTTCAAACGTACTGCTCCTAAGAATACTCCAATTTAAGTTACCAAAAATCATTCGAATTCTTCATAGCATTTCAAGACGTAGATCGCGGCATAATTTAAAAATTTGTTTTTGTTAATTAATTATTTCAGTTTAAAAGAAGTTAAAAATTGCAGTTTTTTACATTGAAATAGCTAATTAACTAAAAATAATTTTAAAATTGTGCCACGATCGATGCCTTGAAAATTAGTATTATTAGGAACAGTACGTTTGAAGTAAAAACATATGCGTTATAAAATTTGAAAAAAAAATTAATATGAAAATAGATCCTCCTTTTCTATGTTAATATATGTTTTTAACAATTTTAGCTTAATATTAAGTTTTAGTAAAAAATTGCCTATACAACGTGCCTTAATAAATGCAGTCCAACAAATGTTTTGTAAAACACCTAGGTACACTAAATTTTTGAAGTATTCAGTTTGTACTTCACTGAGTGGATTCTATTGTACATACAACTATTTGAAAAATGTACTCGGCTCTAGTGTCATAACTCATAACCCGTTATGAGTATGTACACTACTCGTCAAACTACTTTTTAAGGGTGTCGGTACATATGTACTATGTAGTCACTACCTTTTTTGTGGTAGTTGCGGACATTCGTTTCCTTTTACCTATAAACTGGTTCAAAAAAGATACAGGACAAGTAATGTTGTTGAAGGTTGTAACAGCAAATTGAACAAACGAATGATTAGATCTCGACCAACTTTTTTGAGAAGCTTCACATGGAGACTTGATGTTTGATTGGCGGATTTTGAAGGAATTTTTTGAATATGGAAGGAAAACAATGTTACACGGAATTTGACAGTAGAATTGACAAAACATTGGTGTCATATTGAGAGGACAGAGACTTAAAAAAATCCTAGAAATTCTGTTTTTCACCAAAAACTTTCTTGAAAAAAACCATGAAAAAATATCTGACAAATCTTAATGTAACGAGACGAAATAAATATTCTAAAAATAACTTTTAAACATGCTAGTAAATAGTATATAATATTTATATTAGACGACAAACGATTATTTTTTATTAGTTGATAATTTTTATTTAACTGTCACAGTAACAGATTTACAATGCATTTATAAAAAAAAAAAAAAGAAACATTTTATTTGGAATATAGTCGATATTACACATATTTAATAATGACAAAACATTGTGACGAAATTCCATTCTTTAAGTTTTGTCGGTATAACTATTATATAAATTGAAAAACGGGAAAATAAGTATAACTTGTATTGACTATTGGTCGTGGTACGATTTTCGAACACTAAACTATACTTGACAAGGGGTCGTTTAACGGTCGAATTTACAAGTATGATGTTTTCTAGTCGTTTGGTACCAAAACTAATATCACCTAGTACTGAAAAATAATCATTTACAATTTTAGATACACTAGACCATTGTGACGACGAACCGGCACCAGAGGAGTGCACTGCGGCTATTCGATTAGACCCCCACGATCCGGTTTATGGAAAGTATAAATTACCACTTTTGAAATTCATGAGGTCCGTAACTTCGGATAATTTTAGTTGCCCTCTTGTACCGACTACTGTGGTGAGTTATTCAAATTTTACATTTTAGTCGAAACCGGTGTTTTAGTCAGGACAGTGTCTGTTTACAGCTTAATCAAAACACTCATTACATCGACGCTTCGAACGTGTACGGGTCCGATGAAAAATTGGCTTCGAACTTGCGGCTTTACGACGGGGGTCAGTTACGGTTCAGTGTCGTAGGCAAAGAACAGTATTGTCCTTTCGATACTTCAATCCAAGTTACTAACGCGACGGAAAAATCAACGCCTATTGCGTTCCTAGCAGGTATTTAAAAAATAATATTTATAACTATTGTATTTACCGTTGAGGCAGTGCGTCGTTAAAATTCCACAAGGCGTTCTATGTAGACAATAAAACGTGCATAATAGATGTGTGTTCACTATATTGTGCTTGTCTCCTAGACAGAGCGTTTGCTTTGGATGTTTTTCAACCGTCTTCGGTTTTAAAACGGAATCGAAGTCCGTAGAAGCTGCCACTCATAATATATTTTTAACTTACATCGTGTACATAAACAACCTACAATAACTATAATACTAATGTAGCTACTCGATTTCCAGGCGACGGCAACGTCAATCAAAACTTAGCAATAGCGCTATTTCAGAATCTGTTTTTGAGATTTCATAATTACTTGGCTAACAAGTTGCAATCTCAACACCCATCGTGGTCGGACGAAAAGGTCTACCAAGAGTCTCGTAGGATCGTCGGGGCCGTTAACCAGATTATAACATACGATCACTTTTTGCCTATACTCTTGGGTAAGTTTTATGCGAGTTTATAATATTGAAGTTAACGTTTGTCTAACGTTATATAGCGTATCGCAGGCAAAGATTACATCGATCGGTATGGTATCAATGGCAAAACAAAATACGATTCTACGCTATCTGCAACTATGTCACAAGAAATGACCAGCAGCGCATTCCGTTTAATTCACAATATAATTCCAGCCAAATACAAGTATGTAGAAAACTTTGAAGAAGTACTATCTACTTCTTTAAAATGTTATTAATAAATTCGTTCGTTGAATAAGTGAAAAACGCGTTAACCGATTTAAAATTTACTATAAACGTATGATCTGCACTATTTCCAGTTTCATAGACAGTAACTATACTATGTACGAAGAAGAAGAGCCAAGTAAATTATTTTTAAAACCCGATTCGCTAATCGGTAATGTCGATGGAATATTAAGAGGTTTCGTGGAAACACCAGGACGTGCACCACGTGCATCGTATAATAGATTGGTAATTTTTTATTAGCGGACTCAAAGGTTGTTTTTCAAGTGTTAAATTGCAATTTTTTTTTTTAATTGCCCGTGCAGATCGCAAACATTGTTGTTACTGCTCCGGCCAAAAATATTGTTACCGGTTTCGACTTATTGTCTTACGACATCCAACGAGGGCGTGACAACGGACTTCCACCATACAACAAAATGAGAAAACTATGCGGACTTCGAAAAGTTAATTCTTTTGACGCTTTATCGGATTACATAACAGAAGAGGTAAATATTATGTAAACAATATGGTACTCATAATGTGTAACAAACTACCATGGATTTATTTTGCGTGGCATTCAAACCCATTATCTTTCCAACAAAAATCAGATTCTTTACCTACTAGTTATACAGATAAGCGGTGCTTTACACAAGAACGGTAGTCGATTCTATGCTAAAATTCTTTACACCCGACTAAACATAATTCTTATCTTCAAACCGTTAGATATGAAATAATATAATTGAAAACAAAAAGTTTAAACAGAGTATGTATGTTATTAAAAATGTATGCGTACAAATAAAGGATTGTGGTTTGAATTTTCGGGGGTGCTAAAGTCGTCCCCATAGCACCCCCCTAGTTGCGCCTAAGACCCCCTCATTAAAGTCGCGCAGGTTAAATACTTAACACGGTTGATACATTATTTATTAAAACAACAATTGTTTATAGGCATTACACATAGGCGCAAATACGGGGTAATAGGGTGGGCTCAGCCTCCCCAATGCTAAACATAGCCCCACGGCCCACCAAAAAAATTAGGTAATGCGTATGAATTTTAAAATACAAAAATATATTTACTTATATATATATATATTTAAAAAAAAAATCCAGCCTCCCCCCCCCCCCCGAGTTAAAAATTAAAATTGCGCCTATGGTATTACATTTTTTAGCTTCGATTGTAATATATTTTTTTATTTTTAGAACATTGAAAAGTTGAAATCTATGTACTCGTCTGTGGATGACATTGACTACCACGTGGGGATATTGCTAGAGAAACCGTTAAACGATTCTATGGTCGGTCCATCGGCCGCTTGTGTGATCGCCGATACATTTTATCGACTCAAGAACGGCGACCGTTTCTTCTACGACGTCGAAAATCAACCAGGCAGTTTTACTTCTGGCGAGTACTTAACCGCGCATAAAATGGAAAAACTATGCTGAAATTATTAAACTATATTTTACACGTTGGGCTAATGGAAAAGTATGATTTCAGATCAAATAAAATCGTTGAAGAACATTACATTAAGTCACGTGATTTGCGCTACGTCAAACTTGGAACAAATGCAAAAAGAAACGTTCAGTTTGGTCGATCACGTGTAAGCCGAATAATAATAATATTAATAATTAAATACATAATATTATATTGTATTCGAATTAATTTTTTTAGACGAATAATGAGTTTAAAGCCAAGCTGTAAAAACTACAACATTGACTTATCGCCGTGGTGACGTTTGAAAATTTTACAAATGACGTTGTATTTTTTTACGTTATGTTTTGATGCTGTACATACACCTGGTTCCTACTGCTACTATTGATCATTTAAATGTTTAATTGGTGTTATGTATGATGAAAATTATTGTTGAATTTTTCAAACAGAAGTTTTTTACTTATTTAAAGTATATTATATTTTTTTTATTTTATCGTTATGTTTTGTGTATTTATTTTGTATTTGTATTTCGAGTATAACATTATTATTATTATAGTACGCTAATCGGATATTACTAGTAGCCCAATGGCCAATACTACCGTTTATAGTCAATGGCAATACTATTTTATCATGTTATAATTGAACCGCATACAATTAACAATAAAAAAAAACTGTAAAAATTAAAAAACCTATTATATTACATAACAAACCTATTATTTATTTGATTTTTGGTAGCTGGCTTGACAGCTTTTTGTTCATTGTTCTTTTGTTTGATATATTTTGTGAAAATGGCAGATTGATACCCACTACAATTATTTGTATACAAATATTCATAATTTTTCTGCTAGTGGTATTGACTTAGTAGTGGCTTATTAAATGTGTGAAATGATAAATCGCATGATGAACTTTTTTGATGTTATGTTATAAGGAAGCATTAGTTAAGCATTTATTCTACGTCATTAACTTGCACTTAAAGTTAAAGATGAGTTCATACAGAAATATGAACATGAAATATCATACGAACGTAAGCTTTGGTTATTAGTTTCTAAACATTTAGATTCGATGCCAAGTTTTACAACAATTTATTTTTATTTTTCTCTGTTTTCATGTACTAGATACCAACAAATATCGTTGTATTAAAATTGCTTTTGATAAGTAAGCTGGTTTTAAAAGTAATATAAAATATAAGACTATAGCAACTATTAATATTTTTAATTTATTATGAGGAATTGTAGCTAATACAGTAAATAACATGCACCGTACGATATATCAATATTAGTTTGTATAATATATCCAATACATTTAAACGGTAAACACTTACAAAATAAAAATAAAAGATTATTATAATTTATAAGGTATTTAATTATAATTAAAAGTTATCATTATTATCGTTGCTATCAAGTATCAACTTCAATATACATACTGATAATATTATCATCATTAGCAATATCACAAAAATGATAATTACAGTTATTATCATTGAAATTATCATCACAATCATCATTATAGTCATAATTATTATTACTGTATTTTTATCAATATTATTAAATCATCGTCATTATATTATACATCATGTACCTGATTTATTGTATCATAAAAATCATAATCATCAATATTATTTTAATGATATTAATATACACATCAATAGTTATGATGATTAAGACAATGATAATAATGAAAATGGTAGTTATGACAATCGTAATAACTACAAACAAGAGGCGAACACACGGTAGACCAAGGAACAGATGAAAAGACACTGTGGGAAAAAATGTAATAAGTCTGGTAGCAGGTAGACAATATTATAATGTATTAAGAGGGCGTCGCACCGCCCATTTTTAAGGATTAAAGTATAGGCAATTTTTTACAACATCTTAATTTAAAGGTTTAAAACTGTGATGTGTAATTATTGTGAAGATAAAGAAGGTTGATAATGGTAATAATATTGATATAACGATAAGTATGGTATTGAAAGTAATAATCATGATGACAGATGATAATTAAGATAAGTTTAACCCTTCGTCTGGAGGGTAGTCTACATTTATTTTCGTTTCAACAAATCTCTCACTAAAAATAAATATAGGTATTTTGAAAAGCACTAATTAGTAATTTTAGATTTAAGGTTTAAAGTATCTGAAGTCCTGTTATTGGGTCTCCACCCCCACGGGGGTGTGTTATAGTTTGTAAGGCGAAAATATGTAATTAAATGAAGCGTGTATAAATTGTTTGATACAATAAACGGTGTAGGTGACCCAGAATAATGCCTCACTAGGCAGGTTAGTTAAACGAGGGGGGAAAAAAGTATCCCAAGCCCCCCCCCCCCCGATCTCTACCAATGCAGTGATCATAGATCATATAGTAATAAAACCAAAAATATTTGTTTTGTTATGATTGGCAGACCTGTAATATACACATTATTAGCTAATCTATTTCTATAATCAATACGTAAAATTTACATACAAATTATATACTAAATATTAGTATTGTTTTTGTTTTGCGTTTGTCTCGGATGGAGTGTAGGTACTTAAACATTTTAAAAACTTACTTATAATTACTTACTTAATTGTTTGGGTCAATTTTTATAATATTCTTTGTCTTTCATCCTCCATAAAATTAAACAAGCTCCCTTTAGTGTATTATACTATGTACTTTTTGTTAACTAAAAAGAAACTTTTGAAGATTGTAGGCACAATAAACGTACTTAGTTTTATGTTTTTTTTTAAAGCATTGCAATTATCTTTAACATAAAATATTATTTTTGGTAGGAGTTTTTATAGATTTATAGATTATTTTTCCAAAATAATGGTTTATGATCTTGATATTAGAGTGTGCTTGGGCATACGGTATAACTTTATACCCTGTAGTTCCGCCTATGATTATAAAATAGTTAAACTAATCGACATTTAATTATAATATTATATTCCATTGTCATTATAAAGTCCAAATTAATACTTAAAAATCGTAAAAAATTCGGCCATGACCAAGAGCTTAGCTGATGCCGAATATATTGTTAAAAAAGTCATTTGAATTCTATACAATTAAATTTATAAAATTGTTATTTAAACATACATCGCAAATTAATATGAAATTTATATAAAAAAATGATTTTTAAATATTCTAATAACTAATTTACAATTAACTTACAAAAATTTTACACTAATTTGAAGTTGATAAGATAATGTAGGGACAAGGGGGCCAACTTAATGTACGTACTCCAAGGCAAAATTATTGATACTCAGGTTTACTCGAAATCGACTTTTCTACAATGAAGTCTCTTTTTGCTTTCTGCATCACTTATATATTTTTTAAACTCCACCTTCCCCCCCCCTGACAACTGCCTACCCCACTTGTACTTTCAGGCTGTATAACAGTCCAACTACAGTCATCGCGTTACTAGTTCGTTAAATTAACATCGTTTGTTTTTTGTGAAACGAATATTTTCAATTATATATTGTTCTTTTAGATTTATCTTGTATAGTTTTAGTATAGCGCATGTTTCAAACCAATTTAACCGAATATTCATGTACAATTTTTGAAAGAAATAAAAACGAATCATCATTATGTCTCGTTTGTATATATATATATATATATATATATATGTATGTACAAAGTAATGTGTTTATTTTAAATATAAAGTCTAACCAAACCGGTATCAGACATACTATATATATATCATGGAAAAATAACGTTAGTTAAAACTGGTTTTCTCTGTAAGTGAACCTATAAGCGTCAAGGGACCTCGCATTGTAACATACAAATAAAAATATTGTAATAATACAATATAATAAAATACATAATAATAAGTATTTTTAATTTTTAGACAGATTATTTTAAAGATTTTTAACGAAAGAATAAAATACTAAATCTCACGCACCACAAAATACAATAAACACACTATACAGGATGTTGACAAATTTTAAAAACCCATTTCACATTATAAGAGTAGTGATAGTACTCAGTGTTCACATATCACTTCTCTTAATAAATCTTTCGTCAATATGTCTGAAAATGGCCAACTGTTGTAGTTGTTTATATTGTTATTACAGTAATTATTGTTTACCAAATATATAGTGTATAGTTGTTAATCAATGAACGCACAGATAATTGTGTTAGTAAGTGTTCTGGGTACTTAATAATAGCCGCCATGGTGTGGTCATCTATTTATTATTATTATAATATGATGCCTAATGTATAGTGTTCATGTCACAGTACTATATTGATAGACAGCTCTGTGATCGACGTTGGAATGCAGGTAACAACGACTTACACGCCGGTACCTTCCCCAATAAAACCCAAGTAAATATTTTATGTGAAACACGACGTCTTTGCACCAGGCAAATGAAACATATTTTGTTGGATACTTTCCAGTAGTTGTAAAACAAGTTTTCGATATTTTTAAAGCCTTTAATGATGTTTTTTTTTTGGCACGTAATTCAATTTTTTTATAATGATTTTACAATAAGTTGTTTAGACGTTTAGAAAAGAATTTCCAATGTTCAAACCATACTTAACCATTTACACTGTATCTCTGAAGATACTTAAAGGGTCTCTACACCTGCGTAATTTTGGTCGAAAACAACTCATTCTACTTCAAACGTACTGTTCCTAAGAATACTCCAATTTAAGTTACCAAAAGTCATTTGAATTCTTCATAACATTTTCAAGGCATAGATCGCGGCAAAATTTAAAAATGATTTTTTGTTAACTAATTATTTCAGTTTAAAAAAAGTTAAAAATTGCAGTTTTTTATATTGAAATAGCTAATTAACTAAAAATAATTTTAAAATTGTGCCTCGATCGATGCCTTGAAAATTACTATTCTTAGAAACAGTACGTTTGAAGTAGAAACATATGTTTTTGTACAAAAACAGATCTTAAATGCGTTATAAAAATTGAAAAAAAAATGTATATGATAATATATCCGTCTTTCCAATGGTAATATATATGTTTAAAAATGTTAGCTTAATGTTAAGTGTTTGTGAAAAAATGCCTATGCGCATACAATGCGCCTTAAAAAATGCTAGTGTAGAGGTCCCATAAAATATATATATTACGTAATTTTCCACAATCAACCTTAAAAGTACTATTATTTTAGTTATTTTTAATGTTTAAAATTTAGTATTTTTTAGATTGGTGTTAAAAATCTTGCATATTGCTTTTTCTTAAAACCGCAAAATTGTGATTTTCAAATAAAATTCCAATAGTCTTTCAAACAGGGGAGCTAAACAAGAAATTCAAATAAAAATTTCAATAAATTACATTTGATTTTCTCATTTGTGATCAATTGGCAAAGGTTGAGTATGAAGTCTTATACCCGCATTGTCGAAAACCAGTATCACCGATGGGTATTATTATATATTTATGTAGTATGTTTCACTGAGTTGTGCAATAATATAAAATATTTCTTTGGTTGCTCGATTATATAATAATAATATTTTATTAATTGGATTTCAACGGACAATATTAACAAAAGTATACACATACTTATTGTACGAAACAATAGTATTCAAAATAATAAGTGTAATTTTTTAGGCCCTACACTAGTTTCTTCTAAAAATAATTTATACTTTGTAGTTTTTAAAGCTCTAGAAAATATTAAAAAAAGGTAAATATTTGGTAATAATGTATAGTAACATAAATGATTATGTTTTCAAAAATAAACACTACAAAATTTCAATTATTTAAATAGTAAACTAGTGTAGGGCGTTAAAAGAATCACCCGGTATAATATACAGTCTACTAATATTGTAAGCGAGCCAAGAGTAGTATGCACAATGAAGATCCACTGCTGTGGTAGGATATTATGTTCAAACGCCTAAACCAGTCTGGCATTTAGTGATCGCACTAACCACAGTGTAGTGTTCAATTCCCGAGGAGATAACAACAGCCATGGTGAGGTTTTTCAGACAAGTTGATAAAGCCGAAGAAAACGAGTCCAAGTAATTATTCAACGTTTTTATTTAAATAACAAACAAAATCAAATTACACTATAGTTTTTTCTTCAACCCTACATTAATTGTTTAGTTATAATATAAACATATACCCACTAGGGTCAAGTGGGGGCAAATAATGACACTTTTTACTTTTAGCCAATCATATTATTTATATGATGTTATTGTATCTACCATTAAAATTCAAATATTATTCTTTCAATTAACAAAAAAAAAAAAAAACAATTACATTTTTAGCACTTGTTTTCAACTACCTCATTTGACTCTACACTTAAACATAAAAAACATTTAACAAAATTTACAATAATTATTTATTTGTATGATAATGTTTTGTTGAATTCTCCTTTGCTTGTATATTGCTTTTTATTAACAAATCTTAAGAGGATTGAAAACGGTTTTGTTTTTTGGACGTTTTAAACCAAAATAATGACTACTTAGGATGATCCGATTTTAATTCTGTAAAGATATACGAACTCTTTGGCTAGGCTTTCACTAGGATATGTTGGAAACGGATTTTTTTTATTTATTGATTATTTTATGTAAAACAATTGCTTTTAAACATTGAAACGTTTTCATTTTTAATTATTTAATTATTACAAAAAAACAAAAAATGTTTAATGAAATGTTGGTTTTCAACATAACCCAGTAAAGAGGCTAACAGATTATTATACTTGTACAGAATTGAAATTGGACCAGCCAAAGGTCTCACAATATTGTCGCAACTAAAGCATTTTTCTTACTACCAAAAAAGCTTTTTACTTATACTTGTAAATTTGTTTACAATAAGTATTTTTTTTTTAACTATTTACAACAAAATATGTACACGATTAACACGAGGAGATAACCCAATATTAGGAGCACCTCGTTTGTGTATAAAACAAAAATAATGTCTTGAGTCACGGAATCATTTTCTTTTGAGATATCTGGGCAGGTTACCAGGGAGGTTATCAAATAATAGCTGCGTGATAAGTTGTTTTTAGCTTGAACTCAGTTTCGATTGGAAGCGGCTGTAATATACTTCAGCGGTCTCGTTTTGAGTAAGTTAAAAATTATACCTCGAAGGTTCATACAGATTAATCTAAAAACAAATTTACATGGTCGAGATTTATTAAACCAAATTTTTTCTTAAATATTGCTCAAATAAAACTTCTCGAGAACCGCCCACTTTCAATCCCCTTAAGTCCATGTTTATTTATAATCTTTTTACCTAAAAATACTGAATTTATTGATGTAGGATTTATACAATATCATTTATTATAATCATAATGTATAAATGATTGTTCAATTTTATTGTGTTTTAATTGTATTAGGTTTTTACAATTTTACAATTATATTATATACTTAACGAGTACTGTTCTCGAGGATTTCAAATTTAACGACTATTGCCAATTTTTATTTAGTTAGCTGAAGTCATATTATATGTTGTGCAATTTAAAGTAACTACCAATGTCCATCTCGATTGAAGTTTACCATGTCCAATGCGTTAGTAAAATTTATACCAGTTTGACAGGTAAAAAACATGTGTTTTCCTTGTGAACGTATCACCATGATAATATAATGTGAAATTTGTAGGTATATGATAATTTGCATGACAAAGTAAATTTAGTTTGTCGTGATAATTTGTATCATTCTATTATCATATTTTAATAGAAGTAAACAATACAACACGTATTCCAACGATGTCCAAATTAAAATGGTTTTTTTTTTTATTAAACACTAATTATAATATTATCTGTAAGCAATATTTTTTTACGATGATTATTATAGCTAACAATAATAATAACATGAATTAACTTGAGTGGAGAGTCACCCAATGGAGGTACTCCATATAAGTTAATATGTACATATGAATATATGATATAGTTAGTATAGTTTTTGCCGCCCTTCAGCCACTAAATTTTCCACCATACTTTTTCGGCATAATACATTTGACAAGTCTTAATCTGTATGCTTCCTTAACACAGCCCTGACTTCCATACTTAAAATCCTTCAATACTTTGATAACATAAAATAATAATGGTTTGTGTTGGTGATTTAGTTGAAGTTATTCTTAGTTTAATAGTGTTTTCCCAATAGACTGTACTGACAATTTATTGATAGCCGTAATAATGTCATTACGTAATCTGATGATGTAATAATAGCGAAACAAAATAATTATTATACACAAGTTACTTCTTTTGATAATAGATCAATTATTTTAATATAGGTATACTTAAAAACATAATAAATTTTAAAATAATTATTTAATACAGTTTTTCCTAAATTTTCCTTGCAGTGTTTGCTAAATGAAGTTAATGCAAACTAAAATAGCTTAAGTATTCAAAAAAAAAAAGTTACAGAAGAGCAATTTTTGTTAGTTATTTTTCAATATATCTGTAAAAAATTATAAAATAAACATAAAAAGAGAAGTCATTGACAATATTTGTATGTTAAAAAAAATTATTTTTGAAAAAAAGATTACTTGTACCCATTTGTTCTCAACACTTAAAATATATCACCACAGCCAAATTTGTATTAAATATTAATTATTATTTTAAATGTCTATATTTTATTATTATATCACGTGATTTTTAACATTTCTATAATTTGAATACAGTTATTTATCTCTTTCTCAAACAATTATTTTTTAGTGGGCGACTTTCCATTATATTTTAATTATTTAATTTTTATTAACACAACTATTGTCAGCTAAAAACTAACTTTACATAAGCTAATTACTTTAACTGTTAATACAAATATTTTTTTTTTTTTAACTATCGCTATGTGATGAAAATGTTGAAGAAAAAAATGTGTATTTTTCATTTAAACGACTATATAATCGCTTTTTGTTAATATTTCAGACCACTCTTAAAAGGCAAACAATCAACATGTTATGGGAAGGCAAAAAGTACTTTTTTAATACTTTTTGTACTCGCTCATGTCGTTCTTCTAGGATATTTAGTAAATCATTGGCTAAAATCGTCAACGACAAATAATGTAATATACTTGGAATATTTTCCTTAACACTTGTCAACTGGTTGTTGCATTATTAGCAATTATGCTTATTTGTTAAATTAGAATGTCAGTGAAACTTTAGTGCCGGTATCCAGATTGAACAGTCAAGCCACTACCAATGGCGATTACTTTAAACAATGTGCTCCAAAAGTAACTTGTGATCCAAATGCAAAGTACAGAACTTTCAATGGGTCGTGTAACAACTTGGCCCGTCCCAATTGGGGAGCAGCATTGACACCGTTTTATAGACTTGGCAACGCTGTATTCAGTGACGGTACATTGTTATTATTTTCAATTTTTTATTTAAATGCAATACCATGTCGTAGGGGATAAAAAAAAAAAAGAATCTACTATATTTGGAGCTAATTGAACAAAATAAGACATAATATTAACTAATAACTATTATTAGCAACAGTTATAATTTAAAAAAAACAAAATGACATTTTAATGCATGTTGAATACAATTAACTAGGTGATAACTAATATCATAAAAATGCTATAATAGTCAACTTTTTTTTAGGAAAATACGAGTTTAGACTGCAAGCCGATGGAAAACCATTGCCCAGTGCTAGGTCGGTTGGCGTCAAGTTGTTCTATGCAAGAGAAGTGCCGTATTTCGACGGAGAGAACAACCAATTATTAGTACCCTGGGGACAATTCATAACCCACGATATGTCATTCTATCCTGATGACATCCGAGGAAAATCCACACCCAGTACGTATAGTATAGAAATAATTAGCTCTCAGCAAAAATAATCACTTAAAATTCGAGAGTATAATATTATTTGTCCAGACCGAGCATAGCACAATTTTCGAAACTTTCAGTCAGACAATCATTTTAAAGTCATCAAATAATTTGGGTATACATTTTTTATCCCTCTACATGATTGCGGTCATCCATTAGTATAGGTTATAATATGTCCTTAATATTTCTAAAAATGGTTTGCATATCTATAGGTAAAAATCGAAATTTGTCGAATTTTTAATATTATATTTTGACATTCTGCCAGCTAGAACGTAACCCAAATGGCGACTTGCTAGCATTTATCCTTCAGACGGTACAGGTTGTGTACTATGATTACATCTGTATGAGATGACGATGTCAATAAGAATTGTACTTTATTGGTTTGCGTACATAGTTATGCAAAAAATCTCTATTATCCTTGCTGTCAAGTTATAGCGTTGGCATTAATACATAAACCAAAGTTATTTGCTGTGAAAATACTTTTAATTCAATGATATTGTGTGTAAGAACAATACATTTAAATATCATAACGTGATATATTTTTATGAATTTAAACATTTTTGTTAATTCTATTGATGTGTTCAGTTCATTTAGACCAGTGTTTCAATGAGGATAAATCCAAAATTCCACCAGAATGTGCTTATATTGTAAAAATATCCAAGGACGATCCTACGTACGGTAAATACAACGTATCGCTTTTCAAATTTGTGCGGTCGTTGACTTCTGCAAATTTTAGCTGTCCATTAGTGCCTACAACTATTGTAAGTTATTGAACAGTGTACTCGTATAATAACATATAAGTTAATTAGCGTTTACTTTATAGGTAGCAAAAAAAAAAAAAAAAATCAATAAATATTGTTTTATTAAAAAATTATTTGTTCAATAAACATTACATTAACTATTATGTATCAACGAAAAACATACACTGGACATTTTCTGTGAATATATGAGTGTAAATTTAAAAAAACGCATTTCTTTTTAAAGTTAAACAAGAACACACATTATATAGATGCATCGCACATCTATGGATCGGACCAATTGAAAGTCAACGAACTAAGAGAATTTCAAAACGGCAAGCTTAGATCTAGAATTATAGATGGTGAGGAATATTGTCCACAAGATGAGAATTCACCGTTCGCAAAGGGTCCAATTGCGGTATCTAATGTGCAATTCCTTGCCGGTAAGTACAGGTTTATTACCTTACAAATAGTCGATCGGGATACATAATAATAAACGCGGTTTCTTTTTTTTTATAATAGGCGACGTTAATGCCAATCAAAACGTAGCAATTTCTTTGTTTCAAAATTTATTTTTGAGATTTCATAACTACGTAGCCAACGAATTGCAAACCGTAAATCCACTGTGGTCAGACGAGACAATATATCAAGAAACGCGCAGAATTTTAGGAGCAATCATACAAATTATAACATACAGAGACTATTTGCCCATCCTCTTGGGTGAATACACAATTGTTTTTTATGCATTCTGTTGACTATAGTGTTTATACGATTTTAATGTTAAATAAAATCTATCTTTTATGTAAATTATCAAGTCGGTAACATATTGTTGGAAAAATAATCTAAAGCATTCGCGGTATTTTTTAGGTGATTTCTATATGGAATATTTTGGATTAAACAATAAAACGGTGTACGATCCAACCTTAAACCCAGCTATGTCGCAAGAAATGACAAGTGGTGCGTTTCGAGCAGTCCACAACATTATACCTGCTAAATTCAAGTAGGTATTACAAGAGAGCAATATGATGAATGCACACACTATTCACTAAGTATTACTCATAGTGGGATGGGGCGATTGGAATTATGGATTTATAATGAAAGTTGACCAAACGTTTAAATCGTTTATCAGATTTTTTGTTTTAAAAATACATTTTTATTTTGGTTACACTCTTTATTTGCATATTTTATTTATATCGCCGTAGATAATATAACAGAATAATAGGTATTATCGAATATTTATCATTGTTTCGAATGTATTTTTACTAATTTTCAGTTTTATATCGAAGAATTACTCGATTATAAGGGAAATAGAACCTTCTACAATCATGCAAGCACCCGACATACTTCTAGGAAATTTCGATTATATTTTAAGAGGTTTTATGGAATCTCCAGGTCGAGCACCGCAACCATCGTACAATAATTTAGTAAATATAATATTATCAGAATATTTGTAAAATTGTGCTAGACACATTCAATATTATATATACATTATATTTTGTTAAACATGCGTAGATAACAAATATCGTGTTTCAAATTCCAAATAAAAATAAAAACTCTGGTTTTGATTTGATGTCGTACGACATTCAAAGAGGACGCGACAACGGTTTACCCCCTTACAATAAAATGAGAAAGCTATGCGGACTGGAAGTAGCAAACACATTTGAAGATTTGTCTGACTTAATCTCGAAAAAGGTAATTAACCGATTTAATTTAATGTGGAATTTCCGTTTAACTGTATTGTTTATGCTGTAAAATATTTAGGATATCGATACCCTTAAAGAACTCTACACTAGCGTTGATGATATTGATTATCTTATTGGAGCTCTTTTGGAAAAACCTCAAAATAAATCCATGGTTGGCCCATCGGTTGCTTGCGTTATAGCTGATAACTTTTATAGGTTAAAGTTCGGCGATCGATTCTTCTATGACGTCGAAGGACATCCCGGTAGCTTCACCAAAGGTACCTATACAAATATATCTAATATAGCAACACTAAGAATTATTTTTGTTTTTTTAATTCAAATAATTAATCGACACACTCACAGAACAAATCAAAGCATTAGAGCAGATTACTTTCAGCCATATCATATGTAAAACGTCACTTTTGGATCATCTTCAGAAAGAGACATTTAGATTCGTCGACTCCAAGTAATTGTTATTCTACTCAAGTTGAAAACAATATTTACCTAATTAATTGATATTTTTTACGGTGGCTTTTAGGTGGTTGTCTAGTATCAAGTATAGCTGTGACCTGTATCAGTTTGATTTTTCTCCATGGAAAGAATAACTAATTAGTCATTTTTACTTTCTTATTTTATATATTTTTAATTATATGTTGTTAGCAAACTGAATTTGTTAAGTAATGTTTAAAAAATTGTTCATCGTTGTGTATAATTCATGTTAAACCAAACAAATACCTACGAGCAAAATAAATTATTAATTTCATAACTTTATTGAGATTCTATACTAATTGTAAGTAGGTAAGTAATTACCATCCACTACGTCCCTATTGTGTCTATTTGTGAAGTTTGCATTTGTATTAAACTTACAAATTTGGTATTTTTTTTTAAATACTTTTTTTCTAATCTATTTGAAATACTACATACACGGGTTTATATTATATATCTCTATTTAAATACGTTTTTTATGTCATATTTTATGTGTACAATTGATAACACATTAAACTACAAAACTGAAATATCACTGCTCCGTTTCACATACTGAAAACATATCAAAATACATTTATTTTGTTATGACTGAAAATAAATATTTCTAATATTTTGTGTATTATTTGATATAATTTGTTTTAATATATTTCTTTCTTAATCATCGTTTTTGCACGTGCCTGTTCTATTAATAACTTATTCCATATAACACGTTTTGCTTGAGTTATTATTATAATATGTCCATTACTTCTCTGCCAATAAAATAAATACTTACCAAATAAATTAAGTTATAATTTATTATCTGGTCTATTCTATTTTTCTACTTCTAAATCTACACCTATTTTTGTTTTCTGTCGATTATAAAAATACTTTCTGAGAGGTCATTCAATGCACAACGATTAGTCAGGGCATATTGAATTAGTTTTACAATTTTTGAATGTAGATGATCATGCAATGGGTAGTCAAAAAGAATATACTAGAAGTTACAGCTAAAATCAGAAAGATAGATAAGAAGTCAAACAAACTTCAGAACTTAACAATTTAGCAATATAAGACATATATATTAAAATAAGAGTTTACAAACAGCACATAGACAATACAAGTGTCTACCGAATTGCCTAGACCGTAGACGGTCAAAGATTGCTTTGGACCAAAGAACCTTATGGACATCAAAGATATTACCATACAAGCTGTTTAGAAGGTATCATTTGGTAACAAAATTAAAAGAAATTAAGTTCCATAGCTGTTAAAGTCTACAATCAATATAATAGAATATTTAACTATAAAATATATTATAGCATCATAACAAATTTAAAGGTTCCCAAAATAATAATAATAATAACAATAATAATGATAATAAATAATAATTGTAAAATAATTAACAAAGAAGGTAATAAAATTTCCCTATTAATTAATAATCGTAATTATTTTAAGGTAGAAAACCCTTGAGGATATAACGATTGCCATTTCCAAGTATCCTGGCACATTTCTTTTAAAGTTCTTTTGGCTTCCCATCCTAGATAGTCCTTGGCAAAAGATGCGTCACAATAAGATGAAGCGCAATCTCCTTGTCGACGTCCAACGATTTCATATGGGATTTTACGACCACTGACTTGACTGAACATATCTATAACCTACAAATATATATATATTTTAATTTTTGTTATCAATCAAATATAGAGCTATAAGAAGTTAGAATTGAAAGATTAGACACGTTTATACAGTACACTGAAAAGCTCAGCGCAAGAACATATGAAGAGTAATAATTATATGAAGACAAAAGCATTTCCCTTGCACTTTTTCAACCACAGACAATTTCCGACACAAGACACATATTCATAAATTATCCACTTATACAATAATCTATCACCGATGATCAATCATTTGATAATAATTCTATGAAACTGCAAATGGTAAACAATATTTAATATAAATATAAATTATTTTACAGAAAATAAATGTGTTTATAATCGTGTTATTTGGTTTTTTTGAGTTTTCCTAGTTGAAAACCGTGATTAGGAACATTATCCTAGAAAGAGGAAAAACACTGTCCAGTGACTCAAATCCACACTAAAATATTTGTGTTGTATGCGTGTCCAATCATGTTCATCTACAGTATATTTAATCTATGACAATATTAATATTACTTGTAATACAGAATATCCATTTCCTGTCCCCAAATTGATTGCAACTGCTCCGTTCTTATTATTAGTTTGTAGTTTTTTTACTGCACTGACATGCCCTTCGGCCAAGTCCATAATATGTAAGTAGTCTCTAACTCCGGTGCCATCAACCGTATCATAATCATTACCGAAAACTTGCAAACAGGGACGACTGCCGACAGCCACTTGAGCGACAAAAGGCATCAAATTGTTTGGAATCCCTGTTGGATCCTCTCCTAAATTTCCCGATGGATGTGCTCCAACTGGATTGAAATACCGTAAAATGATCACACTCCAATCCTACTTATAAACATCAATTCACATATGTCATTTATTATCAACATTTCCATGTTGAATGTAATAATAATAATAATAATTATAACTAAATAATAATTATTTAGTACTAACTTTATCGGAGTTGCATAAGTCTTGCAATATTCCTTCAATGTAATATTTTGATTTTGCGTATCCATTAAGCAAATTGTTACCGACAGAATGTGCCTCAGTAATCGGTAAAAATTGGGGCTCGCCGTAAACAGTAGAAGAAGAAGAAAATACTAGTTTTTTGACATTGTGCGCTTTCATAACCTGTTAAATGTTTTTTTTAGTGTTATTATGTTTTACACAATTAGTTTTAAAATATGTTTTAATACCTCTAATAGATTTATAGATCCCGAAACATTCACTCGGTAATAAGTTAATGGAATGTGACATGATTCTCCAACAGCTTTTAAACCAGCAAAATGAATAACGCAACAAAAGTCATGCTTGAAAAAACCAAAACAAGTTTAATGTTCTTAAATGTAAAATCAATGGTAATAAAAAAAAATACTTGTTACAAAAATATCATAAATCTGATTATTTATATAATTGATCGCATGTAATTACTCTTGTAAGACGGCAAGTTACAAGCAAGGCCTTGTAAGTGGTAACTTACAAGTAAACTCTGGAAGACAAACATTTTGTCTCAATTCTATACTTAACAAATCAGAGCCACAAACCTTGTCAAAAACTTCAGAAACCGAATTGGAGTTTAAAAGATCGACATTATAAAACGTTACTTCTTTGCCTGTTAATTCTTCAACTTTTGTTATAGGCACTGGCTTCTGTCCTTCAAGTCCTTAGTTTAAAACAAAAAAATGTACTTATGAATTAATTTTTGAAATAGAACATAACATATATTTTACCAAAACAAAATATTAAATTATTAATTTTTAGTGACACATTTAGTTACCTACTTGACTTTCCGTTATTATACCCATTATATACACTGCAACCTAACTGTTATACTATTGAAGGACACAAGAAAGTGATTTGCGACCGATCACATTATCATGGATATCTTTTTGTTGTTCCTCTACAGAAACAATTACTTTAAAAGTTCCCGGTGTCAACATATACAAAGCCGCAAAATTAAGTAATTTTTTTAAATTTTGATTTTGTTCCCTTATTTTTATTTATAGTAGTCGTATTTAAAACTTATAGTTTTTAATGTACATTTCATTTTTACATGAATTGTACCTAGTCATTTTAGGGGGTGAAAATGACTTGGCGAGAAAAGAGAAGACACCTCCTAATCCGATTTTGATAATTTATTGTTTGAATAAAGAAAACTTTATATAGTACAAATAGAACTTTAATTTTTGATTACATTAACATGAGAAAAACAGGTTAAAAAGAAATGTAAAAAAATAGTCGTTTACGAACTCTTTATTCGACTTATAAAAACTGAATTTTAAAAATCAAAGTCTAATGTGTACTGTAGGAAGTCCAATTTTACTCTACATAGCATCATTTTATTTCTCGTAAGGCATGTTTTTAAGGGAAACATCATCGGACGCCTAAACTGGAATCCTATAAAATAGTAACATGATAATGTTGAAGTGAAGTCATACGACCAACAGTCCCACTGATTGGTCATGTATATTTTATATAATATACATAATATTATATACTATTTAATTTCACTGGTATATTGTACTACTCAAAATTAATAAATGACTAAAAAGCTTTGTGTTACTGGAAATTCATAAATATATTACACAATTTTCTATTACATACCTTTACATGCATTGGATAAATTATCTAAGACCACCACCTCATACCCGGATTCAATTAAAGGAATAATTGTATGGCTACCAACATACCCAGCGCCGCCGGTTAACAAAACGCATTGACTTTTCGTAGTGTTCATTTTGTATACAACAATTTTGACAGCAGTTTTTCAAAAGTCTGGAACCTAATATTACGCAAAACAAATACAATTATAATAAAATTAATATTATTTTAATACGTATAACCGTACTTGGTAAAGTATGTTGTTGCAAAATATTTGTATAAAATGTAAAGCTATTTAGACAAGTACTGAAATGTACAACAGATATCTTATAACACAATAAGATAAAATATAATGTATTAGCAAACACTTAGTGTCAAGGTCATTATTATGAAAAATACCTTATAATATATTTTTTTAATTACTTTATCTTCTTTAAATACTTTTTAGATATTAGAACTAGATAATATCAACACGTTCTCGCTACTAATTTGTTCATAATAAACAGCAAATAAGTTAACAAACAAATGATAATAATTCAATGGCCACTTTTAAAAAAAAATATTTATCTATTAAGAGAACAACACACTACCTAACTATTTATTGAACATATACAATTATTGGTATAATCTAGAAAAAACTTGAGCAACTAATGGTTATACATAATAAAGAAATTAATACCTATTTAAAACCCTTAACCATTAAATAATACATTCTCTGCGTATAGGTATTTTGGCAGCAATGTTGTCATCTTTAGCGCTAACGACAGACTCAATGTTGTTGTCAAAGTATGTAAACACAGAAAGTGTATTATTTTATGGTTAAGGGTTTTAAGTATTAATTTCTGTATTGGTATAAATTTACAATACCAGACAACCTTTTCATTTTAAACATATTTTACCAAATTTAAGTGTTTTTTTCAGATTTTAGAAACTGTAATTATAAATCCGTAGAATTCATTAGTTAAAAGTTATAAGTATTTAGCATTACTTTTTGCATAGGTAAGCAGAAAGAATATAGTGTACAGGTAACTTAACAAAGAGTGAAAAACACAGCAGTTCATAGTCGTACAAAAACTTTATTAATCTCTTGGATTTGAGTCAATGCATCCAAGCAAAATATACTAATGATGGAAAAAATCGTTTATAAATTATATTATAATATACATACGTTAATTTTGAACAAGAAGGTCATTCGTATTGATTTAAAACAACAAAATAATGTATCCATTAATTAAGAACTGTACCAGAGCTCAATGGTGTTAACATTTCATTTTCGTACATTTAAATATTGTATGATTTATTCCACAAACGGTTATTAACTATCCAAATAATACTAATAAATGGTTTAAAACAATATAAAACTGTTAAAAGTTAAAACTTATGAAGATATAAAATGTAAATTAAATAGGAAACCATTGCTATTGCAACTTGCAATACACAAAAACGATAAGCAACTTATCGTAAAAACAAACCAATAAAAAAATATTTATTACACCAATAAAGATTAAATACCATTTTAACGTACATAAAATATTATCACAGATGAAAATCCATATTTAATAATATTATCACCATGATTAAAGATAATATGGTTGGCCAACGACCAATATCGCCCACAATGTTATAAAACGGACACTAAAGTAGTTATAGTAAATCAGGCATCTTTGTGGCACTCTCTGTTAGTTGAATTTTGCAACTACCAAATACCATTTAGACATTAGCCCGCCAATTTCGAATTTTAAAAATTACAAAATTTATAATAGGTATTTATGTTTTTAAATTATATTATATTATTATAATTTATATAATATTATAATTTATTCATTTTTCATTAATAAAGAGAAAATGTCAATACTTGCGATTATTCTTGATTTTGGTAAGAAATTTTACTTCTAAACACGATTAAAGATAATAATATTATTCTCGCAATGTTTAAGACTAAAGACGAACATGATTATTGTACTTTTTAATTGTGGTAAAAGTTATAAAATAATGATATAAATGTAAAAACTATCGAGTTTATCATTTGTCATTATGTTTCTTTTTTAACATTTAATGTGACTTGCTGTATTTGTCTACCACATAGTGTAGCCAAAACCACTTAAGAGTACTTGAGATGAGGTAGAAAAACTTACAACTTACTTCAATAACTAAAAATAGTAAACACTAGTGACTATAATATACTTAATAAACAATTATTTTTAATGACCATCCGAGCACTCTCTTATCACATCTTATGTATACGTGCAAATGCAACGGAGTAATGGTACTAGAAACAGGTTCATACGTAGAACTATAAAATTAAACCATTGTTACCATTAGACATTTAAATATTTAATACATTTTAAAAACATTATATTTTTTCTTTGAAAGTACCACACACAGGTACGAAATGTATTAGGTACCCAGGTACGTAATACTGAGTATAACAATTTTACATTATTACCATTTGTATTTTAATTTTCATCTACAATTAAAAATAAACGAAAAATAGATAAAATGGTAAACTTATGAAAAACGATACACGAAAAGATTAAAATAAAATAATGAAAACACAATAACGGATAAACGGTATAAAATTCTGTAAAAAAAAATGATATTATTTTGTACCTAAAAACTAAACTACACCAAACAAACACAATATGGTCAATATTTTTATTTGTATCTATAAAGAGGTATAATAGATGTAATTCACATATTATCGTATGTTCGTTATCTCTGCAGTAAATTTCACTGTTCGATGTAAGATGTAGGGTGATAAATGAATCACTTCGTTGTATTAGTTATACGGGTTATTTAATTAAGCCGGGTTCACACGTCTATTCGCCAAATATTCGGCCGCTTGTTATTTGTGAAGACTGAAGTGTGAAAACACTCACAACTGGTGTGAAACCTTTAAAAACGACGAAGAATCCAAAGAGTATGTTAATTCAGTGGCACAGAACTTAAGTAGTATATAGCAATTTAAACATTCCGCCAAAAGAGATAATTGAAGTTACTATTTTCCGCCAACTATGTGGGAATTAAAACCTTATCACATGTTTAAAACTGTTATCACTGTTAATAACAATAATTGCATGTTACGTTGATAGCAGAGATGTACATAATATTATTTTATACACACATAAATCCTACAAAATGGCCGGCGTCGACTTCAATTCTTATCACCAGTTAGCAATCTAGTTTATTATATACACATTTGAGATTAGTGCTTAGTACGGAATACTTACCGGTAATCTACTGATAAAAGATACATAATCAAAGAAACTGAGCCAATAATAATATAATGATGATTTATCCGTGTTTATCTGCCGACTAGTGACAATCTGTATAATATTTGTCTACAAATAAGGATTAATGAGGTTTTTTTCAAAATCATAAATTATATTTGTGATGTTGACTGATGCTACTAAATATTATTTTTACGCTTACATGTACAATGTTCTCATCCTTCGTAAGACATTTTTCATTTACCTTGGCAAGCATTTATACATTGATAATCTATAAAAATATAATAAAAAAACGGGTAGTACCCACAGTAACAACTACCAAAGGATTGCCAATTAAACCATGATTAATGATATCAGGATAATCTTTTTTTTAGATTTGTCATAATTTTATTAAATATATTATAATGATGAGGTAAAAAATACAATGATTTTGTCAGCTAATTAGCTAGTAACACGAGTGAATATGTTTAATATCTTATTCAGCTATGTTATTTTTGTAATTAAAATAATATGTTTTAGAGTTTAGACATACGCGCAAATACGGGGGGGCTAGGGTGGGCTTAGCCCCCCCAAAAAAATTAGGTTATGCATACAATTTTGAAATACAAAAATATATTTACTTATATATATATATATATATATATTTTTTTTTTTTTAATTCCAGCCCCCCAAGTTAAAAATGGAAATTGCGCCTATGAGTTTAGACAACATTTCGACCATACTTATTTTTTTCCATTTATTTTTTATAACATATTTTTTCTAATTTATAAATTATAAGTGAATTGTTCCGTAGTATTTCCATAACTAGTTAGTAATAATTATTATAATACTAATTATTAATTATTAATAATATTTTATCTTTTTATTATCAATACTACAATCTAAATACTCATTATAATGGGCAGTGGGTATATAATTCAGTAGTATTAAAATATTAGATATTACAAGAATAAAACACAAGTTTTATTTCTTTTAAAATAGTCTAACTTTTACCTAATTTTTCAAATGTGGATTTTTATCATCATTTTTGACATTCTCAGAATTAAAAAATAACATTTTCTATTTTAAAATTAATTATAATCAAAATTTAAATAATTAACACCTATAAATGTATACGACTAATTTATGTTTTTTTTTAAATATAAAACAACACTATAATATGTTTTGCCTATTAGTATTAGTAAATTAGACTTCAATTAATATAAACTGAGGATTAATGCCTCTCGGACTATATCCGTTGCCTATAAGCAAGTTAAAAGTAGGGAACTTAGCTACAATCAATAAATAAGTGGATTATTAAAAAAACAAATAGCGGTAAAAGTATCCGTAATATCCATTATGGGTAATGAGCATCATATTATTTTCTGCACGTACAAAATACCGCGTTATGCCGTTGTTAAAAAATATAATAATAATAATAATAATAATAATAATAATATTAATAACTGGGATGCAAATAAATAATAAAAGTCAGTTGTATGTGTGTGTACAGTAGTTTAACGGGAGAAGCAGATAAAATATGGCGGGAAAATAATATAGTTAATCAATTAATTGGAAATTTAGCGGCCGCGTTATGGTGATTTATAACAATTATATTATTATTGTTGTCGAGCGACGCAGGACGTCCGGGCGGCGGACCGGCGCGATTACGGTGACGGAATCGGCGTCGAGTGGACTGAAGCGGTAAAGGTGGAGGTAGCGGTGACAAATCGCCCGTAATCGGATGAGTTTAAACTGTTTTGGCAACACTGGCGTTCTATAGATGACGGATCTGTAGCAGCGGCGGCGGCGGCGGCGGCAAGCAGCAGCAGCAGCAGCAGGTTTATCCTTTCGTGCGTTGTCGTCGTTTGCAAAACAATAAAATGGCCGTTCGATTTTTGTTGTTTGTGTACACAAACACATGTACACACTGACTCGCACGCACACACACACACACACACATACACACGAACTGGCGCGCGCGCACGCACGCACATTCACCCGCTCATCAATTATGTGGCCGTGCCGACGGCGGAGGATAATAGTGGTAGACCCGAAATACCTATCGTCGTCGTTGCCGTTTGCCGCCGCCGTACCGATGTTTATTGTGTTTACGCGAAAATAATGTTATGTTATCGGTGCCAGTCGTCGCCGTGTTATTATTAATTGTCGATTGTGTTTATTTGTGCGTCGCGCGTCCTGATCAATTACAATTATTATTATGTAACGGAATCGGACCGCCGGACCCTACTGGCGTTGTGCGAAACGGTAAGCGTATGTGTGATTATCATTATTCCAACAATATTCCGTCCCGGCCCGTCCGTCGTCGTATGTAATCGCATTGGAAAAACGCTCGAGCCGCCGGCGTTGCACCGTCGTCCCAAGTGCAACACCAATTGGATGTTGTCGATTGTTTTCGCACCCGGCCCAACCGATTTTTGTTGCGTTTTTTTTTTAGTAATTTTTGATTCACTGATACCTTTAATTTGCTGTACTACAACATAATTTGTTTACGCCGTCCGTGTTGACATTTGATAATGCGCGTGTGTACCCTCCGCCGTATGCTTGTACATTGATTATAAACGGATTGCCGCACACACGCCGCTGTTTTTGGTATAATTCTCTGTCCAAAACATAAATACATTTTTTTTTCACCGGACTCTTTGTTGATAGCAAAATATTTTTTCCGGCACCAGTTTGTCCTTGACGGTTTTTGCAAATATCCTCTTGCTATTCGTCGTCAAAGATATAGACTAGATCCGATCTTATGATAACTTTTGTTAAGAAAATTATTGTTATTTATGTGACAACCTAGTTCGATTATATTCTATAATTTATCGAATTTTTTTTTTTTTTTAGAAGCCAAACAAAATATGTTGCATACTTAGGTATACGATTTATCTTTAATCGAAATGGTTTACTCTCACAACCACATACGTCTAATGTAGAGCTAAATACTTTATTGCATATAAGCATGTTGTACAATGATAACTTGGTATCAACGGCAAGAATTTGATCGAGCTCAAACAGTATGCTCATTTTGTAGGTAAACAATTTGTTATAATACCTAAAATTTGGTCCTACTAAAACGATAGTTACTAAGTTTTGAAATTTCGAGGTAACTTATATTTTGTAATTCTTTAATAAAGTAAACTAGTTAAAAAACCTATCAATATGTTAGAAATAAGATTGATGCCAAAATTGTTGTAGGGCAATCTTTAATCTCAATTTAAATCATTAAAACTGTTTAAACATTATAATTCATAAATTATATTTACTTACACATTTTTTTTATCATTTGCTCTATTTAGGTGGATAAAACGTGATTGAATGTATGGTGTGTGCTGCAGACTGGAAGGCACCGTGGATTCTATACCACAGGGCCTATTAGACGGCCGCCCTGCCAGTTCTCTGGTTCTCACTCACCATCAGGTAGACATTTGCATCTTTAGCTAATTTTTTACAAATGTATTACATTTTTCTTTTTGTAGTATCAGCAATTACAGCATATTCAAGCACAACAAGAACAAGCTGCTGCTGGAGGGCAATTGACATTGACGTTACATCATCAAACTTCGGTAAATACATTATAAATGCAATTATTTTCTACCTATATAGTGTTATAAGAAAAGTTAAAACACTTTTTTTTTAACATTTTTAGGGTGCAGGAGCTAATGGAGTACTGTCGGGAACTCCACATTTAGTTCTAGCAACTTCTCAAGGACAAGGAATATCAACTTTTCCTCAGGGAACTACTCAACAAGCAGCTACATTACATCAACATACTAGTATTCAACAAGTGTTGCATCAACATGTTCAACATTCAAATTTTCTTCATTCAACAAGTATACGGCAGGTAAGCAATCTTTATAATAGTATTTGTAATAGGTACAAGTTTTAAAAAAAATTAATATTTTTAATATATTTCTAGAGTAGATAGACCTTACATGACTCATATTGTTGGCTTTTGTGCCAAACCTAGGAATGTGCAAATTCATATATTTTTTTCTATTTGTTTTTATGTCATTTTTTTGTTGATTCATAGAAAGGGATTTAGTATTTCCAAGAACGTTTCTACGTTGGTAACTCTGGCATAAATTCTAGACCTAATCGACGCCCCATACGAAAAGTAGCACCGTTCAAGTATTAACGAAAACTAACACCGTTCGAGGCTTCTTACGAAAACTAGCACCGTTGGCAACAATGGGAACAATAGCACGATTAGTGCTAGTCTTCATAAGAACTTGAACGGTGCTACTTTACGTAAGACTCTGTGAATGGTGCTAGTCTTCGTAAGAACTCGCGAACGGTGCTACTTTTTGTACGGGGCGTCGTAATAAAGAGTAGACATGTTTGTGAAAAACTACTAAATTTGCAAATTCGTTTCAACCTAGTTTAATTATTTTGATTTAAAATGTAATAGAATTGCTTGAATAGGTGATTAAAATCAAATTTAATAATAATTAACTTATTCAAAAGTGTTGTTCGGTGGAAATTAAATATTTTTTAATTAGGTTTTGAATTAAGGTATTAAGTTCTTATACTTACTAAAGAAAATGCTTGTGCAGGAACCAATTTGTATTCTCCTGACTGCATAAGTGATGGGGGGAGTAATGTATTTTGGTGTCTAAAATATACTAAAATGCTTGATAAAGTACAGTTTATCTTATGCTATGCAATAAAATATTACTGCTTTAATTTGACATAAAATAATAAGATCGTTGTTGTGTTGATGAACTTTTTGTGTGTACTTAAATTTGTAAATTGTATTTACATGTTATTGATTTTAGATGGGTGCCCAACAGCACACAACTGGCACAATGGTTCAACAACAACAGGCTACAGCAATATTGGATACTACCAATACAAAATGTATACCATCCTCACCTGGATCACCATTCTCTTCTCGATCCCTTACGCCTTCCCCTCAACAAAGGGTTATCACGTCCCAACCTCAAGTCATTCATCAGGTAAATGGATGTCGCCACTAAAATAAGCTAATATTGTATACTATGTAATTTTTAATATTAATTAAATAAAAAATGTTTAGGTGATGAGTGCTAATGGCGGTGTTTTGCAGTTTATACAACCGAATAGTCGGAACAATGTAAATAATATACAGGTAAAAAGTAAACCGCCGCCCCAAATTTTACCCAAACCTATAGGTAGCAATAATGTACAGAATCATGCTAGTATTAATAGCATCAAGTCACATCAATCACATCATTCTACTTCAATACATAGTCAACAACAAGGTGCTTTTTTAATAAATCAAGTGAGTATCATTGAATTACAAATAAATTGTATGAAAAATATGAATTTTATAATGTTTTATCTCTTTATAAGAATAAAAATTGTGTTATCGAAATCACAATTTTTATTGACTTATTTTGTAGAATAAAATATATTTTTTTATAATGGACTGCTCATAAGGTGTTAGGTTAATTGAGCTTAAATTAAAATTGTTTATTTTTGTTTTGTAGATTATGCCAACTGCCGGTGTTATAGTTGGACCTCAAACCGCTGGTGGTCTTCAACTTTTTCTTCGTTCTCCTAACACTCAACAGAACAACACCCAACAAGCTCAAATACCTTGTAATGGCACTCAAATATTACTTCAACAACCTAGGCAGCAGTCAAATCAGGTTTGTCATAAGACTAATTGTGAAGAATATATTGTTGCTGATACTGCAACAGCGCGTATTTCAAAATTAGGCCAACTAAGATTATTACCAATATTGATAAATCACGTGCCGCCGAAAATATTTTGTTAATGGTGTTTTTTTTATCAGACTTATAGTTGCACTGTAAATCATAATAATGATAACACAGCTTATATCAAAACCTATTAATTTAAATAACTTATTTTGCTTCTCCTGAAAATACTTGGAATTGAGATACGCGCTGTTGCAGTATCAGCGACGATATCTTTACTTCATTTTAAAGTAAGACTATTTTCTAACAAATTATGTTATGTTCATACCAGGTCGTTCGATTGGTTAGTGGTCAGAGTGTTCAATTACAACAAATTCAAACTTGCTCTGGTCCAGCATTAGTAGCGTTACCTGCAACTACTCCTCCTTCTAATATTACCCCTCCGTTATCAAATAACCGGTCAATGAATATGAAGAAGAAGAAACCAAAAATTCAATCAAAACCGCATGATGATGAACCACATCGATTAGATCTAGCTAATCTTATTAAACTCTCAGGTTTGTAGAACAATTTATAGGTATAATAGTAATTTTATATCGGTTAAAATGTATATTTATTCCGTTCTGTAGGTATTGATGAAGAAGAATCTAATACCCCGTTAATTCAACAATCTCAAATCAATCAAACCAACAGGGTTCAACAAGCTCCAACACCACCGCCTAATCATCAACAACACGCTGCTCCGTTGTTAGCTCAGTTGCATACTCCTACTTCAACATCTCAGGTAATTAATGAAACACATAAATTTGAATCTACTAACATAAAAAGTTAATACGATTAAAACAAATTGTAGAGTGGCTTTCGTTTGTCTTTGGGAGAAGACGGTCGTATGATTGTACATCAACCACAGATTACCACCAATACGTTGACACAGGTAAACTTTTATAATTAACCAAAGTTCATTTTTCTTTTTCTTTATTAATTCATTCATAATTTTAATTATGATCAATGATTAACAGAGTGTTTCTGCAAGTGTTGCGGCTGCAGCTCAAACCCAACTGGCTCAGTTAGTTGCCGACCACGGTGGTCATATACTCCAAAATGCTGTGTTGAGTGTTGCTGGTGCTGAATCACTGCTGCTTAAGGGCGGAAACACTATGTTACCTGCACAACCTCAAAACGGTTCTGGCATGCGTATTTTAGCTGATGTTTCGGGTCGCTTACAAATTGTTACTGTGCTTGAACCTCAATCGCTGCAACAAAATATTATCAACGGCCAACATTTAATGTTCCCTACAGCCGGTACTCCTGTTAGTGTTGATAATCGTCATAATCATCAGCAGTTTGTTATGTCGACACCAGTTGAAGACCAACAGAATAAAGTAATGCAACAAAATAATAGTATCAGAGTAATGCATAGCAGTAGTACTATGGTATCAAGTTTAGACCACCAGCAGAGTAGTAGCATTCAGCTTGTTTCCAACATGTTGGACAGCAGGGTGCTAGTCGCTAACAATGATACAACATCTAATAATGATATACTGTATAACGAGGAACAAAATCGATTACAAATAGTGACCAATTCATCTTCGGTAAATAAAAATGTAGAATCACATAATCAGCAGCCTCCTGTGATCCATACGTCTGAACGAGTCATGCAGACTTCCATATCGAGATCTAAAACTGTGCCGATATCTACTCATAGTCCTAGAAGTATACAATCTGTGATAAGTCCTCAGTGCAGCCCAGCTATGTCGCACAGTTCTAGAAGTGCCTCGAAAAGTCCGGCTTCTTATAACTCTCCTATACCTTCACCAAATGTTACACAATCATTTACGCCCATGTTGCCGAATCGGCCTAATTTAACAATAGTTACTTCACCTCAGCAAACGCAGACACAGTTTTCTAAACCGTGTGCAGCTGTAATATCTCAATCAAACGAAAACCCTATGGGATTATCTAATTACCAGTCATCGATTATAAATAAAGTGACTAACAAGACTCCGGTAGTGGCAACGTCAAAAATATTTCGACCAAACAGTCCTAAGGCATCTGTTCCACTCGAAGTTCAGTCTCAGAATGCATTTTTAGATAGTATAGCACAATCACACCCAAATATTTTAATAAATAAAACAATGGTTGTACCGCCGTGTGCTAATAAAGCTCCGATTAAACCAAGGAAAGTAAAACGAGCTGCTGTAGTCAAGCCAATGGTGTTTCAATGCGATGAAAAAGAAAAAGAGCATAATGATACACCGGTACCACTTAACTCCCCAGAGAGTAATATTTCCAATCAGAGGGTAAAAACCATTCAACTTACACCTCAAAAACAACAAGTATGTGTTCTTATTATGTTTAACTATATTTAAATATGTTATATTCATTAATTTTTTTTCTTATCTAGCTACTTAAATTAGTACAAAATCAAATATCAGTGTTAAGTGCTAAAAAAGTACGCACAAATAACGAGCAGACGGCTCTACAAAAGTTGTTTAATGAGCAACAAAAAATTTTACAAAGTGGTAAAATTGTTCCTACTATATCTGGACAAAATTCTCAAGGAATTACTTATGTAAGAAGACACACACTAATACTGTATACTTATTATTACTATGATCTTAATGTTTAAACTTTGTGTTAATGGTCTTTAAAGGTATCCACTCCGGTAAGGTTGGTACCTCCCCCTTGTGCTATGACGTCTAGTCCGCCTCATACTATATCTCCGCCACTTACTGTGCAATCTTCAACTGTTGCGTCTCCTCAAACTAGCAATAAAGCAACATCTCCTCTTCATGTACAGGTATTTGTTTTTTTATGACACAATACTTTGATATTTTTGATTTATAACATTTTATTTACTTACAGGTGGGAACTCAAACATCATGTGAACCATCTCCGACTCCACCTGCATTCAGTGCTGCTAAACGAATACAATTGTAAGTTTTTAATTCATTTTTGTCATCTCTGCTTTGTATTTTTGAATATTTTTTCTCATAATTCTTAATGATTGGGGTTAATATTTTTTAATTGATTTATTTGGCAGAATAAATTATTACAGAAATAATTTTGGTAATTTTTTTTTTACAAATAAAATAGAACTAAAATGTATTTTCTTGGTTTCTAGAATTTCTGAAAGATTAGAAGCAGATCAACTGGGAGCTACCAATCCAGATGTTACTACACCATTCAGTTCAAGAAGTGATGCTGTTAAACGACTGGCACGTTACCATTGTTTAAATGATAAAGTGTTATCGGAACGAGATTTAGAAAAAGCAGATGAAATATTCGAATCGACTGCTAAACACTTACTAGACAAAAAAACATCATTGTTTAACAAATACCGTAATCTCTTGTTAAAAGAAAGCATGGTAAGTATTAAAAAAAAAATGATCATTCACCAAATCAATTATTGTAAATGAGAATTCCACATTCTAATTCTTTTGAATTTTTTCATTATTTAAAATAGAAAGAAGTTCAGCCCGCTGAACTTGTTATGTTGGAGCGAATGGTTTGTGCCGATGCGTCGGCTCAGTTGCAACAATTAAAGCAGCAGAACTCAACATCGCCTTGTTCAACTAGTACATCAACAAGTAATAATAATAGATTTATTTATCAAAATTTTAATGTTGTTTTATTGCAATCAACTATACATACTATTATTACATATGTGTTAAATAAAAATGATGTTTATCGTAGATTGTGCTGATGAGCAAACGTCCAAAAAACGTGAACATCCACCTGACGATGATCAAGCGGTGTCGGAACATAGTAAACGACATTGTCCCGATGACGAGGAAATAAATGCACAAGTGCAAAACGCCATAGACAGTATTTTAAATTTGCAACGCAGCGACCCGGCAACGGACGAGGCGGTGCGCAGCATTTTGCCGTCCTAGCACACTGGTCATAGGAAATGTTTGACCACAGCATGAACATATTTAATGGTTCCTCAGTGTACGGATTTCCTAAACGCGCGAGTATGGTAACATTTGACTGTGTTAATATTAATATTATTTATTTATTTATTTTACTTTATTATTTTTTTTTTTTTATACTTTCGATAAAAGTACCTTACATTTAAATAAAAGAATATTTAAGATAAAAACAGTAATTTATATAAGATGTAAGATAGTGTTTTAATTTATGTAGGGATGGGCCTTATTCAAATAGACAAATCAACATATAAAATCGAATATTCCCTTGACTAAAAAAATTGCATTGTTGTCAATTGATGATTGTATTTTGACATCCTTGTAGTGATGAAATAGTCTTCATTTTATTTGCTAACAACTATCTAGTCTAGTCATTTTTATACATCACACGACCACAATAAAATAGTACAGTTCTCTATATTAAAAATATTTTGGTTCTTTATTAATACACAAATTTAGACCTGTTGTAACTAACCAGACTAATTTTGTGTAAGATAGTTTTTGTATTCACTAAATGCTGTATGGTGGTAAAATGAATTCTTGCACGTACTGTACTTACTTCACTTTGACTTAAAGAAAAGCGTCGACGAATTTCTTGAGAAATTGTTATTTAAGTAGCTATATGGTATATTTAGAAATTTTAAAACTCTTAAATAATTGCAGTTACACAAACAAAAATATTTGTGTGCGTGGTGTCCATATATATTTACAAATTTATATATATTTTGTAACTATAACTTTATGTCAAACATATAATTTGTAGTAGTTCCTAGGTATTTTGGCATTTAAAAAAATTAATCGTAATAAAATTATTGTTATAAAAAAAATGTGAATTACATTTCTTTCCTAGTCTCACAATTATTAGTTTAAGGAACAACAGGAATTTGTCCCTACGAATTACTATTCAGTGATTATTAAATATTTTTTTTTGTTTAATGTTAATTACAGTTTATTGTGACATGTTATTAATTACAATTTGTCAGCAAAAAAGAATTAGTAATTTGTTTTCATTAGTTCGACCAATTTAGTTAGGTAATCTTAATTCTTGACACGTAACTGAAAGATTGTGGTAAAAATATTGTAAAAATTTAATGACTTCAAAAATTAACTTCATAATAGTATAAAACTGCTGTGCTTTAAAAAATTATAGAAGACTATTTTTAACTAAACTTCTTTTCGATACTAATTATGGTTACAAATTATATTTATCAAGATATATTGTAAATTTGCATTTAATTATTTTTTTAGCCACCTTGGAGAATATTCGATTTTATGTATTGTAATTTTTGATCTTCTAAGATAAAGTCTAATATCTCAAGAGGTTCTTACTATTACTTTATATTTTTTAGTGACCGATATTAAAATGTATCAAAAACTTGATAATTTCACTTACATATTGGTTTTGTGCTCATCCTTGCTTTTTTGCACAAAACAGTTGTTAAGATATTTATTGTAATAGGTATGGAACATCACTTGATTGACTTATATATTTATATATATACGTTTGTATAACTTATTTCTTCTGGTATCTATCTTTGCTTTAGACTTAAGTTTTTTTATTTTAATTTAAATTGTTAAATTTCCAATGTAAAAGTAGTGTATATGTAACATTTTTTTTTTTTTTTTTGTCAAAAGTAAATATTTTTTTGTCCTCCAACTGTTTTGAAAACTTCTTCGCTGGTTAATAATGGACAGAAATATAATATATAACTGTATTGTGTATTAAACAATTACAAATTACAATTATTACAAAACTTGACTTATTTTATTGAGTTTATGTTAAAATCAATTGGAGGCCGAAATATTTATTATTAGTTATAATTTATTACATTTCTTCTTATGTTAGTTACCAAAAAGCATTTAAATTTGAATCATAATTTAGTACTTTTTTTATTTGTTTGGAAAACCATTATAGCTGATGTATTATTCATACAACAGCAGCTTTTTATGGATCTTTATTTCTGCCATTTGTTGGGGAAAAAATCACAGGGTAAATTCAAAGCAGTAAATTAATGTACAGGTGAATGTTTATTCACTTAAGTCAAGTGTACTTAAAACAAATTAATGTAACTCACTAAATGAGTAGTATTTTATAATATGCACGTATGTTTTTTTTCTACGTGTCTTGTATAAGATCTCATAAAAAAAAAAGAAAAGGAGCACTTTACTTTATATTAACCTTTATCATTCTGCCATTATTTATTATTATTCTTTTTTTTAAATGTAATTACTTCAATTGTATAATTTTTGTTTAGTTTGTCGTCTTTCTGTAATTTATAATTGTACTAAAAAAAATTATTGGTACATTGTTTTGTATATATTTATTTTAGTGTACAATAATTGTGAATTATTGTATTCATTTTACATACCTGACACTTAAATAGAATAAATGATGACTTTATTGAATAAAAAACTGTGCATCTTATTTTCGTTGGTATTATGTTTTTACTGAACAATTAGTTTCATACAAGCTACAAAACTGTTATAAATTTAGAACATTCATTAAAATTATTACAATGCTGCCAATGATTGTATAACAATAAAAGTTTTAATACTTAGTTTTACTCCATAAACAACATAATTAATTTGTAATTTTGTACTTGATATCGGCATTTATAATTGTAAAAAGTATAACTATGGTATCTTTTAAAACAAATTTTATTAAGGTATGGAATACAATTTACATTAAAGAAATATATATAAGCAAATATGAACGTAGACTGATGTCCAAGCAAATAAAAAAAATGTTTATTCTGTTGTGCCAATACAGTGTTAGACAAAATGTTATTACAATATATCACCATATGTCAAACTAATATTTTAAAATTAATTTACAGACACCTCAATGGTTTAACATAAAATTGGAATTTATTTAATCAGTTTGTGTTATTATAGCAGTAATATTGGCTGTCGACAAGTTAAGAAATATCTATTAACAGAATATTTTCAAGTTGCCATTTTTTTTTTACAGGAATCGTTTGATCCTATTGTAAATTACCATAATTTTATAAGTTAAAACATGGAAAAACTAAAAAAATCGACTAAAGATTGTTTGTTGAAATAGTAAAAGATAATAATACAACTACTATTGTAGTATACACTGTATTGTTATACACTTAATAAATACATTTTTCAAACGCACTTTTTACCTGTTAAAATTAAAAAACAAGAGTTAAAATTTCTAAACATTTTAACATCAAACAAAAGTAAATATTTTGTTAATGTGTGGGTTTTAGATAATTTTACATGTAGTGTCGCTTCACTAAAATATATAAGTGTCAGTAACACAAATATTCACAAAGTTAACTTTGACGTTTTTGTGAAGTTAACTGTACATTTATTTACATAGTGTTAGTTAGCTATAATTGCAGCATATTGTCAAAAAAAAAGTATGGGTTATAAGTTAATATATATTATGAAGAAAATACGTCCTTAAATTCTTCAATAGCTTCTCTACACAATGGACAATCAGAAACTCTTTTCTGTCTTACATCGTATAAACAGTCTTCACAGAAGCACATGTGGCCACAGGGTAGTAGCACAATAGATGGTTTGAATTCTTCTAAGCATATTGCACATGTAGATGGTTTTAGTGATGCATCTACAATGATAAAAAATGATCTAAACAATATTCTCAATAGCACAACTAAGCTTGGCATCTACAAGGTTGGAGCAGCCTAATACGGGTGAAAAATGTAAGGGACTAAATAGAGATTTTGTCAAATACCAAGTCCAGGACCCATGGTGTTGCTCTTCACAAGTCTTATGAAAATCGGCATGGCACGTTAAAGGCTTTAAATCCTAAATTTCTAAAAAAAGTCCCCAATATTGTTTATTTTGTTGTTTTACCCTAGCGAGTAGATATTGTGTTAAAAACACAGGCCCCAGGGCCCTGACCGTGTTTGTGGCTTTGACTACGCCGACTTTAAATCTTATGCTTTTATGAGAGTGACACCGTGCCACTTCACTGTCCCAACCTAGTGGACGTCCAACTTTTACACCTCAACACTGTATAAACTCACTCCTAGCATTGCTACTGGACAACAATATTATTGATTATCTTTAATTATAGATATACTTATAATAATATACTATATATATAAGTATTTTACCTTTTGTTGTTATTTTAGCTTTACGTTTTTTAATTGTAGTAATTCTACTATTACTACGAACTGCCGCAACATTATCATACTCATCTTCGTATGACCTAGGCCTAGGTGTTGGGTATTCTTGTGTAAAATGGGTAGGTTCCTCATTGAAAAATGAAGTAACAACCGTTCCTATGACGGCACCTAATGAACAATACAGTTTTTAGTAAAAAGCATTAAGACCTGTGTTGTCCAGTGTGTTTAGTTTTTTTCTGAACAATATAATACAATCTTATATGAATGTCATACTATTATGCACTTATAGTTAACTCTATACCAATTATAATATTTATAAAAAATATTATACTTACCAAGTATTGAGCCCAGTTTACCTCCAGCCAAATAACCCAAAAAAGTTAAGCCTCCAACAATAAAAGTTTCTTTGACCACTGAATTATTAGGTGGCATTTTGTCAGTGTATTTGTATTAATGCAGATCTAATAAAAATAGTCATTATATTTTTAAGTCCTTTCGAAAATGAAATCAAACTACAGCCTTGAGTAGAGTTCTTAATGTTTAAAAGAACTGTGTTTGTTGGACAGTATAATAGTTAAGCAGATTTTGAATATTGCTAATGTGGTAAAGACATTCTCTTTAGGTAGATTTTCAGAATGTCTTAATTTTTTATTTCTATAATGAAGAACCAATTTTTTTTTTCTTCTAAGATATAATTTTACAATTGAACTAATAACCTTTAAACATACAATACGTTAGATTGACTAATAACTTTAATATAATTCAATTTATAAAAAACGCAATCATAAATTTCCTTTTCCTACTGCCCTGGAAACAATAAACAATTCTGGGGGTAATATCTATTACTTTATGGCAATTATTACAAAAAATGTTCCAACTAAACTTAGTTGTTTGAAAATAGTGTTTTATCAAAAACAAAATTTGTCAAGTTTAAAAATATGAAGGTCGTTGTCGGCATCACATTTTTATTTAGAACTTCGTTCATACTTTACCAGTTATTCCGTATTCAGTAGAGTAGATGTGTAATCGACATTCAGATTTAGTTTGGAAAATTAAAAAATAATAGACACACAGTAAATAAATTTGTATATTCTTCTAAATCGTACTATGCAGAATACTGTAACATAATATTATTATTATTATTATACATACATATATAATATTTAAATATATGTTTTTGTGAAAAACATATGTATATTGTATTGTGATATCACAAGACTATATAGTATATTATGAAGCTTAATTTATATTCCGTGGTACAAGGTTTCTACTGGGGACAGTTCTTCCAAAAATTGATACGAGATAAGAGTTCTCCAAATGATAACACACATTTTTATTTTATCAGCGTGACCAACCCTGAACCAATAAACTATAAAAGCACATCCCATCAGTATGCCAATCCTCACAGAATACATTTAACTAAATCTAACCAATGTTTATCAATAGGATCCCGGCAAACGGCTTTATTTAAATAACACAAAAAAATCAAATGTGTTGAAATATTAAAAATATAGCATTGTAGAGACTTGGTTATCCTCTAAATTGATGGTTAAATAATATATAAATGAATAAGTACATGATGGATTATAGCTGTTAACTAATCGCCTTACAATTGCAGCTTTATAATAACAATAAATACTATAACAATATAAGAAAAGTACATAATATAATATATATTATATTCCCCCTTAATATAGGCAACGCTGTGTACAGCTCAACAAATTAGCGCATTTCAGTAATTCAGTACATATGCCCCTAAATATAGGCAACCGAATATACAATTCAGCGGTTCAGTAAATTAGACCTTCCCATATTTAAATGTCGGTATTAAAATACTTTGCAAGACTGAATAAGATTTATCTATTGGTAATTTTTTTAATATTATGATTTTTCATTAAATATTTTCCATAAATTAGTTTTTATTAAGTTACTCTGAACATATTTTTTTAATAAATAAATTAGATGAAATTGTTCAGTAACAGTTTTCTAAATGTAAAAAAACAAAATGATTAGAATTTTGGTCAATATTAATTGCATATTTCAATAATCTCTTGATTTGAAAATTTCATTATCTTATAGACGATCGCATACTACATATTTTATTAATATATGACTTCATATGACAAGTAGAAATAATGAGAAGAATTATATTAGATTATGAGGAAATATGTGTACAAAGTTAATAAGAAATTCTGAAATTTTCAACTAATTTAGGTAACAAGTACAAATAATGTTTTATTTAAATATTAATATCAATAATTTAAGGGATATGTTTTAATATTATTATGTTTTAACATTTAAAATTCAAGGGTTTCTTATAAATTAAATATATTATTGTGTATATTATTATTATGAATGTTGTGTATATTATTATTTTACAATTTACAAGCATACATTTTTAGTTACAGAATTGATAAATATCTAACTAAATTACCATGAGTTTATAAATAGTAAGTTTAAACATGGAATAACTAAAATAAATCTATTAAATATTGTTTGTTGAAATATTAAAAGATAATAATACTAGTGTATTACAAATTACAATACTACAATGCAGTTGTTATACACAAGGACTTAATAAATACATTTTTCAAATGCACTTTTTTACCTGTTAAAATTAAAAAACAAGAGTTAAATAAAACATAATGGAAGTTAGGTTATAATAATTTCTAAACATTTTAACATCAAACAAAAGTAAATATTTTGTTAATGTGTAGGTTATAGATAACTTTACATGAAGTGTCGCTTCACTAAAATATATGTGACAGTAACACAAATATTTACAAAATTTACTTTGACGTTTTTGTGAAGTTAACTGTACATTTATTTACATAGTGTTAGTTAGCTATAATTGCAGCATATTGTCAAAAAAAAAGTATGGGTTATAAGTTAACATATATTATGAATAAAATATGTCCTTAAATTCTTCAATAGCTTCTCTACACAATGGACAATCAGAAACTCTTTTCTGTCTTACATCGTATAAACAGTATTCACAGAAGCACATGTGGCCACAGGGTAGTAGCACAATAGATGGTTTGAATTCTTCTAAGCATATTGCACATGTAGATGGTTTTAGTGATGCATCTACAATGATAAAAAATGATCTAAACAATATTCTCAATAGCACAACTAAGCTTGGCATCTACAAGGTTGGAGCAGCCTAATACGGGTGAAAAATGTAAGGGACTAAATAGAGATTTTGTCAAATACCAAGTCCAGGACCCATGGTGTTGCTCTTCACAAGTCTTATGAAAATCGGCATGGCACGTTAAAGGCTTTTAATCCTAAATTTCTAAAAAAAGTCCCCAATATTGTTTATTTTGTTGTTTTACCCTAGCGAGTAGATATTGTGTTAAAAACACAGGCCCCAGGGCTGTGTTTTTAACACAATATAAAAAAATCATTTCACAAACCTAATAATGTAAATGTAGGGTTTCAGTAGTTCATTAAGAGTCAAAAAATAAAAAAAATGTTTGATTATGTCAACATATTTTTAGGTTAATTTGTATTAGTTTTAAGGTGTTCTTGAACATTTTTAGCAAAATTTTTTTTTATGAGATGAAACCATTTGGTGGTGAATAAAATTACCTTACTTAAATAGTATTTAATTGAAGTTAGAGTACATAATTTTGTTTAATTTTATTATTATTATATTACAACTTGTTTAATATCAATTAAGTTTGATCTGTGAAGGGGAATTCATGTTAAAAACAGTGGTTATGGACGAAATATGACATATTGTATATAAAATACAAAATATAACTAATTGTATTATTAATTATAATTATAAAACTAATTTAAGAAAATGTATGTATATGTTCCAACTAAACTTAGTTGTTTGAAAATAGTGTTTTATCAAAAACAAAATTTGTCAAGTTTAAAAATATCAAGGTCGTTGTCGGCATCACTTTTTTATTTAGAACTTCGTTAATACTTTACCAGTTATTCCGTATTCAGTAGAGTAGATGTGTAATCGACATTTAGATTTAGTTTGGAAAATTAAAAAATAATAGACACACAGTTAATAAAGTTATATATTATTCTTCTAATTCGTACTTTATAGATTATAGAATACTGTAACCATAGACCTATAAAGATATTTCTTTATAGGTCTACGACTGTAACATAATATTATGATAAGAATATTCGCTGATAAGAGATAACAATGGTAATTTAATAATGAATCTCTTTCCTATGTAATCAGTAAATAATGAATGTAGTCTTTGTTACGCACTAGCCTATTATGTATGGAGATAGTACATGGTATTTTAGAAAAAACAATAACGTATGGTGTGCTATAGGATACAGCTGTTGTACTTCTAATAAGTAATAACTAATATTTATTCAGTAATCTAACTATTAAAAATAACACAGCTTTGTTTTGTGTTGTGTAGTCCTGCAACGCGTTGAAATTACTTTGGTGTTCAGTCTTCTGATTAGTGTACATCGAAATTCGTAATTAATAACTTTTCTTCCTTGTAAGTCGCAAATTAGATGAACGCGTTTTTTACAACTATTGCATTTGGCGAGATTCAGAAAGAATAAACTATGGCTGAGAGTTCGAGTTTGTGGTCAACCAAACAAAGGATACGACACTTGGACTTACCGATAAAGAATTTCGTTGACAATGCAATACCGCATCAAGTGGAAAGTTTGAAAACATTGAAAATTAATCTCTCTAAAGTTTGTTTTTTTATTTTTGTCTTATTCCATGCTGTAGGTGAGTTTATAAAAGTTTTTTGCATTTCAGCAAAAGCGATTAGAAGATCGTAACAGCATACGACAGATTAAAGTTAAAGCTTCACAATCTATCAAGCGAGCCCATGCGCTCCTCAGGGAGATGGACACTTTACGCAATCAGGTTGCTGATGCAGATTTGCAAACATTTGACAATTGTATGAGTCCAAGTAGACAAAATATTTTGGAGGCAATTGATTTGTTTAAAAGTAATATCTTTTAGAAATATTCCTAATGTATACAATTCATGAAATTGACTGTGAAGCGAAGAAAGTTTTAATTTGATTTTTGCAACTTTTGAGGAGCAAAAACAAAATTTCAATTTTGATTCCTTTTTATAATTTGTTATGTCTTATACGAGTGTCCCGTACTTCCAGACCAATTTTTGAAAATGTTTTTTTTTCATCGGAGATTGAGAAAAAAAAAAGGACTATTCTTTTTGTCATTAAATCCAAATTGATATAAGTCAAGTTATGGCATTCTTTGCTGCCGCAGTTGAAATGTAAGCAGATATAATGTTCTATTGAGTTTATTTATTAAAATTGTTCAACAGATGAAAATTTAGATGAAAAAAAATCTGTTGTACAACAAGAAGATAGTAACAGTGAAAATAGTGTTAGGTTAGAGGAAGAAAATCGTCAACGTTTGTTATTGGTGTCAATTCAGGAAGAAAAAGAAAAACAAGCACGAATGTTAGCCATTGAATCTGATGTAAAAAATGTTGAACGAGACATGCAAGATATTCAAGTTCTATTTCGGGACCTTGGCAAACTCGTTCATGTATGTATAATTGTCCTTTTTAAGGTTTACTCTCAGATAACTTTTTTCATACGTACTTTAGCTATTATGAGTAAAAATTGTTAATATAGTGAAAAACAATTAACTTATGGAACAATCATTTTAGGATCAAAAAGAAAGCGTAGATCATATTAATACTCATGTGGAAACAGCTCAAGATAATGTTATACAAGCTGAGCAATCACTAAGAAAAGCAGCCAAGTTTAAGAAAATGTCCTATCCTTTAATTGGAGCAGTAGTCGGTTCTTGTGTAGGTGGTCCATTAGGATGCTTGGCTGGAGCTAAAGTTGGAGTTGTTGCGACTGTAACATGTTTTGTACTCGGTAATTATACATATCATTTAGTATCCTTTAAGTATAGTGAAACATGTTTAAAACCAACTCTGAATAAACTTTAAAAGTGTACAAGACAGAATTTGTGTATGGTCCAAACACCATTTTGCTTCTAAACTTCACTGAACAAAACGGAAAACAGCTAATACAAAATTCTCATATGGTTCCTTTTAGACAGGTTTCACTGTATTACTTATTACAGTTATTTATAAAAAGCTAAAATATTGTGTAAAATAATGAATATTTTTGGGTGTAGGCTTTACTGGTGGTAAAGTTCTAAAAGAAAAATCAGAGGTTGTAGAAGAAACAAGTGACAAGACCAACGAATTACTTAATCAAGCTGTAATTATTAAGTCACACAATGAGTGACAATTAAATAATGTTTGTATTGGCATGACATGCTACAAAGAGTTGACCAACAGCAACACGGCTAATTATACAGTTCCATTTTTTTACTTTAACATTGTTACTTACAATGATAATTAATTGTAAATATACCAACATGTTGTTATTTAATATGTATAACACTCAAATTCTCTTTATAGCTGTTAAATATATATATTTTTTATATTTATTTCATTAGTAAACACAAACTAAACATTTTTTATTACAACACCATATTAGGATATAAGAATAATTAAATTTAAATTGAGTGACACAAATTGTACAAAAATTATTGTGAAAAACTCACATTACTAAGGCAGGCAATGACGACAAAATAAAAAAACATAATTTTTACAAAAAAAAACTTAGCTAAATTACTGTTAACAAATGTGTTTCTTCAATTACTTATTTGAGGACATTGAAATTGTAAACTAGTGAAACTGTTGATTAAAATCTCTATTAGTAATAGACAATAAAGGTATATTTTATTATTATTTATTTAAAATAAGACGTATTTTTGAAAAATTCATTATTTTTTTAGCATAATAAAAATTTGATTTGATGTTATCTTTGAAAAATAATTTTGCAAAATGTATTAATTAAAACACATGATCGTTTTTGAATATATTATTTAATGAGACTAATATTGAGGCTAGTCTCTTAATATTAACATTATTTTTTTAAATTTATTACTAATTGTACTTCTTTTAACCAATTATATTTGAATATAAGGTTTATCAAGTTACCATGCCTGTAATGTAACAACATAATGATAATAGGTACAAGACTAAAGGAACCAAACCAGAACCTACTAAGAGGAACATATTGTGCAATTAATGACTATACACTAGTCTATAACAAAAAAATATTAAAGCTTAATAAAAACAAAAACTAAATTCTATATATTTACAATAAAAAATTGAATATGGCTAGTTTAAATTAGCTATATATAAACTATTGTATAAATGTATATACTATACATGAATATTATATAAAATATAATAAATAAATATAGCTTCAATCATCAGATTATGACCATAATCTAAAAGCCATAAGTCATAACACAATGCAGTTAAAAGTAGCATAAATTGTTTGTAAAATATTCAATTATATAATTAGCTTAAACGTGTAAGTATTTCTTAAGAACTTTATTTTATTTTACATATGTGTGAAAATAATTGAGCATTTGACTTTGTAAAAGTAATAAAAACATAATAGGGATAGAAGATAAAACTACTCTTGAAATTTAAACCATAATTCATTGTCAATTTGACTGGGAATTTTGTTCGTAAACTACAGAATTAGACGGCTGGTTATAACTGTAATCCATCTGTCCTCCTCCTTCATCTACCATATTCTGCATTATATTTGTTGAAAAAGAAGACTGCATATCCTGTTCATTCTTTAATTAAACATTTATTTGTAAATAATAATAATAAAATATTAGGCACTTTTATTAATGAAAAATGATAATTACTCGTTCGCTTAACATTGAGGCATCAGAATTCATCAACGATGGCGATTCGAACATATTTTCATTAGGAGTAGAATAAATATTTTGAATTGCAGGTGTTTCTGTTTGAGCCAATTGTCTTGTGTTAGACGAATTCATGTCTAGCGTATTCTGTAGAAGCCAAATATTAATTAAAATATGTATATTAACACTTATTCTAATGAAAACGACAATCATACATCAATGTACGATGGCAAAATTCCACATCTGGCCATAAGTAACTGTTCAGATACTTTGCGTAGCTCCTCTTGTTGTTTAACAATCGTTTTTTGTAATTGCTCTTGCTTACGTTGTAACTGATCTTGAATAATATTTTCAGGTGACTACAAAATTATAAAATGTAATTTTAATATGAACAGTTAATCTACTCTTATATATCAGGAAGGTTAAATCTGTCACTGATTAGTTTTTTTTATAAATTCCTAAATTTTAACTACTAACACCAATACCAAAATCAAAAATAACCAAATATAGGACATGTGCTAATGAACTGGCATATTTATTTACATTTTATAAGCAATTTTATTAAATCATTGTTGTGTTATAAAGATGACCACGACATCAATAAATTATATTTTTAAGAAATTAAATACGGGCAATGCTTACAGCGACGTGAGAGTGATGAGTGATGACTAAGCAATTTAACTATATAAAAATTATATACTTACAGGTGAGACTGTTACTGAAGGTACTTTGGCAGGTGTCTGAGTATTCTGCAAATAATTATCAAATTCTGAATGCTCTTGTTTAGTTTCAACCATGGGCAAAGAAGAAGCTTTTTCACAGTTAGAGTTTGAAATTCCCTCAATAAATCTTATTTTCTATAAATTTGTTTTAAAAATAGTATTTATTAGTACTATTTTTACAATTTAAAATAAAATAAGTAACAATATGTTAATAAATTAAAAAACAAATACAAATACGTGTATTTAAAATACACGACGTGTAGAATCGTCGGCTCTAATCTGTACACTACACAATTAATTTAACTTCATAAATCATAATTCATTTTTTTACTTTACCGATTTTGGTGAGTCAGTTCTTTGTTTGTCATGTTGTCTTCTTTGATATGATTCACAATTACTTTTTAATGATCTTTGAGCAAGATCACTTGTAGGTAGATGACATAATCTCTTTTGGCTGTTCTTTCTCCCATCATCAGTCTCTCCTTCTCTTTTAATGACATTTAAATAATTTATAACCCTATGGTGGCAGACAATGAATTCTGGTTTTGAGTTCCATTGATGGTAGCTAATATAGTATCTTGATTGCAACCATATCCACTGCTGGCCTTTTGTTAAAAAACGGTAATAACAAGATGTTTCCTCGCCTTTTAACATTACTGAAAAAAATAATTATTATAATTAGTGTTTATTTATTATTATTATTATTATTTTTAATGTTATCCATACAGGCTTGGTGTGACAAAATCACATGTTCTAGATCATCGATATGGTAATATTCATAGCCAGACGTTCCAAGTACTTCGAATGGCATATACCCAATAATAGGAGGTCCTCTAAAGAAAAAAAAAAATAGTTGCATTAAAATAATGATAAATTTATTCAAGGGGCATGATGTGTCATAATAGCTGTTTGACGCTGCCATTAAGCTCTACACAGTATTGCTATTTCTTGAATGATTTATCAAAAAACTGCTTTCATCAAACACTGCGTGTTCCAGAACCCACTGATCCAAACTTGACCAAAAATAAAAACACCTACTTCCCGCTAATTATTTAAGTTGTTAAAGCACATAATTAGGGGGAGGTTGTATTTATTGATTCCAAGTATAATTTTATAAGCTATAATTATTTTAAATGCTATAAGTGGAGACCAGATATTTATGGTTTTACAAATGTTTTACTGAGGCAGGCTAATTCGAGTAAGTTTTCTCAACATTTCATGCCTCAATAATTGAGAGCAAACACTGCCTCTGAAAGAAAGGTTTCTTAACTATTTGTATGACGTGGTGTTTAGTTCATCATCGGAGAGAGAGATGGTAACCACTTTTCACAGGACGATTTCTTGACTGGCATATGAAATGCCTGTGATCAATTGTCTAATGGCAATAGTGAGCACCAACACCCACTCAGCAACTTGCTATTTTTAATATTTATTTTTTAAATTTCCAAATTTATTCTCCTATATTTGGAGTTTATAAAGATAATCTATATTATAAAGACTGAAGGTAATTTTATTATGTAGGTACTGATTTCCCAATATTTAAATACCCAGTATATGATTTAATTAAACAGATATTAAACCTAAAAAACACTGGTACTTTTAAAAATGTTATAAATAATTAATAAATCATTTATACTAAATTTGATTATTATTATAGACTACTAGACAAATTTGCTGTCTGGGACAGGTCGTCAGTCCGTCGCTAGAGAAAGGGATGGCGGCTCATTTATACCAGACGATTTATTTTTTTCATAAATTCTTAATTATTATGTTTATAACTATTATACTATACTTTAAAGCAATAGAGTTCTTACCTATGATCCAGGAACAAGAATTTCCATTCTAAGCTATGTCGAGAAGTGAATTCACCTTTTATATCCTCCATAACAGTAAGCTCTTTTAATAACTGTGGTGTCATTAGCCGACCAATACCAACAAACACTAAGCTATAAAAAAAAAAAAATTTAGATTTATAGAATTTGGAATGTATATTATTTTGATAAGCCAAGCTTATGAGCGATGTGGAGACTGGCGCGTCTAGTTCGCAGTGTTGAGGTAATCGAACACAATATCTTTAGTACCAAGTTTGAAGCCTTACATCAATATGTCACACACAATTACCTTTGTTCTTCTTCTTGTTCGTTGTTGTATGGTGAGACAACTCCACTATTATTCCCATGTAATATTTCACTGCTGTTACGAAAATATCCAAAGAACTGTACCAAGTCAAATACATTTTTTTCATGTATTTCATCTTCGTTTTTAAACGGATTGTGTCTTTTACAGTGACAGGAAAACTCGACTTGATCTAAAATAAAAGTACCAAATGGAATTTTTTTAGGTAACGAGTAGTCGCTAAACGAAGTTCTATTAAGATTACAAAATTTTACTATTTTCATTTTCATAGGAATGTCTTGATTCGACAATATGATGTTGTAACACTGAATGATCTGCTTCATTGATGATCTTATATATCGATAAATTGGTTAGATTTTTCTAGAAGAAAAAATAAATACACAAAACATTTATTGTTGATGTTCTTTCTTTACAAGACAAAAAAAAAAAAATAATATTCTAGAACTTACCGGAAGATAACCAAGGAGTGCAGTTACCGTTTCAGATGCATACAGAATCTTTCCCGCTGATGTAAACACTATTATAAATCCATCCAATGCCTGGATAATAATATATTTTAAAAATGTGTTAACCATATTATATTTATAAATGTATATATTTAAAGTTATAAATATTTGCACACATATTTACACTTACTTCAAGTATTATATGAGTAAACTCTTCATTAAACAGAAACGGAGGTTTCCATTCATTGTCAATTTCATGTACTCTAGACCTTAAAACAATATCTAGAAAGCAAAAATGATATGCAATTTATAAATGTCCTTAATGACCATTTTTTTTTTGTCTGATAACAAACACATAGGTATATGAGTTACCTTTTTGATTTTTTAAATAGTTAATTGTTGTTCGTAAAACAGTAGACTTGTCCATTTTTCTGTTATTTGTTGATAACATACAATTTAATTCATTAATTAAACTGTTGAATTGATCCCTCCGTTTTTTTTCGCTTAAATTCCTGGACTTCCTATCATTTAGGTAAATCATAAATTATTATAGGCAATTACAAGTAGTTAAAGGAGAAGCTCAGAATGATATTATAAATTAACAAATGCGCTCACCGTTTTGAGTCGTCTCTATCATTCATATCGTCATCGTATTTGTCACTGTAAACAGAAAAATAAAACTCATTAGTCTTAATATTTTACCCATTTCATTGTTGTCCAATCACACACATATTATGCATTATGTAAATTACACACTGTAGGTATAAATAGCATTCAAGTGCAAATACGGGTTTGACGTTTTGTTTATGAAGAATATTATAAAATTAATGAAAATGTAATGTACTCACTCCGATTTCCTCGCCGAGTTGCTGCTAAGGTAGCTTGTCATAATGACCTTTTTTTGGCGTACTTGTTGCTCGTATGGAAATTGTACAAAGTTCACATTTGAACGTAGTGAAACCGCATAACAATTATAAGAACATAATATACAATAAACGAATTTTCACATGAGCTCTATTATGTATATTGGCGCATGTCGAGAGACTAGAGAGTGCGTAGCGTATAATACTAATTATGTGTGGGATGCTGGATGTTTTATCAAACTATTGATAAATTGATATGAAAAGTTTTGATTTTTTTTAAACGACAGTACAACCATTTGTTGTGATATTAATATACCCCTTCATTGCGATTACCCGTCTGTAATCAATAAAACAACGTCATAACACCGAACACGTGATGTCTAAATGTCCAATTATTATTATGAATTATGATTTATGATAATTTTTGTGATGTTTTGCGCGTACGGCGTACTTACAAACAAATATGCACGATAAGAATTATGCTTGTATTCACGTTGTAGCTGGGCCTGACAACTTGTTTTATTTCTGTATAATATTTTGTACCCATGTAATATTATTATAATTTATATTAGCTTTTGACTCTTCGACGTAAACCCCCTTATTGGGGTTTCATTTATTAATAAACGAATACAATTATTTAAATGTATACCATTCGATTTTTTAATTATATATGTGTACTGGTGTAGTGTGAATGCTTACCTATACCTCTATGTATAAGTTATAACTATAAATTATAATCTATGCCATGAGATACAATTTTATGCTATTATTAAAACTACTCTACGACAATTATTTCTTGCCAAGTAAAAGTAAATAATTACAATGTGGTGGGTAATATATTATAACTTAGGTAGCTCAATACATAATACATACATCGATAAATAGATGACAAAATCAAAATCTCGTGTAAAAAATCACCCGCAAAATAGTATACAATATAATATATTATGCAACACAATGTATAATGTTATTGTTACTAATGAAATTTAGTAGCAAGTCTAAAGATCAGAAATCGTATCCGAAAGGTGAAAAATGGAAAAAGTTAACCCCATTTTCTCCAAAATCGAGAGAAATCCCTAAAAAGGGAACACATTTTAACTTAAAATTATGGCACGCTACACTTACTTTTTGCAAAAAATTGTCGAATTATTTCAAAATATGTATGGAATATTAGAAGTATTTTAAATGAATAGGTACTATCTATAGGTAGGTATATTTCCCCCAAAATCTTTTTCTTTATATTACTTTTTTTGGACGAGTTTTGGGTCTGAATATTAGATAATAGATTATAGATTGAAGGTAGATCTAATGTACCTATGATATATACAGTTTTCTAAAAAATCTGTAGCTAAATTTATTTTTAGTTTAGGAAAAGCAAAAAAACACTAATGAAAAATGAAAATAAATTTTAAGTTGTTGTGTGTGAGTGAACCAAAAACAACGGGTATTTGAAAATACTTTCATTATATTCTTATTAGGAAATACAGACGATCAACATTAGTTTTTAAAACACTAGTATTAAAAATACAATTGTTTTACGTATACAGTGTGATGAATCTTAGCCTTAATGAATCGCCCAGTAAATTGCATAGGGTAAACGGGTTTTTTGTATTTAATGATACGTATAATACATTTTTTGTTCATCGCACAGACTTAACCAGTGATCCGATAAGTAATCTGAAAACAGATTTGAATTCGTTATGAAGTTTACTTGGGATCCTACGAGATACTTTTTTGATATCTTTTTTACAATATGAATAAGAAACGTTTGAACATTTTATAAAATTTCAAATTTTAAAATCAAATTTGTGAAGGGTTAAAATTAAAATTTTTTAAAAATACTCTGACCTTGGATTGCTTATCAGATTATTGGTTTGGCCTTTGCGATGGACAAAAAATGATGTATTTTTGCTGAAAAAAACGGTCGGTATCCAGGGGCCTTAACTTAATTAATAATTAATTCATTTATGTTATTTTATTTGCGAATTTTATTATTTTATTCAATTACCCACATTTGTTATATTACTAATATTATTATTTTATTGTATTTTTAATCAGACTCGAGAAGAAGGAAATGTCTATGACTCGCGCACAAAACATTTTTTACATTTAATTATATAATGTACATGTTCAACACGAACAATTTTGAGGGAGCTACAAAAATATTGGCCAACAGAAAAAATACCCGACGAAATAGTGTATGCGGTAAAACAGATATACATACATATAAATGTATTTGTCATGATAACTTAATAGTAATTATAGTATTATAATACTTAAAACTATCATATAAGTAGGTACTTAGAACATCACCAACTGATTTTAATTTGTGGTGAAGTACGTACATGTAATCGCTGTAGCATAATTTGATGTTTTTTGTTTGAGAGTATAATATTCAAATTAATTATCTATTTATTAAAGCTAATCAAAAAATTAAAATTTAATTTAATATTATTTTAAATATATTATACATGAATAAATGTATATATAAATAATAAATAATATTTGTGTTACCTTGTTTCCTTAAACATTAAAATTGTCTATAAATCCTATCTCATAAGGTAAATAGTAATTACTGATAAAATTATAGCATTGACAACTAATATTATAGTGTTGACAAAAGGGAAGTCACTAGTCAGTATAGTGATGCCTTAGGACCGGTTCGCCGACACTTGTTTTGCTGACACCTGTACCGGTCATTCATACAGGATGTAACAGCTTTTGGGTATATCTTTTGTAATATTAGTTATTACCATTATTTATACATTTTTCCGGTCATTTTGACCACGGGTATTCCCTAGATTTGAAATTTTCGGTGGAGAATATTAAACCCTAGTCCCTACCCAGTACTCCATATTTTCGCATATGATGTCACTGTTACCCGTAATTACTGTAATGTTACTGTAAATACACACCGATACTCAATCTATTAAGTAGAGCCGGTGATATTTGAACATTTTAACACCGGGTTTCAGTACTATATATTACACCGGTAGACTGTAATCTATACTTAATATATATTTAAATCTTGGGAATGTGCATATTGAGGTAGGGGGGATCGATCCCCTCATAGCTATTTGCTTTGCTAGCAATAAAAAACTGATATCATGTTCTCACCAATTACATGTGATGAAAAGTTGGTTATTAATAATCTCTGCGAATTATATATAAATAAAATATTTACATAGTATTATATATATATTCGAAAATCCCTTCCCTCTCAGAATAAGACCTGGGTACTCGACTGGTATTAGGGATTAAGGTATGTATATAACATGTACCTATCACAGTAATCTGACAGACCATCGTGACGGTTAGCTTACATTCTCCTTAGTAGGGGGCAAATTGGACTTAAATTTTAGGAATTTTAATTTAAAATATTACACATCTCGTCACGTCACATAAAAACTGTACAGTGGAGTAGAAAATTTCAAACTTTAAGATAACAGTGACGGGTTACAGCTGGCATGATTTGTGACCTATATAAGAGTAATGCTAACAAATAAATTAACGCTTTATTTTTATGGTTAAGGGATTCATATATTCATTTCTTTACTAATTCCCCAGAGCCTAGAGGTTACAAAAATATCCTTTTTTATAATTTTGCGCCATATCAAATTAATTATAAAAAAACGTAGGGCATTCAATTGAAATGCATTAGGTACAAAATTATAGAAAATTCACTATTTTATTCAAATATAAGAATTCTTAGATGGTTAATTAATTGATGTATAAGCTATGCCCTATATTCTACCTAAGACGATGCCACTTACACGCATGACGCATTATTTTATGATATGTAGTTCATTCTATCATATCATATTATCTTCAAGTATATTTACTAGGCAACTTCAAGTATCGGTATAGTTATTAAGAAGATAAGGTAAACAAATAAATGGTGCTTATCTGAGAACACTTGAAAAAAATCACCGGTTTTGGTGTTACAAATTACAAGTACAATGATTCCTAGTAGTCTTAACAAGCTTCGACAGCAGTCGACATGTTGGAAATTATTCTGTTGGCGCTTAGCTGCTGCGGCATTTTAGCCGACAATGACGAAACCGTTTTTCGGTTACCAGGAGATACCATACCACTATCCTACAACCTGAAATTTGTGGACTTGCTAAACGACGACTTTTCGTACAACGGCGTCACTAAAATTCTCATCCAAGTAAAATCAACCACCACGGTGTTGACGTTGAACGCGTTTGAGTTAGACATTAAAAACGTTAAGGTGGTCGACACCGAGTTGAGTAGAGAAATCAACGTAACTAACTTTGAGCTTATAAAAAAGAACGAACAACTCAAGGTAAATCTAAAAGAACCATGGTTGATTGCTGGACGACAATACAATGTCGAAATCACCTACAATGGAACTCTACGGACTGACATGACAGGTCTCTACAGAAGCTCGTACAAAGACGAAGAGTCCAACGCAACCAGGTAAAATTAAACAACAATTAAATAAGCAATATCTGAGCTCAAAAAAGTAGTAAATCTTTTTAACTCAAAAAAATTATATTTGAATATTAAAAAGACACGTTTTATGACCTTCAGTATTTACAATTCGGTTATCCCTTTTGAGGAACTGGCGGTACATTGTTGTAAAAATGTCGCTGAATGTAATGATGATATGTGTAAAAAAATGTCAAGGGTCCAGTCTACCAGATATCTAGGTGTAACGTTTGATAGTAACTTAAGATGGAATTTACATATTAATTATATAGTAATGAGGCTACGTTCTTCACTACACAAATTGTATAAACTAAAAAATATCCTACCTGTAAATATATTGCGCAATATATATTTAGCTCTATAGAGTTATATAAAAATAAAAGACAACATAGGACATTAGATGCATTAGTTAAGTATGCAAAAACAACGTATGGTCGAAAATTCATAGATTATCTTGGGCCGGTTACACTTAATTCGTTGGATTATAATAGAAAACAAAAATTAATATACAATAAAAAAAAAATAAAAATTATTGAATGGTTATTACGCAATTTACCTTGATATGTGTTTTTTGTTCGTGTGTGTTTGGATGTAATGTTTTTGTTTTTGTTGTCTTCTTTTATCATTTACAATTAATATTTTAGTTTTATATGTATTTAGAATATTATTTTAAATCTTTAACATTTTTATTTAATTCATTTATTTTGTTAATAATCTAGCTTAAAGGAGATAGATAATCGAAAATGTTAACTTTTATAATAATTTATGTATATATTTTTCTTTTCGATTAATAAAAAAAAAAAAAAAATTTTAAATGTGAAACGTAGGAAAAATGTAAGGTATTCAATCATTTTAGTACATATTAGTAAGCATTCCCAATTATCCATCGCTAATCGCTATATGTGACGAGAGGCATCTGAAAAGCTATCATTCTATAAATCGGCATTCACTTACGTTTTTTAAACAGTTTTACGATATTGACCAAAGTACAGAAAACACGTAGGTTTTCACTTTTAATCTATAAATAACTAATAATGTATTGATAAAATATGCTTGTAAAAAAACATGTTATCTCCTTACAGTTATCATAATATGTACATAGTAGTTCAAGTAGTTCTACTTGATAAAAAGTGACCTGTCTGTACGTTTAATGAAAACTTTTGAACGAAATGCGATAATGGACTCAGATTTCACATGAGATTGGCAACGTACAATAAATATTGGCGCAACTAGCTCTAAAATACCCTCCTGGCTTTGCTTCGCCACAAGGGTCATATTTCCCATTAGGCAAGATCATAGACGCAACTAGACCTACATTTTAGGGGTAGCTAAAATGATGTATACCTGACTAAACATAATTATTATCTTCAAAGTGGGATTGCAAATAGAGCGCCTGTAACCGAGTGTCGAACAAGCGATAGTGAGCGCTAACACACTGCCGCCTTATCCACTCGGCCACTCCTAATAATAATAATTACTATTTATAAATAAATAAATAATATTAATTATAAATTATTTAATAAACACCCGAAGGCATAAGGTATAGTTTATAGCAGGTGTAAAAAATAAAAAAATAAAAATAAAAATACATAAACTAATTGGGATACATCCATCCATTTCGAATAAATTCAGTATTATTACTCAATCAAGTGGTAGTAGTATATAATATAATAGTAATCCGGGAAAATTTTTTTAAAATAATTTGCATTTCATTTATGGGAAAGGGCCGCTAACATGAATACACATTAACTTTATTAAAACCCTCCTCCAACTTCTCCCATTCTGTTATAGATCATATAGGACGGGTCACTCAAGGTTCCAATCTAAAGGTTTTTTTTAACCAAAACTAAACTATAAAATTTTTTTAGAAAAAAATTATATTTATGCTAAATCTTAATCTTAGATTAGCACGTCCACATTTTGTGTAAATAACATGACAGATTTTCACAATTTTTATTTTTGTATTGTTTGTGTAGCTACTTAAAAAAATGACAAGCTATTAATTAAAAAATTCAACACCTTATACGATTTCACCGCCCACGTTGGACATTTGTTGATTTCTATTTGATTATAGAATGGCGCTAATATAGTAGTACCTCAGTGAAAGGGTCCAAAACCTCATGGTCTCCTATCTCTGTCTATTAGCTCCCATTATACGTGCTTATAAACTCAAACTTAATATTTTATTCCTAATATTGGTTTTTGTTTATGTTAGGTTTTTATTACGTTATCATAATTAGAGGCTTAGAAGAACGTAGGTAACCAACATTTTGTTCCAAAACTGTACCCAGAGCCAATTTTTTGTTACGAGTATCGTGGCGGGGGGAGGGTGGCTCTCGGGCTCTTAGAGCTTGCTCTCACTTTAATTAGTCGGGGTCGGTAGGTCTAGTCCACTTGCTAGCACTTAGCCAACAGACCAGGAGAAGGAGACTCCATAAAAACCCAACCTCGAGAAGGACACTCTAAACCAACCGGTTAGGTTTCCTGGCCAATAACCCTGCGCCCATTGAGCGTGGGCCGGCTACCGCGGTAAGCTCGTTAGACTGGCGGAACCCACACTACGGGCCTAAGGAGCCCCGCAGACCTCGGTCTGCGCCCCGGACTAAGGCCTCTAGAACGGACTCGTGAGTCGTGGGGACTGTTCACTCCTAGGGTAAATGCTACTAGCCTCTGGCTAGGTTAGGTAGGTTATACTTCTTGTTATTTTCTATATCTGTATATCTACTATAAATTGTACTTTATTTTATCTCATTATCATTAGTATATACTATGTATTGCATGTAACGACAAACCATGCGAATAAATAAATAAACCATTACAAAATCGCGATGTCGTTAAGCGGCGGCTTTCAGGGGTCGAGCTTGGTATCTGCTGTTATTGATCGACCTAGTAGATGCGTTATATATTTTATTCAACCACCCCCCCCCCCAGGTTAACGTTACCCCTACCGAGCCTTACACTCCAGGACAAAGGATGCTGGGAGCCACGTTTCGTGTTCATCTGCTGCGCAGATACCCACAAATATTATACATAGTTATACTGTAATGCAGACCAACGAGCGCCGCGCTCGTGCGTTTTGGCGCATGCCAAGTATTCGAGGGTGCGGCCGGTAGTCGAGCTCTGAGTAAACGCTCTGGTACCGCAGATACGCCCTTACTTTTGTCGTTTGCGAACGTGGACCGTCATCTTGGACAACATCACATAACAATATTAATTGTTGAACTCAAAATTTATTGAAATCGTTGCGAAAACCAAGGTAAGTCTTATTATTATTAATAGTTAATTGCATGCGAAGTAGTCAATCACCGGAATTTACACCCGTTCAGTCTTTGAGCAAACGGCCGCATAATAAAGTTTTAACACTTCTTGTACAACCAACTTATACTTTTAAACGAACTGTCATTTTTTAGTACTACTTTAGATAAACTTGTTATAACCAGTTATATATATATTATATAAGCAATATTTCAAAACGGATTTTACAACCCGTAAGCGCCATTAAAAAAAAAAACCCTTTTCTGATTTTAACAAAGATGTTTTTGGGCTGAATTTGCTTCGTTGTCATAAATTTCGCGACACCTTTTGCGTCATCGTCATCGAGATTTCGGATAGAGGGAAGGGTTGGGAGGAGAGAGGGGAATGGAGGTATATTCTATGTAGAGCGGAGGGAGAGGTGGAATATGAAAGGAACGCCATCCGGTGGCGGGGATGGTCTGGAAACATATCCGTGATCATTGTTTTTTCCATTAAGTGGAGAAAATGTCTTTAGGGTTTTTCCCTGTACTATTCATACATAGTATATATTATAGTAAACACTAAAATACGTTCAAGGGAGGAGGGGGATCCGCCCGTACACAATACAGGCTTAACCCGAGGGGAGCAATAGCGCGTATAACTTTCCGGGGCGTATATTAAATTCTTATTACAATATATATTATATGGCGTTTAGTTTTAGCAGCTTATTTTTACACACCGCTGCATCCATCGGGCACTAGGTTTCCTAATGGCGTCTTTACGCATTTGCGCTCGTGTTTCACTTCGTGACATTCGTACGTTTGTCCCCTCGACGCGAATGACCGAATACATATTCGTCGAGTTTACAGTTCACGGTGTTGAGGCAAATGGACCACTCGAAAGCTATGGGGCGGCCAACGCCCTGCAATCGATCCAAAAACACCTCCCGACGCGAGCGCTTCAAGTCCGAAGCGAGCGCCAAGTGAACCGATTTTCTCCGACTCTGGCGCGGCCACTCGTTCGAATATGTAAAGGCGGTTTAACGAATTCACTAATGCGGGAAATAAAAGAAAAGGAAGACCGAAAAAACGGTGATGGATGCGATTGAGAATGATATGAGGACTGCTGGTATATGCGAAAATAATGGGAGAGATCGTTTCGAGTGGAGGTTTAGGACAAAGGTGGTAACCGACCATAAATAATTTGGATGAAAACAAAGGAGAAAAATAATTGTTATAAATCATATTTTATTACATACGTGCTATGACTGTTCGTTTAACAATTTTTGGGCACTCATATGGTATTTTTTTTAATTGAAATCATTATAATTAAGTATCGAGCAATCAATTTTTCGCGTTATATTAATTGTAAAACAAATACAATCATTTAATCTACAAAAAAAAAATGTTCAAGCAGACACAGTATAACTCGATTATAAATTCATTTTTAATTAAAATCAAAAACCCATAATCTTAACTATAGGTGTCGAGCTGATAATTCATATTCAATAAAAGCTAATAATATAAATTAGTAAACTTATTTGCAATATACTGATAGTAATTAGCTTAAGCATACTTCTATTATAGTTAAAAAAAATAAAATGATCAAAAACCAACTCAATAGCTAAAAAAAAAACCATCCGCCATTCGATAAAAAATGATTCAGCAAAAATAAAAAATGGTAAAATTCAAATTACTAATTAATTTATCAAAATTCTCCCTTGTGAAAATTGAATAGTCTTTATAACTGATAATATAATAAGCTGCAGAGTTGAAAAGGGTCATAGTGGGGATGTTATATTTTTTTATTATTTTTTTTTTTTTTTTAAATAAATGGGCTATAAGAATTTCCCAATACATTTTTTTATTTTACGTAGGTACTCGTTTTAGCTTCGATGCAGAGTTGAAAAAATATTGTTTATACAATGTTTCATTTATTTTTTATTTCCGGGGCAGATCTCCTTAACGGGTAAACCAATTTATTCATGTAACATGTCTGTTTAATTACAATTAAAATGTCCAGTATGTTTTGCATTTCAAATTCAAATAACAGTAAATAAAACCAATATTTAATAAGAATAGACAAATATAACATAATAGTGATTTAAATGAAATAGACGACAAAGAAAACTCGATAATTATTTTGTTTGACAGACTGTTTTATTTGTGTTTTTTTTAAAAAACGCTTTAATTTTATTTTTTATTATTACTCGATAAGTATTGTCCATTATAGAATTTTTTTTTTATTAACAAACTAAAAATATGGTGTATTTAATTGGGTTTTTCAAAATCAGAGAAAAACACGATGAAATTCTATTACTCTTTCTGAATACTTGTTTTAGGATAACCGCGAGATGCCGAACTGCCCAGAAGAACCGGAAATGCCGGGAAATGCTGTAGAGGGAGACAATCGTCCTGCCAACGAGAATTTGGAGCCGCAGGGAAACGAAAACATCCCGGTTTTCACTCCGGAGATGGCGTTGACTGCACCGTTGAGCGCTATACGTGCCAACCCAGCTGCTTGGGCCGCTTATTGCCGTGGCTGGGAATTGGCTTGGAAGTCTAGACAATCAAGATTGTAAAAACGCTCTCGAGCATATAGTAGTCACAAACCGAAATTCTTTTCATGCCATAGCAGAGCGTTGCTATTTTAAAGCCGCTCACTAAAAATTTCCTCTTAAACACGGTGAATTTCGGTTTTTAGAATGTATTCCGAGCAAATTATAATGCGGATACATTAACTCTATAAAATAATAATTAAAAACGTCTATGTTTTAACGCGGCCTTCGAGTATACGTTATAGATTCCAACAGTGGCGCCCATCTTATTTTTTTCCAAATGGGCCGTTTTTCAATATCTGTTCTCATACCGGCTCAACTTTTTCTTTTAACTCATAATACAGGGTGTCCCACAAAGATAAGAAAAATGAAATAACTTTTGTTCTTGTCACTGGTGAATATTTTTAAAACTTTTTTTTTAATTAATTTATTCTTAATTTGTGCGACAAGCACCACGTTTTTTATCGCACTGATCTATTTTACTTTTTTTCAATTTTTTTTCGTTACATTTTTTTTTACTAGAACAAAAGTTGTTTAATTTGTCTTATCTTTGTGGGGCATATATACGGGATATACAAAACTAATGCGCTCTTTCTGAAGACATTTTTTTCGGAACAAAATTAACGAATAACTTGAATCGGGTTTTTGTTGTAATAGTTTTTTTATATGATTTTTCTTGTGTTTTTATGATATAATTTATGACATTACATTATATTCATGATACAACTATCCAAAATTTGTAATTATTACATGTGCTGTGTGCACCATTTTGTTATGTATGTGTTCGGACGACATTGGATTCTATAATATGTACTTTCATTTTAATAAACTATACTTCAATGCATCAATTCAATTTTTCTTATTACTGTTGATGCTCTTATAGCTCTCCAGTGAATTTTATACTAAAATAACTCACCTAGTTTTAAGGCTCAGCATGGATCTAAAGCTGAACTTCTCAACCCAACGGTACACTGAACAGTAATTACAATAAATTGTTCTTCAGACTTATTATTAAAAAAATATTTACATTGTTTACTTGCGTAAACAGCTAACGGGTCCAATGGAAGGACTCCCTAGTCCCTTAGCTTGTCAGTTACAACACACACAATAATTTGTATTATTAAAAACATATGTCAATGCACAGGTAATAATTATTAACTATATTTTAGCATTTAGCAAACCTACATACCGATGATATATTTTTTTTTTGTGATGCTGGTCGTAGAGTAAAAAAGTCGCACACAAACACCTTTACATAATAAGTTGTAATAATTTGGTAATTTATATTTTAAATTGTAATCATTTAATTAAGATTAATATTAACAGTTTTATACAAATCCAGTCTATCCAGTCATACTGGGCGACCCCAATATTCACATTAAGTATGTCAACTTTTATTTTATTTTACATACAATCTACTCATATAAGTTGTTATATAAATCTACTCATCAAATAAATACATTTGATACAATTATTTATAGACAAAATATCTATACAAGAAAAACTATGTTAATACAATTTAGATGCTACGCTTATATAATAATACTAAATTGTTATTAAATAATTATTACAATTATAATCTTCATAAAAAAATACCATCTCAGCTTTGCATCAAAACTAATATAATGCAAAATAAATACCAGCCATTTGTTTTTATTACATTTTAAACATGAAATATCAGTCTTGTAAATCTATCCAGTATTATTATACTTGTAAATGTCTTTCAAATTGCATTTTGCCAGTTGCGATTTGAGTTCATATTATACAAGTCGATAGAAGAAAAAAGTAGGCAATAACATATTCGATTACCGTTTTAATGTAGGTAACCTTATTATTAGTCATTATACAATACTCTATTGTTATATACTAAATTTGTTCGATAATTTATTCAGAATAAATACCTACGTTTCATTTATTTTAAAAATAGAAAATTTACATCATAAAATAAAATATATAGAAACAACTATTAGTAAATGCATTACTATTATGATTGTTATATCATATAGATTATAAGTGCAAAACCTTAAATCAAATTAATCTTAAATTGATTATTTATGAAACATTTAATAATAGTTTTATTTTTAAATGTTTTAAATATTTTACCATCTCTGAGGCACTATTTGAATACATACTATTCTTTTATTAATAAATACATTAATTATATTTTTGTATACTTTTAGATGGTTAGCTATCAGTCAATTTGAACCTACTTACGCAAGAAGAGCTTTTCCGTGTTATGATGAACCAGGGTTTAAGACTCCTTTTCAAATCACTATCGTTAAAACTAAAAAAACGCAAATATCTTTGTCTAACTATCCAGTATACAAAGAATACCAAGAGTAAGTCGTTTCATTTCAATGGTAAAATTGTATTTTGGATAAATATATACTCAAGTACACAATACATTAACATAATTATACCACTAAGTGACGTGGTAAACCATAAAAGAAATTTCGTGGGGCCTCTCAAGTTGCTTTGGTGGGTACCTAGTGGTCAGAACTGTAGTTTTTTAATTTTCTTATGACTTAAATTAACGGTTATACAAATGCGAGGTTTGAGAGAAGTGAGGAGACCCTTTGCTTAAGTATCTTTCATGTATTGGCCTGATAAGTATTATAGACAAGAAAAGTTACCACGCCACTGATACCTATAATCTATATAAAAATGCTTTGATCCCAAATAATTGATTTTTTATTGTTTTAAAGATTTTTCATCGAAATTTGACTTGAGTTTCGCTTTTGTCAAATAATATTTTGGCAAATTTGAGTTATAAAAGTTAACCCCGTCCGTGTTCAAAAACTTGATACCTATATAATGTTTATACTATATGCTTGATTATGTAAACTAAGTGTTTTATATTAACATCAATTATAATTTATATTGTATTCTAGTGTTCAAACTGGAAAATTTGTTAGCGATTACCCAGTAACCGAACCAATGCCTACATATCTAGTAGCGATCTCAGTATCGGAATTTGTTGAAAAATCGTCTAATGACAACAAATTTCACGTATATACTCACAAAGAATACATAAATCAGACTGACTACATTCGAGAGAAAGCGCCTAAGCTACTCAATTTAATGGAAGTGTTCACGGGAATATCCTATCCTATTGACAAAATGGATCTACTTGCCGTGCCTGATTTTGCAGCGGGTGCCATGGAAAACTGGGGGTTAAATACATATCAGTAAGTTTAATATTTGAATTTATTTTAAATTATCACTGTTATCTCTTATTGATCCAATACAACGTAACATTTTTTTAAGATTTAGATTGAACGGTACAATCAAATTTGGCCTTTTTCGCCTACAGTTTCTAGACAGCTTACAGAATTTTCGAATTTTGTTTTGTACATAAAAAAACTAAAATGTTTAAATCAATAATAGAGATAATAATAAATAGTGATACAGAAATAATAGAGATCAAATGAAAATTCTGAATTCAAAAAACTATATGTTTAGACTATATAGGTAGAAAACATGCTGAAAATACCATAAAAAGTATTTATTACAACTTGGAACCGATTAAAAAAAAGTAACTAGAAGTCTAGAAAAATTCTGAGGTCAGATTTTGATTTAGCAAAAAATACATGTAGTTTGGAATAATTACATTTTTTATTATTATTAGGTAAAGTGTTAGCAGAATGCTTATACGATAGTACAAGCGCACTAGGGATTTTAATTCTATCCTGCTGGTTTGACTCGATTAGCCTTTTAATCGTATCTAACTCGACTTTCACGATATTTAATAGTGTTAATGTTTACAATGGTTATAGAGAAAAATATTTATTAATATCAGAAAAATCAACTGAGAAAAGCAAAGAATTAGTTACTACGGTCGTGCAACACGAGTTGACTCACCAATGGTTTGGAAATCTCGTCACGTGTGCTTGGTGGGATTATTTGTGGCTAAATGAAGCTTTTGCCACATTCTTTGAATATTTCGCCGTCCAAGTGGTGAGGTTACCTATTTATACCTATTACAGACAGATAGATAGTCATTACGTCTTATTGGTACCCGATTTGTTTTCTAGGCGGAGCCCGAATGGCGGATGGAAGAGTTGTTTGTCATCGAACAACATCAGGCGGCTTTAAGTTACGACCAGAGACCTAGACACGCAATAACGTCTTCGGTCCAATCGCCCGACGAAATAGAAGGGATTTTCGATGGGATTTCATACGACAAAGGAGCTTCAGTTTTAAGAATGTTAAAATACACATTGGGTAGTAAACTATTTCGAGATTCGTTGATCCTGTATTTGAAAACTCACAAGTAACGCAACACAAATTAATATTCATATACCAACTTATTATTAATTTACTTATTGGGTATTAACCTTAATAGTTGTAACCTCTGATAAGTTAATTACTTACTTATATTTGATACGATATTTTGTATAAAAAGTGTTGTACGGACGAGTGGTAAACGGTGAATAATAAATAACAAATCATTTTAAGTACAAAATACCAATAAAAAAAAAAAAATGTTGGCATAATTAATCGAATGACAAATGGTTAAAAAAAAATTTTCCCTTTATTTAGATAATAAATTATACGGATGATGCTCTTTAAATGATTTCTGAGTCTAGGTAACGCGAAAAAAATTGTCTAAATAATACACACCAAAGTTATTCCGTGTGTATTATTTTATTTTTTAACGCAATTTGATTATGTAGAGATTTCATTAATGAAAGTAGGTAATTACATTTTTCACATCATTTTGTAATTTTATCAAATAACACTGCCAAGTTAACAAGTTAGAACATCTCAAAAGCAACTAGTTGAATTTAAATTTATCAGAAATAGTAACTTTTAACTATCTAACTCGGTAACGAACAACCTTGCATTTAAAAGGGTTTAACATGTTTTTGGAGAAATTTAACTTTCCTTCCTAGCTCTTAGAATCCGTCGCTGCCTAACTAACTGGCTTAACTCAATTTTATCAAAATTGTACGAAGAACCTTAAAATTAATTCTAGGGTACCCGTGCCGTAGTTTGATACTTTGTTGATAAATGATAAAGTTTGAATGAAATTATTGGCAAAACCAAATACCATTGACATTGTTAACCGAGTTGAATTGGATTACAACATATTGCATAATATATTATACGAATAAAACAAAATCAAATAACACTGATATATCTACAAATCACATTTTTATACTTATATGTACACTTGCAGATACGCAAGTGCGGAACCTAACAATTTATGGGACGCGATCGACAGCGTGTTGTTCGATACCGAATACAAGCTTGCCGATAATGTTCAAGTTCGAGATTTCATGAGATCTTGGACGGAAAATCCAGGATACCCGGTCTTAAGTGTAACGGCGAAAACTAAAAACACATTATCTGTAACACAAGTAATGATAAACACTAGTCAATGAATTCGCTCGCTTTTTTTTTGATGTGTACAAAACCATTTTTTTTTTTTATGATACAGAAACGATTCCTAGTCGACAAAAAGGACGAATCAGTTCAACCAAAATGGTACATAGGTCTTACGTATACAACACAACAGAAAAATGAATTCCATGACGTTCAACCGGTTGCGTGGCTCAAACCAAGCGACGATGAAAAAACAATAAAATTTAATAGCGACGAAGGATGGGTGATATTCAACGTACAATCCACAGGTTTGTCATGATTTCTCCTCCAAATTATAAGTGAAAAAAAAAATGTATATTTTTATACAATAATTGTATACATTGCAATTGATCTAGGATCATCAATGTCCAATAGACACTGTCAATCTAGTTTAGACGAAAACAAGATTTTTACTTAACGCCGATTAATTATTTAGAAACAGTAATGCTGTCCAAAGGACAGTGACGCAAATAGAAATGATTTGAAGAAAATGGGGTTTATGAACAACTTAGTACCTACATCTCAAAAAAATTGCTTATTCAATTGAATCGGTCGTTTTAAAAACGACACAGGTCGCAAAATTGAAATTTTACACTAGCCACAAAAAACTTCATGACTAGTTTATGCAGCGATTCTAATTTCTTGTACTCAACATTTGTATTAAATATTTAGTCTGACAAATTTAGTTTTCACATAGAATACGTAACTAAGTATATAATTATCAAATTTGACAAAAAGTAATTTTTGGAATATCGGTGACATGTCGTTTATGAAATGACCGATTCAATTAAAAAAAAAAAAAAATTGGTAGATTCTAACCTTCCAATAATCTCCTACTTTTGATTGACCACTCGATTATAGTACTATGAAACATTTACCATCTTGTAAAAATAAAAATGTATTTTATACAATAAAATACAGCTTTTATGACAATATAAGGACTGCGTTGTAGACTACAACTTGTAGTTTAAAGTATAGATTCGACAGGTATATTTTTATAGACAATATTAATAGGTACTTCGTAACTTTACAATTAAATTGTATTTAAATGTTTTAGTGCCAATCGAAGTTTATTTTTTTTTTTTTTTACTTTTAGGGTTTTACAGAGTAAATTATGACTTGAACAATTGGGGTTTACTAATTGACCAACTCAGATCGGACCCAAAAGCTATACACGTACTGAACAGAGCGCAATTGATCGACGACGCCTTTAACTTAGCGAGAGGAGGCGAATTGCCTTTTACGGTGCCTTTTGAATTAATTTCGTATCTAGACAACGAAAATGATTTTATTCCATGGTATTCAGCATACAACGGCATTTCGTACGCTTTTGACCGAATGAGACGATGCGATTTCGTTGGACCAAAAATGCAGGTTAAAACAATAAAATATTCACAAACACTATACTTAGCATAGGGGCCAACAAAAATTAGTCGAATGAGCTGTGTGCAAGGACCCGTGTTTTAATGTAGAGCTCCTCGGGGAAAATCTTTAGACTAGAAACAACTTGTATGATTTAAGAAGGCTAAGTAAAAAAAAAAAAATGTTTTATCAGCACCATTATTATTTGTAATTTGTATCCGATTGTAGCTCAAAAAAATCACCATGAATACATTTTCGTTTTTATTTCAGATTATCCCCTATTATATCTTGGTGACTTAAATGAAATTGACTTATCACTTGTCCAATACATAAACAATTGTTTTTTAAATTATTCTTCAATATTTTCAAAAATAATATTAAAAACCTTTGGCAACAAAATTACCTATTCTTTAGAATTGAACATATATGCTTTTTAAAATTTTGTTATAAATAACATTTTTAGTTCAGATTGTACCTATATGTTAGTTAATGGTGTCAAATTTACATTAGAACGATGTTTATCAAAAATATCCTTTTGAGAGCAATTATTGGGTACTTTCTAAAATTCTTCAATGACAATATGAGGTTTTCAAGGATTGAATGTGACCTTTATAATTTTTAAAAATTCGAATTGTATTTGTGGACTCACAAAACAATTGTACGAGTTGGTAGTACCTCAACTACCGCAATAATTGATGGCGATATTAATATTACTTATTTGTAAATACTGTATAGAATTTCACCAGAAACTTAGCGGCCAAGGTTTACAGTAAAGTCAACAAGCTCTACGAAGATAAACATGACAGAAGACACCTGACGGTAACCAGCTTCGACGCATTTTCATCTTGGGCTTGCAAGTTCGAAGTGCCCGAATGTATTGAATCAGCCACGGCGTACTTTAAGACTTGGCAAAGTGGAATCGAGTAATAACCATTTATCATTTATTGTGAAAAAATCCATTTACCTATGAATTACTTGGACCCGAGGCCCAAGACCCATTTGTAAAATGTTATTGAGCTCGGTCCTCTGGTCAAAACAACTCGATCATGTCGCTAATTCTATTATTTATTATTTTTTATCTCTCTCTCACATAAAGTATACCGGCCGACATTAAAGAAGCAGCCCTTTGCACTGGTGTGAGAAATGGAGGCGAAAGAGAATGGAACGACGTTTTTAATTTATACTTGAACACTTTTTCGACTTCCGAAAGACAAGCGGCTCAATTGGCGTTGGCTTGCAGCAAAAACACCACTATCTTAAACAAGTAATGTGATGTTTTTCTGCTGTACTAGTGGCCTTACGTCCCATTTTAATCAAATGTATTTGTTATTTATTATACGTTTTTAAGAAAACTTGGAAAATGTAAAGGGATCAGTGGCGACTAAGTAGTTAATAGCTAATTTTTACCGACTGTGTAAGAAGAGCTACCGAACCGATTTTGTAAAATAAAAACCAAATTAATCTGCGATTTTCTAGGAGTGTTCTTAGCATAAAAATAACTATAGAAAATACAAAAAACTACATTTTTGATTCCAAGGAACTGCCTAAAATTACTGGAATTATCGACGGAGCTACGCGTCTAGCTCAACGACAAATTTCAGTGTTTAGCGCGAATAATTATTTTATTTGAACACCTAGAATTAAAATTAACTTTTTTAAATGTTTTCTGTTATTGGCGAATTTACCCTTACCGTTCAATTTTTTTTTTTCAAACTAATTGTAGCCACTGATAAGTGATTGGGCATTTAATGTAATTTGCGTATTGTGATATAAGATATTCAATAATCAATTATTGTTATGATATATAATACAATTTATAAATTGTCATACTTTGTTTGTATAGCTATTTAGAGATTCTTCTACAAGGAGAGAATTGTACTATTCGCCCCAATCATTATAGATTGATGATCAAGTCACTAGCATCAACACCCGTAGGAATTGATGTGATGACCAAGTTTTTAAAAGATAGATGGCAAGATTCATTGAAATTAATGTGGAATGGTGAAGAAACAATAAAGTCAATGTACTCGACTTTAGCCTCTAAAGTGTCTATAAAATCTGAAATAGATCAGGTAAGATCCAAATTAGGTATTGTTGAAGTACAGCATTGCACTTAATTTATTTTTAATTAATATGTGAAGTATTAAATATATTTAAACATACATTTTTGCTTTATGCACTACACCAGCTGAAATTGTACACAATATATTCAATTTGAGTTTAGTCCAATACCAGTGTAATTACATTCTGAATAATGTAATGTATGTTATAACTAATATGTTTCAAGCTATAACATACAGTGTAGTCCATGTGATAATATGTTGTAGCAAATTTAATGAAGTTATCGTTTTTATTTTTTAGTTAAATGCGGTCAAAAACCAAACTGGTTTACCATTGTCTTTATCATCATCATTCAATGCATCACACTATGAAGTAGAATTGAACCTTCGTTACTTCAAAAAAGCACACGATCAACTGCACAATTGGTTTGGCGATTCTTCCATTACAACCCCAGCACCAACTTTGTCTAGTGCGACTTCAATTAGTAGCATTAGTAATATCATCTTATGTTTAATCATAATAATGACTTGTTTCTTATTTAAATAGGCCATGTGATCCATACTTTATTATTAGAAAACAAATATATTTTACACAAATTAAAAACACATGTCAATTGAAATATTTGTAATTATTTCTATTTAATTTATTAAATGATGTTCCATAACTTTAAACTTGCATCAAAGTGATTTGATGATTTTTTATTATTGCAATCAACATCACAATCATCATCATCATCATCGTTAAAAAAATCCACATGTCTTTGTCCAGAAGTGGTAGCTAATAGTGAACGTGTTGGATGTAAACTAACAAATTAAATTAAATATATAGTGTATATTGTATACTAGATTCTATTAGTTATAAGAATCCTCCAAAAAAAAAAAAATTATTTTACTTACCTTACACCATTCACACAATCATCATGTATTAAGATTTTAGAATTTAGTTCTAGAACGCTTTCTGAATTTTCTTCAGAATTTATTTTGTCGTCTAATCTCCAGGTACTTATTTCACCGGTACAATTACCTAAATTAAAATAGGTTGTCCGATTGATAAATTGTAAATCATGTTTCTTTAGAAATGACAATTTGTAAAACAAAACTTTTAAAATATGTTTAAAATTTTGTTTGATAAATGTATACATACAAGGTGTCAAGGTACGTTTAAATAAGTTATGTTAACATAAATAATTAATGAATAACATGAATTTTAATTACCAGAAACTAAATATTGACCATCGGATGAAATATCAAAATAAATTCTTTGGTTCGTAGTTACTGATCTCTGGACTGAATACAATGTTTGACCGATATTTCTCAAATCCCAACATACTATATCACTATCACCTTTCCTAGCTCCGGAATACAATTTTTGTCCATCCGGTGAGAAGCTTATCTGGGTTATACCAGATTTATGACCTCTCAATATATACATTAATTGATTACCACCGAAAATACCTGAAAAAAAAAATGTTAATTATCACTATTGAATTTGTTTATCTTGTAATTTTAGTAATTACCAATATCTTTATTGTATGTGCCTACAGCAAAAACACTTTTATCTACTGGGTTCATCGCTATAGTTGATATTATTGTTTTGTGAAAATCTGATTTAGTAGGAATTTCAATAAACTCTCGACCTGGACGATCTGTACGGAATATATTTATTTTACCAAGACTTCCACAATAAATTTCATCTCCTGACCAATTAAAACATAGTGAGTTAACATGAGCGACTTCATCCACACTATAATAAAAATACACTATTATTGAATAACTTGATGTACAAAAGTAAAGCAGAAATTTTATTCTACTAAAAAATTAATTTTTTTTTTTTTTATGTTCATACTTATTCAATAAAAAATACATGTATTAACATACTGATCGTAAACTCTGTAGGTAGCTACTAGTTTTCCATCTTTGGCATTCCATAAATGAATAGGGGATCGATTACTAGTCGATAAGACTCTGAAAATATAAATATACATATTTTGAAAAATTTTTAAATATATTTTATTGTAATACTGGAATACGGTGAATATAAATTAAATGATTTCAAAAGTAAATTATCACTGAAACGATTAAATATACATAGATAGTCAATGGCCATATGAACACATCAACTATAAATAAAATGTATGCAAATAATGTACAGCTAAACGAATAAGTATACTGTGCAAAAAATATTCACTAGTGTGAAGATAGAGGATTTGGCTGGCTAACCCTATTTTTATTGGATTAATCTACAAAAAAGAATATATCTTTAAATTACTAACAAATTTTCATTTGCATGTACGTTTGGATGCCAGGCATAATCATATATGGTACCGCCTTCTTTTATTTGAGCAGTTTTATAAAGTCCCATACATTGATCGGCATCATCTACGTCCAGATTAAAAATCCTGAGAAATTTGTCTTCGCTATTGGTTAAAACGCATGTACCGTCTGGCGACCTACATATAATAACTTCAATTATACATCTCAAGCAATTAATTGATTACATATATACTAACAAATATTTTCAATTATGTTTATTTACCATTTACATCCTTTTAAACATTGTTGGAATTCTTTGTTGTCTACAATGAAATCATCAGCACAAGTACTAACGAGTTTAAGTTGTTGAAAACTTGGTGCCAGATTCACATTTAATTGATTGGTGTTATCCTGGGTATCACTGAACAGATTGCTTTCGTCCATTACCTAATAAATATTTTTACCGAGTTGTTTAATATATTAAATACATTGTTCTTATTTACAATGAATACCTAATATGGTACCTAACATATTAGACATAACGTAATACACAGTTCGGCAATTCAATTTTGGACGCAACTGTATATCAAACATACACCTATATACTGCGTCCATTTTGTTATCATGAAAGTTGCAATAAATCTATGTACATATTTTGTAAATAATTATCAAAACGAATTAAAAACTTGAATCCATAGACTAAACCTATGATGGGTCTACCCACGCATACATTTCCAAAGATTTAATAATTTAAATTTATACCTCAGTTATTTTATTGTACTTACAATTTTAAAACGCAAAAATTTAACGTTAAAGATATAGGCGAAGAAATTTTACACCGCAAAAATGTCAGTAATCTACATTCTAAGATATATGCCAATAATGGATTGACATTTGAACTATAGTTACTTCTTACGTTATTGTTCTTAAAAATATAAATTATAATTTATAGCTAAGAAGTTTTTAATTTTAGTCGTTAATTGTGTTAATTGTGATAACACTGTTATCAGTTAAAACTGATAACAGGTAGCCGTTGATAACCGGTTCTGAAATTTGTTATCAATGGTGGGGCTAATGTATATCAGATGATATTTTTATTACGTTAAGATTTGTATAGTAAAACAGTAGTAATTTTTCAAGTGTAGTAACAACTTGTCTTGTACTCTCACTTCACTCTTCAGTCGCCTTAGTCACTTCTTACGTTGTACTGTACCAGTTTCTCTTTCTCATTCAACTATGACGTGATCTCATCATTTGGTACACTGACAATTAACCCTAAATCTTTATTCTTATTATATTTGTAATATTTAGTATAATTATTCGTATTACCATAATAATGGCACCAAAAGGTAAAACGACCAAAAAAACAAGTTCTGTAGTCAATTTATACCTCCTTTCATACAACTCTATTCAAATTGTAGGGTAAGTATATTAATTATTTTAAAATACATTATTATAAAACTGTACACTTCAGTCAGTATGTCAGTATGTCATCATTGATCATTTGTATTTCATTTAAAAATAATTATTTCTTTCAGGTGGAGTTATTTATTGTATCAAATTATTGACTTTTACTTGAACCCACCCAAAGATCAGACTTTATGGGATGTTGTAAAATATACTGTTGGTATTTTCCAAAATGCAGCCTTTATTGAGGTATTATTTGTGTAATTATTTCGTATATAGAGTTGGATGTATTATATATATATATTATATATAGGTATTCCTATTCAAAACAGTACTGTGTAAATCATACATAAATGCTTATTCTAAACACATTCTTAAGGGTTTATAGTTATATTATTTCATAATATTATGTACATTTAAATCACCAAAAATATTTTAATTATTAATTACAATAAATTTAACTCTTGTGTATTAATGGCCATCATTTACTTCTATCTGAGTACTTATTTTATATTTTAGGGAATAGGCTTTACTATAATTCAATTTGAGAAGGGAGCATTAAACTACTTTCAAGTATACTTGTTAATATTTGAAAAGTATTTTTCTTATAGGGACAACTACTACATTACAAAAACCTGTTTTACTGATGCCTATATGTTAATTGCACAGAACTACTCTTAATAGGTCATGCAAGGTTAACATGTTAAGCTGGCTAGTTTCAATAACCTGTATCAGTGTCCATGCTCATGAATTACTTAAACATTTTAACTAACTAGTTTTTCGTTTTTGTTTATTAGTTGTTTTATAATACTGACCCACTCTCCATTTAATTAAACCATATTAAAAAATACAATATCTTAACTACTTAATATAACAAAATTAATTAATTTGTTTGTTATATGTATTTCAACAAGATGCCCCGGGCAAGAGACTTATCTCTGTACTATCTATGACTTATCTAGTTACTCCCAGGGACCGCTGATAAATATGTTTATTTATGCAAAACAAAAAGCTATTTTATGCATTTAAATATAGTTGGGAAGTGCCCATTTGTTTATTTATAAATTGTATAATCAAATGTTTTTTTAATTTAGATATTTAATGTTTCTGCTGGATTCGTAAAATCGAATTTAGTTGTTACCATTCAACAAGTATTATCTCGAGTCTCCATAGTTGCCGCTTTAGTATTTATACCAGAGACGTCCGATTCGCCTGGCTTGCCTTTAGCGTTGACAGCGTGGTGTTTCGCCGAAATAACCAGATATTCATATTATGCATTCAATATCATTGGTTTTATTCCTTATATAATAACTTGGGCCAGGTAATAGTTTACACTTATAAAAAAATTGTGTCATTAAATCTAAACATTTCATTGCTATAAATATTTTGTTACAGGTATACTTTCTTCATAATTTTGTACCCACTCGGGGTAACTGGTGAACTATTAGTGTATTGGTCATCATTGGGATATGTAGAAAGAACAAAAATGTGGAGTGTTGAACTTCCTAATAGATTCAATTTTGCTTTTAGTCTATGGACTGCAATTTCCATACTGATGTTCATTTATATACCACGTAAGTTTATAAAGTATTATGGTATTTCACATGTAACTCCAAAATAAAAACATAGTCCATAGGGAACTTCATCAATATCCTAATAAATTTTACTTTTTAAATTACTTGTTAAAAAATACTAGTTAAAGAATATAAACAAATGTAAGTTCTAATTTAAAAAAAAAAACACATTATATTTTCATTATTTTAACAATTACATAAAGTGCATTTCTATTTGTTGGACATTAGTTTAGTATGATTACCTAATATTAATAAAAAAAACATTATATGCAGTATACAGTTAAAATATATATTTCGACACAATTTGCAACCAAAGTAAATTTTTGCTAAATCAGGGCTTATTCTTTTTGATTTAGCAGCTAAATCATGAAAATTATGAAGTATAATACATTATTGCTAACTAATGAATAATGACAATGCAAGGTTACTTTTTAGTTATTAATATCCTGTTTGTCCATACGTATTGTATAGACATATTTAAGTCGGTACTTATTATTGTACATAATACTCAACCAATAATCACAACCTAATTTATTTTAAGTTATAAAGTAAACCTAAGGTCTGAAAATTAAGCTAAAGATAGATCTAGTGTGACCCTATTGAAATATATACCTACAATTTTTTCAAAAATATTGTCAACTTTTTTTTTTAAGATAAAACCAGAAAAAATGTAAACGCAATAATTCTTAGAAAGAAGTATAGATACTGTATATTTTTTCACAAAATTCTGTGCCCAATTTTTTTAAAAAAATACCCCAAAAAAACAAAATCTAATTACTTACAAATACAATAATTCGTATAAAATATAATATTGTCACATACATGTTGCCCTGCTAATATTTACCTATCATGTTTTTTTTTGTCATGCATATGCATATACTTACATCAAAACACTGTATTTTTTGGAAATAATCGTAATTTGTATCATATTGTTATTGGAATTTTCACATAATTATGAACTTTACATTATTAATCCAACCTGTCAAATTATCAGTAATTTATTATCAGCTTAAAAATATAATAAAATAGACGTGATTACATTAATATATTTTAATACTTTTTATACCTACAGATTTTCATCAGCCTTTTTTTTGTAAAATATTTTATCATTTTTAGTAATAATAATATTTTTAAATCAGTGACCTTTCTTGGTCTATACTATACTCCAACCACATTGGGGTTACTGACTTTTCTATTAATTGCTTTATTAAACGTTAATACAATTTTTTTTTTTTCAGTATTCCCACAAATGTACATGCACATGGTTTACCAAAGAAGGAAAGTTCTTGGCACTCCAGACACCAAAAAAGTTCAGAAAAAAGTACAATAATTAGTTTGTATAATATACAACAATTGGGTTCTGGGTTACTACATTATTTTTGTAAATTTTTGCCTTACTTAGCCATTTTTGTCGATTGTGTTTTATACTGAATAAATCACTAATCATAATTTAAAAGTCTTATATATTTGTTTGTGTTTATAATTTTTTTATTTTCCTGGTTTTTCAGACTTTAGCAGACATTATCTAGACCATCACTATTACCATCACTCATGACTCATCATTAAACTATTTTTCAATGCACATCTAAGTCATTCTAAACCGTACACCTTCCAAATAACACACTTAAATCAGCCATAGTTGAATAAATTTAATATTAATCATAGTTGAGAAAAATCACATTCACGGTTTTATTTACTAACACTAATTGTAATGGGTTACAAGTTTTTAAGTAAGACAACAAATGGATTGTTTTCAAAATAAATTTGATTTTTTTTAAATAAAGTAATACTTTATTTTGTAGAAAAATTCAAATAACACTCGAAATAAAATTAATTCATTACATTTGCACGTACATACATATTTTCACCAATCCTGTAATTTACTTCATAACTTATAATTTAATTTTTAGATCTTGATTGAACTTGAACTATTCATACTTCTTTTAAACCAATAGATTTAAAGGCGCTACATCTATTGTTTAGCAAAAAAAAAAAACACACCATTTGTTTTTCCGTTCAATTAATTTGCTTATGGTTTCAAACACAGTGAATAATTCATTAAATATTTAATATTAGATAAAATTCTATTAACCTGTTTGCTCTAAGCACCTAAAGATGACAACTGGGTTGTTAAAATACAATTTGCGTAAAATGAAACCGTATTGTGTAACCACATGTTACTCTGGTTTTTATTAAGTAATATATTAAACATAGAGATAATTGATTAACACCTTTTTGACTTTGCCAATGTTTAATAATTTTAGTTACCAAACACAGCTGTGATACTTTAATTAAATATATTATTGTGTTATTTTTATACATACCAATGCTAATATTATTAGTTTATCAAATTTTCATTAGCAATTTATTATTTTCATATAATATGAATAATAATAAATACTAGTTAAGATATGCAATATGTTTGATATTAATACATTTTTGTTGGGATGAGCAATAAACACTTTTTTTTACATTTTTTAAGATAATTGATTTTATTTTGATGCAAAAAAATAATAAAAAATATAGTAAATAATTCATAATAAACAAACAATTGGTTAAAAATGGCATAAAAAAAATGTTGATAACGATATTATATTTCGAGTATTTTGGTACCTGTATCAATCAAATGTAGAATGTATCAATATAATATATTTTATATTATCAAATGTATCAATGTAATATATTTATATATATATATTATATTTGTATAAAAAGAAAATTGATACTCTAAATATACTTGTTAGAGGACTCTTGAGCCTCATCTCGCAATTTTATAGCTAATGCTTTTAATTCTTGATGATGTTTCATTAAATCACCAATGGCTTTGGCATATATCTTTTGATGGTTTTGATTAATAGACCACCTCAAATACATTTCTCGCCATAGTTCCTAAACAAATTTAAAAATCCATATAGTGACTACTAATCAATATTAGTATTGTGGCAGTCGAATATTCTAGAACATTCGACCACCACAGTATGTTCACAAACAATCAATGTTGGCAATAACCCAAATTTTTGGATACATCCGATAAAAAACCCATAATTTTGGATAAAGTAAACATTTGCTAAGCCTAAAAAAATTGTAGTTTTTGCTTTTTTTGTTAACCTTGTAAACAATTTTAATTAAAATTCTAAATTTCATTCAAGTTAACCACTTTTCCCTTCCAAAACATAAATTATTTTTTATGTAATAAATGTTATAAATTAAATATTTAATATAGTAATTAAATAATTTTACCATCCTAGACACATTACATTTTACTTGGTCCATGATGATTTTAGTATGGTATTAGTTATAGGTATATTTGGTGTTGAAATAAAGCTTTTTACACTTAAAAGGAAGTAATTTTTCTTGAAGAAAATATTTTAAAAGTCTGACAGGTAATGTCTCGAAAAAGCTATCTTCATTCGTTTTCATTACTCAATTTATATGTATTTACTCTAAAGCTATAATAAATTAAGTAAAACGAGTGCTGTGTAATCTACTGTTTGGTAAAGTTTAAGGGAAATATCATCTCTTAATAGATAGAAGAAATACAGTTTCTAGAACAGTTAAATAAATAGAAAAAGACAGTTTAACAATTGAATGATAACTTACAATGCTAAAAGGGGCGACTGATGGCCATAGCACATTACTATTAGGCAAGTACAACGGGTTGGTAATTTCATCTTTTTTTTGGTCAAAGTGAGACCACAAATTTGGCCGAGCATATCGATTTGTTTTTCTATCAGCCTCACAATTTCCATAAAAGGTACCAAAATCTGAACAATAAGCGTGATCAACAATCGATATTAGGAAGTTTGTCGAAAACTGAAAACAACATGGAAACTGATAATGAATCTGCCACGTGCAATCTATAAACAGTAGAAACGTAGCGCCCGATCCATGATGAAAAACTTTGGACGACGACGATGACGATTGTTTTGTACGAGCAGCATTATAACACCCACTTTTATGACGAGTTTCAAACGGATAACCAGCTTGTAACCACTCTCTTTCAATCAACGATTCAAATCTACGGGAGAAAAAAATTAGTAAATAATTATTAAATGTATAAAATATTTAATTTGAATAATATTGTTCAATATTTTATTTACCCTACAATTGTTCTACATTCTGGATTTAATATCAATTGAGTTAAAGATATTAACACTAAAGTAGCATCCGTGCTTTCTGAACCGTGCACTAGTACTGATGCTTTTTCTTGATTTAAACACTGAGCAACTAAACAAGCAGCATTAAGCGTATCTTTAACATGTGATAGCCACTCGCTGCCATTCAGTTTATTTAACCATCGGTCAATAGAACAAGTTGTATCGTTACAAGCTTCAACAAGCTTTGACAAACTGTCTAATAAGACGTTATGTCTTTCTAATGCAGAGTTTACTCGACGCCACTGAGGATAGTGAGTTTCCATTTCAAATCCCCCTCCACGAGCTTTGGCACTTGCTGCGTTGGCTATACTACGAGTATCTATTATGTAACCTCTTTTTCCAGGTCCTAATACAGAATTTATAACACGTTCGTCTTGTTTGCAACGTTTAGAACTTGGACCAACTAACGGTTGACTACTCCGCATCAAAACGCTCTGCAAAAAAAATATACTTCTTTACAAAAATAACCATAATAATTGATTGATTGATTTTTATTAACTTACACCTTTTTCATGACGATAGCTCAATACTGGATAACGACCGTTTTGACGAAACTTTGCCGAGGCAATCAACATGGCATCATCAACATTAGATGGCACAACAGTCAACTCTGGGTATGAACTACATACCTATATATAGTTATATTTATTACAATTTTAAAAAATAGCTAAAAACAATTAAGGAAAGATAGTTATAACATTTAAATTTCTCATTATTATTTTAAGAGAAAAGCGAAAAATGTATACACCAAGTTAACCATCATTAAAGAGAATAAGTCCAGATAAATTTGTCGTGTAAGCAGAAAAGAAGAGAATAAAATATAAGAGATGACAATGGAAGAAAATTCTAATATAATATGCTAGGTACTTTATACACATACTCTGTACGCTTTATTGACTTCAGATATTCGCCACATCTTGTCTCCGGCTATGAGCTTTTCACACTGAGATTGTACGTCAAACGGTGAACGACATTCATTCACAGCGACTTTATTTCCAACTATATGATGGAAATGTTCCGTGTCTTCTAAATGAAACTACATCATGTATTATCCAATTACGTAAAAAAAAAAACATACATTCATATCACTTACCAGTAAGCATTAGGGATTCTATAGAGGCAGCTACTGAGGCAGCTTGTTCAATGTATGGCATATCAAATACAATAATTCTAAAATCTTTGCATTTTAATGTAACCGAATTCAATTTCCTTTCTATAATATCGATATTTCGATTTAAGATCTACAACACGCACCATAATCATAACCATTATTAATTGAAAATATTAAGTGGTTAAGTTAGTTACCCAAAGCTCCACGTCGTCCGCTCTAGACGAGAATATTAAATGGTGCCCGGTTATGACTAGAGTTCCATTACTACTTTTGGCTATGTGAGGACCCCTCATGATCACTCCATTTAATTTGGGTATCCTAATCTTATCAGCAAACTCCATTGTAAAATCATTTCCTGAACAAAGAAACAACAAAAATGTAATTATTAAACAAGAACAATTATTATTTAATTATTATAATTAAATACTTTTATAAGATAATTCACCTGCTGTGATAGATGCTATCTTTGATTATGTTCCATATGTATTATTGCTTAAGATTAAGAGGTAAAACTAAAGATACTCTCTGAGCAGCCACTAAAGAGAATTTGTTCATTTACATATTGATCTGCTTAATAAGACTCTACAAGTGTTTTTTTTTTTTATTTCGCCCATTTTTTACATCTCGATCAACAAGACCGCATTACCGTTATCAAATGTTATCGGTATTGTTAACAATTTATGTGGTTCATGGAAAACCCGATTTCTCAGTGATATTTACAGTATTGACCGCCAGATAGCATTAGATAATTACCAATCCGCAGTCTCCGGTGTTTTTGTCGAATAAGACCATTTTGCATATTATTACTTTGTAAAAAAACTCATTCGAAATTCGTTTTCTTTTCACACTAAACGTTTAAAGAAAACGCAAAAGAAATCTACTTTAGACCTCTCGATGCATGTTTTGTTTCGCTGATTGATCTTTTTGTTTACACGAATATGTTCTAACATAAATAGAACACTTTTTTATTTTTAAATAAATTAATAAACAAAATATCGTATTAGATGATCAAATTTGTGGCTATATGCACCATAACACTCATTTGCCGACTATCAAACGCAGCTCGGTAAGCAGACAAAGGCTTGCATTTCATTGTCAAACGGCATAAAACACGGACAAGAGTTAAATGGATTATAGTAACATATTATTAATACGATTGCGGATTACAGAACTTTTTAAGCACTTGGCACGCAGTTGACCTATATAATAATACAAATACGTTATGTCGTCGAGCGAGAGTTTTAGACCGGTTTTAGATGAAAGCTCTATGCAGTGGACACGGCGCACGTATACAAAATTATTAACATTATGGTATTATGGTATTTTAATATCCCCAGGCGGTGGTGTCTTCTATATCATGAATTAGTACGTGTGCACTCGCTTCATAAATCGTAATGTGAACTAAACAATTTTGAAAAAAATAATATCAATTTTTGTCGTTGAAACTGGCCTCAGATATTCTTAAGTTCGTCAAGTTAGATGTTAATTAGCCCACAACGTCGTAAACGGCTTACAATGCACAAACCAAATTTTTCTGACATTTTCTTTTGTGTTTAAAAACTACAAATTAACTAAATTTGATCAAATACCAGCAGTTCTCTATTCGGCGAAGAAAATTAGAAAATTCTTCAAACGTATTAAAGTGAAAAGACCAGAATACTAGGTACAAAATGTTGTTTTTTTACTACTCGGCGACGATTTAAAAAATAATTAAACCTGGTACAAAATTCAGATTCAGCGAACAAATTTAAAACGATATAATATTATGTACTTTGGTTCTCATTTCGAAATCATGATGTACAGTGTACATCAGTGTACATACAATTTGTAAAACAAATTTATTCTTTTAATAAAAATTATCCTGTAAAAAATTATAAAGTAACATTACCAATCTACTAAAATCTACTATCTACTAAAAATAAGTTGAATTAAAAAAATTAATTCAATTAATACTGCTCGTTGTACACTTGTATCAAAAGCCGTTATTCTAAGTGCGTGATCACTTGAACCATGCAATTACATATTATTTCTGAATAATATTTTGTTGAAAAAATATTTGATCATAGATTTTTAACTAAACCCTTAATTTGCAAAAAATTATTCTATTTATTAGTTACTTAGGCCGTATGGCGTATATCCTCCAAGTTTTTTTAACATAAACATTTTTATTTATTTATTACACTTATACTATTTGAACACCGTTACAAAAATTAGGCTAAAATCTTCAAATTTGATAGTAAAAAGATGTGCATTTACTTTAAATTCAGTGCCTATTCTGAAGTTAATTAGCTGTAGCTAATAGTTTTTAATACGTTAGTCACACTACTCACATAATAGCAGAACTCACTGTGTTATAACAACAAATAATTTTGCTGTTTTTGGAGTACAAACATCAAACCATAGCTAGTTGCACCGGTGAGGTTAGGTGTGTTTATGTTTCACTGACTTATTATGATAATATTGACAGCTGGATGGAAATATTATGTCTAATGCTAATTTTGACTTATGTAATTATAGTGTAAAATGTTGTTCTATGATAATTTATGAATACATAATAGTATAATAAATTTTAAAACTTGTAGATTTTGAAACTGTTCATTAAAACTGAAATAACACATATTTTTTAAGGGGATTGCATGCGGTTGGTTTTTAAGGAGTTTTGTATAGGCAATATTTTTAAAAAAAAAAGTGGTTTTAATAAATTTCGGCTATGTCAATTAATTTACCAGTTAATTTGTATAAGCTTCGTGGTATTATTTTTAATTTAAATCATTTTGTCTAGGAGTAAAAGCCATTTAGGTTAATATAATAAACATTTTTTGTTCCATCGCACAGGCTGAACCAGTGATCCGATAAGTAATCTGAAAAAAGATTTGAATTTGTCATGAAGTTTACTTATGATCTTATGATCGGTCAGGGTACTTTTTTGATATCCTATTCCTACTATGTATAAAACACGTTTAAACATTATATACAATTTTAAATTTGGAAAGGGTTAAAGTTAAAATTTTTAAAAAGTACTCTGACCGATCATAAATAAAACTTCACGGCGAGTTCAAATCTGTTTTTAGATTGCTTATAGGATTACTGGTTCAGCCTGTGCAATGGAATGAAAATTATGTGTTTTGACTGAAAAAACCGACCGCATGCAATTCCCTTAAATAGCAAATTATACTATACTTCTTATAATACATAATATAGGATATGATACCATCTTTAACGTATACCCGGTAGTCTATGTAAGTTAGGAATCATGATAATATGTGGGGGTACCACCGGTTAATGGATCAAGCTGTTATCCGTGAAAACAGATTAGGTTAACCTACACGTTTAATGCCATTACACGCAATATTATGCGAACACCGTTTTACCCGTTTTATTGGTATTGCGAAATGAGTCATTACAATTATTTATTGTTCCTTCGACAATTGATTACATTTTATAATATTATAAAAGTACTACACAATCACGTTTAACTCGAGCACTGCAAAACTCGCTTTACATGGCGACAAACCGTCTCGGTAAAAAAAAAAAAAAATGCTCAGAAGGTTTAACCATTAACAAGACGACCGCTAAAAAATAATAGGTATATATATATAGTTTGTCGTGATTCGTTGGGATTGTGTGATTTTTTAATTCTAACCGATAGCTTTTCCCCTCATTGATTTATAAATGATTTTCTTAAATTATTGTTTTCTTAACGTTCAATTAGGATGGCGTAGTTAAAGGTTTTGCTAACTCTACATCAAACGCCATATGCCATTTTCTATTCATCGACACAGAAGTCGGTATAATAGACACCTTAAACTTCTAAGTAGGCACTAACACAACAGCTTATACAAGTTGTAACGACCAATTAAAATGTACCGATACCTTGAGTTCATCCACAACGGACGGTTATTACTGTCGGCTATAGGTAATAGAGGTCAGAGGATGTAATAACAACAGTAATATACAAATTCGTGTAGAGGTGACAATTACATTATACACCATAGGCGTGACTAGACTTCATCCGCAGCGGTAGCCTAGCTAATGACCGGTGCCACCTGAGTACATATTTCCTGAAAATGAGCCGAAAAAAGCCCCTCACACACAAAAGTGTAGTATTTTTGTAAGGGAGGTTCAACCTAATTCGAAAATTGCAGTGGCAGCACCAGGCGACCTAGGCTGCCACCGTAGTCATGCCTACGGAATATACGGTATAGTATTATACGAACTTCGATTTATCGAATAGAATAGGTAACTTAAGAAAAATGGCGTTTGTAACTAGTATAGCAATGCAGTATGTACAATATACTAGAACTCTGTACTTTTGGCTAATAGGATGACCTTAAATTTAGTTTATTTAGCTAGCCCAGTATACAACAATAACACGGTCTAAATATTAAAATATATATATTGTCACATTTACTTATTATTCACATGGTAACCATTAGTCTAATTCCCATAATGTGTAATATACAATACAAGATACTTTGTATGTAAAATAATTAGACATGTATCCTACGGTATACGCTGTATACCCATTACTTTCCCAGACTCGCCTTCCTATTATCCCGTGTAGTGTAAGTACACTTAACACTTTGTTTTTATAACATATATGTTCCTCTATAATTAAATTATCCTAATGCCATTTATAACCGACGTTGGAAAAACATCGTTCTCTGTGTGTTCATTTATGTGTTTTGTGAATCTGAAACTTGTTTTTTTTTTGTTCTTATGTACTTATATAAATTTTGTACATACAATTTTTCCCACCCTACTAGATTAGGTGTTACGGTGTCGTGATTCATAAACTTCAAAAAACAATTTTATACTTATTTGTATTTGGCGTCCTGTGTTTCCTCTATACTTTCATTCCTTCGGTTATGGACCTCTAAGTAGAGTCGTATATGTTTTAAAACAATTTTCTCACCTCTACTTTCATTTTTTTTATAAGAAAAGACTACTTCCGTTTTAATTTTTAAACAATGTCCGTACATATTCCATTATTGGTCGTTAATCTCTTTAGTCTTTACAGCTGCAATTATCCACTCGTGCACACTCCGTAGAACGATATAATTCCAGAACTGAATAACGATGCATTATTTTTATTGTTTGTCGCTTCGTTGAGTTTATCAATTATGGAAACTATCGGCTGCACGTATCCGGGTAAACATATTATCAGATTTATTTTATTATTTTAGAAAATACAAAGCGTTTACGAAGTGAATGGTGCTGTAGCTTGTCAATTATTTACCATTAGTTCAGAAGTTGTTGTACGCTATAACAATTTAAGAAGCAATCATTTGAGACATCAGTGAGTAGACCAGCATAATACATACATATATCGATCTAGTTACGTTCTCAAACAATTAGGACGAATGTAGCTGTGAAAAAATGAATTCAAATACATAATACAAAGTATAAATCGATAAATTACCAAATGTTAACAGGTATAGGTAAACTGTTAAATTGTTTTTCTCTATTTTATTGTTGTGCGCTGAAATACTGTTAATAATATTGAGGACATTTTACATTTTGCTTGATTGGAAAGTGGAAACACGAAACACATTATCAGTTATTAAATCAATAGATTTAATAATAACATATTTAAATGAATAAATATAAAGCTAGTACAATGGAGTCGGGGCATAGTGGGGAC